GCTGATGTTCCTTCCTCTTGGGGTATTTTCCCCTAAACTTGCCAAGAAAATGGGAAGAGTAGTTGCCTTAAATTTTATTACTTAAATATTCAACAAAGCTGTGTCAATTTGCTGGGAAACTATGCTTGCACTCATCGTTCAAATGTGTAGGCTCAGTGATAGCTGTATTGTGTGGTTAGCATTTTGCATATTTATATCGTTCTTCTCAGTCTGGCGTCTGTTATTCGATATGACTGGTCTGTGACCAAGATATCGAATTAGCTATTATCTGATATTTTTTCATACGTCTTTTCATGAAAACTTGTTCCGCGCTCAATCGTAAGTTAAACTTACATCTCGCTCGTAACATTCTTAAGCCGACAAGACAACATCGGGCTAGAGGTATACTGCAGTGCTCAAGTTAGAGAAATTTTAGGCTTTTTTATGAGGAACAATTGTAAGGAAAATGTCTGAATTTAATTTTTTAAATGTTTTAATGTGACATTTTGCTAATGATGTACGGAAATATTACTACTACGCAATTGTAAGAGATTCGTAAAGGTCGAAGGCAAAAGATGACAAGGTATTAGTCGCGTTCGTATATCAGCTGTTGATGTACAGAAGCGGAAACTTTGACTGATATGACTGAGAGAAAACCGCTCATTTTGGGTTGTAATTGCGAGGTGTAGTGAGATTTTTGCGACTGTAGGGAGTATCTTTAGAATAAACTTCACTCTTGCTCTCCGTATTTTCCAAGTTTTGAATGTTATTTTCGTCGGACTGCTAGTACTAAGTTTTCACAGCGGAAGTTGCTTTAAATTATTAATGTTGTTGATTCAAGCACTTCATATGGACAAGTTTTCTCGAGAAAACCTTTTATACATGTAACAGGGCAAAGTTTTGACTCAGAGAACAATGCTCTACCTCGCTATTTTTCAAAGGGCGGAGCCAATTTTGGGCTTTTCTTAAATTTGGTTTATGTTCCTTTTCGTAGAAAGTTTTTGTCTTTGTTAAGTTTTAACATGAACTGAACATTAAAACGTTCGTTGCGAATCCACGCAGTGTCGGCAGTCATTGAGTTTTTCGTCCTCTGAAGTGTTTTATACATTAAAAGAAGCCTCCTTTCGGTCGTGACCGGTTGTTCCTCTTCAACCGTCTTATCTCGCTCTTTATCTTCTTTAATTTTCCATTAGTGTTTGTTGTACTTTGAGCAGCTCGTTTGTTAATTTGTTGACAGTTTTTCTGTCATTCTCTAACAGTCAAAAAATATGCCGATATAAATCCTGGCCAAGCTGTCTTAAGATCCGTAGTTTATATTTAGTTACATTATCCTTTGTTCTTTAGAGTTGTTTTGTTGTATAAATAAAGAACCATGACTGTGTACCGAGTTTATTAACGAATAAACACCTCAGCTGTGAGAAATACACCGTACTGGCGGTTTTTCTTTTGTTATTTGACAGGAGTTATGGCATTTTCAATAACCCAGTTTGTGAAATTATTGCTGTGGTTTTAAGTTTTGTCTTTAGGTATTTTAACTCATGCTGTTTCGTATTGACGGTGAAGCAATAAATGCACGTTTTTTTCCTCAGTCGCTAACTTTTATCTTATAAAATATGATGAAAATACTGTTGGTTACGATATTGGATTTAGTTATGCTGTGTTCTGTTCATTGACATTTTTTTATTAGTCTATAGCCTTTGACAGGATACTCCGCCCCTTGCTGATAGTGAGTTAGTCAATCAATCATAAAAGAGCCAATCTATTTTCATTTTCTCCCCTTGCTGGCTCTCTTCAAACGCTTAAATGGCTTTCTCTCACAAGGATTCACAAATGTGTTCAGCCAAAATCAACCAGCTAATTTTAAAGACGACCAATACAATTTTCCTTTTTTTTACTGAGCTGTGAAAAATCCTGTGGGTTTTTTCCCAAACCTCTCTATGAATTTAAATATTTAAGAGTTTGTATTCCGAGAACAGGTGACGTTAAGGAATATTCAAATTTTTAACTATTTCTTTTCCTTCATTGTGTTAATGTAAGTCGTTTACAATCCGTCTTGACAAAAACGAACTTACGAAAAAAAACATAGCTGTATGGTCTTTGGTCGGTTCCTTAACCTTTGACGATTCGGGTGAGATCGTTATCGTGATCTCGCGTGATCCCGCGTGATGTCGCATCTAGTTATTAAATGTTACTTTGATGTTTAAGTAAATACTTTATCTAGCAATGCCGTCATTTGACGAAATATGATTGTTTGAGTAACTGGAGATTAATGCGAGCAAAAAGCTGAGCCGCTTTTAGCACAAGTGTTAATGAAAATGTTGGCAGGTCCATAATATGCAAGAGCCACCGCAGAAACTTAAAATACGATCAACAAAATAACTCTTCACTGATACCTTTGTAATAAGGTGTTAAAAGTATTAAATAAAGAAAAAGACTATACAATGTCTACGGACTTATCCTTCCACCATAATATTGTCAGCTGCTTTTTCAATAAGCTTTCACGGTGTCGATGGGTAATCCTTGCGTTAAAATTTAGCTGGCGAAGCCAAGCTGATTTGTATCTTCTGTGGCTGGTTTGGGCAACAATTCGCAGTACCTCTTGGAGCTGCTACGAAAAACCATGTACGAGAATAAAAGAGAATATTCCATGAACAAATTTTAGCTGTTAAGATATTTAACTTTGTTAAATGAAGTTTTCTCTCTGTGTTTTTCGTTGATTGGTTTCTTTCCGAGGTTTATTTTTTTAATTCCTTCCGAGCCCTTCGTCTACGTAGTCGTTTAGTTCTTTCTTCGCATTGCTTCTGTTTCATCTATTTTGGTCTCTTTCCTCTTGCCTGTCAAAGTCGGCGATGACACTTTAGCATGCCCTCACGTTTTCGGTATTAAACCAATTAGCGCCATAAGAAAAAGGAAAACATGGTGTGCCCTTCTTTCTGCAAGATCTTCCTCTTCTGCAGCCTTCATGCTGCAAATGTAAATTTCATCCTGTAAAATGGCAGTGGAACTGTTTTCAATTGTTGAACTCATACTTCAGCGCTAGTGGTTAAATGACAAATGTAGGCAGCTTGTTTCTGATTAAAAGCCATTGTTTCGCACTAAACGTAGAGGTCTTCTGGTAATTGGCAAGACGGTTGTCATTGGAAGACAGAACAAAGAGCGCAGCAGGTTTTTTATGCAAAAAATTACGTTGCAAAGAAAAATTACGTTGTCTTTTCAGTGCGATCGTGAGCATTAAGTATTAACATCGGGTTCTGTTTTGACCCCTAAAGGATGCGAAATTCGACGGTATGATGGTCATCCATGTACAATGTCCGAAACAATTACGTTTCTGTCCTCCAGAGGAAAGGAAACTAGACGAGAGGAGGTTGCAGATGGAGAGCCTAAGGCAGAGGTACGTACAAGCGTGCTATAGAGTCGCCGCTAGGGTTAAATAACTTAAGTACCCGTCGAAATCTTAATCGCAAAAATAAAACCGCCTCCTAGGTTAGCGAGCTTTGCTTGGTGGCACTCATTCGCCAGAAATTAATCAACAGGTACGAAGTCTCAAACCCAGTCTTGGAGATCGATTTATAGAAAAGACTTTTGTTGGTTTTATCTTGTTTTTAAGACTCCTGTGTACAATTTCGGTGACAGTGTTGCCAACCAGCTCGTCGACTTCTTGTCCTGCGGCAAACAGATTAAAAACTAACGTACAAAAAAAATTGTTAAAATTTGTCACACAATTGTCTGCGTTTATTTCGCTGCGAGGTATTTCGGTGAATTCGTGTTTTACCAGTGGCAAGTTAATGATATAGTAGACCGTGTTCCGGACTTCGCTAAGTCGATAAACACTGCCAGACTGTAATTATTTTGCACAAAGTTGAAAAGTCATCAAAGCGTTCCTGATAAAGGAAAAAACGCCGATGATGTGAGCTTTTTATGGCTTATTGTCGCCAGTAATAACTCTGGAGTAGACGCTGATGTAAATTATGAAATTGCGGCGAGGAAAATTTGACTTTTTTGGGTAACGTTTTGCATATTCATAGTGTAATTTTGCACCTTTCGATAAATGTTCTGGGATTCGCAGCCACCTGTTTGTGTTCACTGTAATTGATTTCGTCTGTTCATCCTCGTTGAGGCTCTGCATTCGCGCAGTCGTTTTTAATCAGTTCAAACAAATTCGCTGTGTCTAAGAACGAGTTAGGTCTTTGTTTCGCAAGCGGTTTGAAGCATTTTTTCGTAAAATGTTTCAAACTGATGGAAAGTTCTTGTTTTGAGTTGTCATAGCGGTGGGTAACTCGCTGCGTTGTATTGGTGCATTGCTGGCAAATAATTCATCGAATAATGAGATGAAACTTGAGAGCGAAGAAGTAATGAATTAATATTAAAATGCAAAAGAACCAACGGATGAAATTTAAGCTATGTAATTCGTGAAACTTTCGCCTTTTGGCTTAAATATCCTGGAATCGTATCTTGAAGCTGATTTTCCAAAGTTTAATATGATCGTGTGGAGTGTGGATGGCTGTGTCGGTCGCTATTGTTTCCAATGAAGTTATTAGCTACTGTCAACCCACAATGATGCCGAAAATAGTTCGATCAATTTTGTTTCCTTTCGTCCGTTTTTTAGATATATTTCGAAGCGAAAATTAAAAAACCATATTTCTCGATCTTCCATTCTGCGAGTTCCATGGGCTGAAAACTCGAACTAAGCTCTCAGAACTCGGTCGATATTGATTCGCCGTTCTGGCCTTTTTCGCGCTGTGAGGCTCTTGGCAAAACTGAATATGAAGTGGATAATTTTTTTTGCGTCACCTAACGCATATTGGCGTTAGATTCAAACCGAGGGCAGGCCGCAAAAATGTGGTGTTTGGTGAAGCATAATTTATGTCAGCCACTTCGTGCGGGGAAAACCGGCGTTGTTATGATTCAGCCAATCAGATGGCTAATGTTCGGAGTGACGTACAGCCATTGTATCCCAGCATGCCCAAGGTACAGGCAAGTAGCAGACCAGGTGTAGGATTATTTCTAATGAAGCCGTGTTTACCAGAACCATCGTCATGGCGAAATGTTGTTTTTCTACCAGTTTTTGGGTTTCCTGAACGCGCTAAGCGAACAGAATGCGAACCCGCACCGGCTGCTAGTCCTTGGATTGTTAACGTGCATTATCGGCGACGTCTCTTGTCGGGCACTCAGCGACTTTGTGCTGTGTTCGGGTCGCGAGTAAAGTGGACTTCAAATGTTATGTCAGTGCCGTAGAAGAACGGCAGGTGGACTGTGTACCAGAAATTCACTTGCAGCAGTAGAATCTTCAGAAACATGATAGCCGCATCTGCTGCAGCACGAGCTCACCATGTGAGAGAACATGAAAAACACTCTAGAGAAGAAGCGTTCAGGCGCTCTCAATTAATTCATGGCGATGGAGATGGTCAGGATCTTCAAGCCGCCGAAGAACCCTATAAACCACTGGCGGCGCACTATTTACTAGTACCGTTTAAGGATTGCGATTACGAACCCCAAGATGGACAAGTAAGTTATGTTCAATATCACTTCGGTTCGTCACCTGGCACTCATTCCCGAATACGTTTGATTATTGAATCAATCTGGCCTTCTCCAGACGTAAACCTTTGCCGGGGCGGTTGGCTTTTTAGCCAGCTCTCTGTTAGCGTTCGAAGTTATTCGACACTACAACAGATTTTTGGCTAGCGGCTACACCGGATTTGTTTTGGATAATTTGTCCGGCTTTCTTTAGAGTGAAGTTTAACGGTTTTCGAGCGAATTTTCTCTTCCTTATGTGATGTTTTTATCCGTGAAAATCGGCAAGGAAACTCTACACATACACCTTAAGCATGCGTAAATATTTAAATATTATGCGAGCCGAGTCGCTGAGTAGTGTGTGTATTTTCCCTTATATTTCGACGGCTGATCCTCGCACTTTCGCGAAAAGCAGTGCTCAGAATTTGATTCCTCGTCTTCCGCATGCAACGTAACCGTTGAAATCGTCGGTTGAAATGACTCTTTCTTACTGGAATTTGATAGTAGAAAATATTCGAATTAATTATGACTTCCTCATTGCGAGTCAGCCAAAAATCGATTGTCGCTTTTGGAATAATGTAGATATTCCCCTTATAGACCACGTTAAAAAAATTGGAGAAAACCTCGCTTTGAAATTCGCAACATTTATTTGCGAGCCAGTAAGTTTCGTTCTTCCTTTATTTTGTGTGTAATTGAGTAAGTGGATATATCGTCCATTCCGAAATCGCTTTCTTAGACAACTCAGTGTCGTTCGTTTTCAAAAAAATGAATTATATCCGATTGCGACTAATTCGTTTTTCAATTTAAATACTGCTGTGACAGAAAGAGATGGAGTAAAGTAAATTTCGACGGTAAATTTTATTTTGTAGTGATTATATTGAAGCTGAAGTGTATCGAACGGCGAGCGCTTCATGTCTGCTGTAAATAAAGCCCTTCCGTTGATGTTCCGTTGATCTTCGCAGGCAAACAATATCGTGAATTAAATGCGTTTCTTTCTTCAAATGTCATTCGGCAATGGAAAAGTCAAATACGACTTCTTTGCTGTCGAATTTCGATAGTATTTCCTTTATTTTTCATCTCGGTTAGCTTTTCAATGCTTAAACTTGGAAATTATTCGCAAATTTTAAGAATATTGTGAATTATATTCTAAACATTGAACTCAGCGATCGAAAATTTGCAGGAAAATCGACGGTAGAAGCTGTACTTTTGCCTTTGAGAAATCTAAATCACTTTGTATCTCGTTTGTGTTATTTTTTAATCAAAAGTCATTCGTGTTTTCGTTAGTTCAAGGAAAGGCGGACTTGCGTTTTGACTTTATGATAAGACTAAGGAGTAATAACTTTTTCGTTAAATTTTCGCACACTTGGGCGAATGATTGTTGAATATGCGTAGAATTTCTTGGCTACGCTGTAAATACTTTTAGGCGAGATTCGGAACCGCAGCTTCGATGAATATTAATAGTTTCTTTATCAAGAAAATGACAGTTCTTTTAATCTATCGCAAACTAAGCTTCTCAGCTTTACTTTAACAACGAAGATGAACATAAACCCGAAAGCGTGTCGACAGTGACGAAAAACAAACTTCATTCTTTATTCTTGTTTGCAAGGGAAATGACGAAGACTCGCATTTTGCACAGATTTTTTTGTACGTCCGTTCTGAACTTGATTTCGGCATGTTACATTTGTATTCCAGCAACCTGCTTGCCTATAAATAAAACAAGAACTTACGGAAGACCGCAAAATTGGGAGGGGTTTTAAAGAGACTCGAAAAAGCATCTGATGATGAAACAATATTGTTTAGACAGGAGAATTGCCGTGAATTTACAGCTTACAGATAGCGACGACTCTGCCAATCGGACAAAGTGATGTCCAATACATTCCTTTGAACTTCGTTCAATTTTTTTTGTGTAAATATACTTGTCACACATTCTATAATCCTACAGGCACCCGTTCACTTTAATCGTTTTCCGTTTCTTGAATAGAGCCTGCTCTTGTTCGTTTTTCGCAAACATTTCTTTTGTAAGCCATGTTATTTAAGTTCAGGGCGGCAAGGAGATGGGTCTTTCACAACTCTCGATGCCACTGTAAATGAAATATTAATAGTGTAAATTTTGCCCTTCAAAGAATTGATTTACATACTTTCAATAATTTATCAAAAGCTTTTGTTTGGGCCCTTTCCCCCATTTGTTAAGTTGATAAAATATTTAAATTTCGTTGCTTCGGCGAGTGACAGCCTAATACCTTGTTTACCTAACTGAAAATTGTAGCTGTCTTAAGGATTTCCATACCTTTTTCCATTTAATGAGAACTGCAGAGACATTCAGCGTCAATTCACTAGTTTTTTTTCGTTGTTTTGTTTAAACTGATCGAGTATCGTTTTTTTATTGCACTGTTTTTTTTAGACTATGACCGTCCAATTAGAATGAAATTGAACCACATCGCCTGAAATTCTTGTAAATTCTATGTTGCAGTGAACACTCGAATCAAAGGCGAATAATTCAATTTCAGTGATACGATCGGCGGAATAATTTTTTTCTTTGGTTTCGATATTGAGTTTACGGAGCTATTGTTCGCTTGTGTACAGTTTCTCCTAGACGAACAGTAGGAATTGCCAAGCGAATGCAAAAACTTACGTTCATCTCACGTTGTCTTCTCTTTTGTGCGAGTTTTGAATCCTGTTATTTCTACCCGCGGGAGTTTCAAAACATGTTATTGTGAAGGGGGTACTGATTTGTGATTTTCGCTCAAAAGTCATGTTTAAGGCTTCAAAATGTTGATAGTTTTGTAGGAAAGAGACTCTCTTGATTAGCATGACTCCCTCTCCGTGAAAAAAAGACATGAACAGGGAGTGTTTCAAAGTAGTTAACTTAAATCCTCCACCTATAACCAGCAGGAATTTGAAACTGTTTTCGTTTGGTTGTTACCCGCGCGAGAAAGCTTTGTCCGCTATTTTGACCAAAACAAAGCTGTCCATGACAAAAGAGTCTCTTTCATAGTACGCGACCCCCTGTTGGTTGCAAATCTAGGGGTTGAATAAGAAATAGAGTAATATTTAGGGCCCCCGTCGAGAAGGGAACGACAACATCGAAGACGACAGATGTTTTAATACTCACGCTATGTTCTTAATATTCTCAAACTGAGAAAGATGTTATGTGGCTAACTCCACGTAGAATTCAATACAGCTAAGAATAGGCTTGTTTTGTTACCCAGGCGAATAAACAACTTCTCTTAGCCAAGACTTTATCGAGAAATCTTCCCTGAGAGTATCCCTCTTCGGCCGGTTGCCTTAGCAGAAGCGTTAGTCGCGGAGGTTCGCGCGGTTTTTTAGCAATTTATTTTGACGAGACTTGGACGTAATCAGTACGATGAAATTAAATGAGGTACAGCTCCTCTGCGGGAAAGAAAAAATATCTTAAAGTGTTTGTGTGAAGTTGATCAACACACTTTCGTTTATGATTTTCTCACTCCACGAAACGCACTAGTTGCAAGAATGCAATTTTAAAACTTCTGTTTATCTGGTGCACTCGTTCACAAAAGCGACAAAAGATTGAAATAAACATTTTGCAGAAGACATTCAAATTTAGTTACATTGCGAAACTGGGGTCTAATTTCGTATTAGTTGAATTAAAAAAATTATCCTTTTGTTCAACTATTTTCTTATTTATTAGAAATTAAAAGTAGCGCTCTTGCTATTTGTCCAAAATTTATCAATTACCTTCTTGATTTTCGTTTTGGAGACACATACCCGCGGCATAATAAGTAAATTCACTTTTTAATTGAATGTACAATATCAGTACTAGTGACATGATATTCTTCTTGTCTAAATTTTCGAGATGAGATACTTATCAGCCAATCGTCAGCTCTGCCGAAAAGAGAGCTAATACCGCGCTCACCCTTCGCTAAAAGTAAGCCCGCCGAAATCGCCAATAAATGAGGCGCTCTATTTTTATTTGGTGTCTTTCGTGAAGATTTGATTCGACTTCCGATTGATGGCTAGATAGCTTCCGAAATTGCCGTGAACTTGCAAATTGACATCGAGTGTTGATGAATTCGGAAACACTCTTTGGTCATCTTACATACATTTTCTTGTTATTCCATTTCCGTCCACCGATATGTTTGTAAATTGCGCCGGAATATTTATCTTTATTACAACAAAATAGCTTACATTGCCTTTATCCATGTTACAAGCTTTCAAAAGATTACAGCAAAACCTTTCCGTTCACCAATTCAGGAACCGCAATCAATACATTCTATTGCAAAGTAAGTCAGTTGACATTCTTAGTGGCCGCTGCGCCCATAAAATATTGTCTTTCCCGTTCACGTTTCAACCAACCTTGGCAATCTGTAGACATTTCCTTTCAAAACTGTCCATTAAAAGCTGCCCCCAAGCGTTCGTATGTATTTTAGAATAACTTTCATTCTGCCGGATATATGTATATATGTAGCTAAACTATAACCACCTCGTAAAAGTAACACTGGAAATTTAATTATTTTACCAGAGGGCAAATTTATGGTATGATTGACGCTATAAATTCTCATTACCGAATGGTAGAATGTATACTCCTGATTACATGACCGCGGATTATCTCCTATCAAAGTCAATTCAGGTATTCTTTGTGTCAGAAGTGAAGTTTATTTTCATGATATTCTTCTGTGTTTTCTCATTTTTCAGACGTTCCTTATTGTTGCGAACAAGTTTGGTAAACAGTATGTGTATCGTTTCCATGCCTCAGACTCACTTTATCTCTTCAGCCCTCGCAACAGGATTCGAAGATTTGTCCTCTTTTTAATAACTCATCAATATCCTTTTTATTACATTTCAATTTGTGAACAGATAGTTGCGTTAATTGTATTATTTTTTTTTTAATCATTTAGGGCCGCGAAACCTGCTTGTACAGGCGTTTTTGAATGTTTTTGTTTGTAATATCCCTCTAAGTGTTTGTTGTTAATAACTTGTTTGTTTGTTTGTTTTTATGTATAATTATTTTGTAAATATCATTATTTTTCCACAATTTTTTTTGTGCGACATGTACTTGTTATCCTGTGTTTTCAAATTTCCGTGATCACTTGCAGGCTTTTTCTTTGTCGTTTGAGCGTGTTTCTGTGTAGTTTGAACATCTCTCGGTACCTTGCTAAAAACCAATATTTTTGGATTTTCTCTTGGTTTGTCATATTCCTTGACTAACTCTCAGATATTTTGAACTCATTATTTTGTTAACAATTTTAACAAACTGTGTATTCCTAGCAATGAGCAATCCACCGGATGAGGCTGAGTAAGTACAAGATTTCTATTTTGTTTAATAGTTTAAAATCAAAATTCCTTCGCAGAAAAAACTTAAAAAATAATAATAATCTTTCACAAAAGTTTTGGTTGGTTATGAGAACATTTAAAGAGAATGAACCAAACTCTTTTCTAGTTCGACTGAAAAACGCCTCGCTTGTTCTAATTGGTTTAAATGTTTAACTTTCAGTAACGTTCTGGTAGATTAAGGTTATAGCGAGGCGTGGAACTTAAACATTTCTTTAAGGATATCACATAGTCACACGGGGATACGAATTTTTATGTTGATTGATTGCTAATGGTATCCTTCAAAAGTGAACACAGCGAAGGAGTGAGGCATGCTACTAGCACAACAAGGTGAAATTCATATCACCGAGTGGCCGTGTAATGTTCTGTTTACTTTATAGATGGCATTGAAATATTAAAGACAAAAGTCGTATTAACTTGAAGACACATTTCAAGTGCACGGAATGTTAAAATCACCTGCACAAAATTTGCGCCCGGAAATATTATTCTATCTCTGACATACGAAGAGAAATTAATTTCCTCGTCGGGAAAGTTTTATTTGAGTCACAAAGGCGCCAATTCATTCTCAATAATGTTTTTAAGCACAAAAAAGAACTTTTTAATTACCTCAAACGTCTTGTTGGTATGCGTGGTAACCATGACGACTTGTAAAATATAAAATTAGTACCTTCACAGCGTGCATCAAAGATATCGTATTTAAGACAGAAGAAATCCTTATATTTCAGTAATATCTGTCTAATAATTTTGGGTTCTGTGCGGTTTTTACATTTTTCGAATTTTATTAAGTGTTGCCTGGTAACAGTCCTCTCGGATTAAAACTTTTTGGCAACTTTAGCTGTACATTTGTACTTGGATTATTCGTTATGGGGAGAATTTTCAATTTATTGCCGTTGATAAGCTGGTTAAGTTTATCCTTTGATGAAATTGCTCATTTCGTCGTTAAGACGACAGTGAGGTTTTATTGGAGTTCTGTTGAAACGGGAAAGGTTTTAAAGCAATGTGTTCTTTTGTATATTTATTTTAATAGCCAATAAATCATGCCAATGTCAAACAAAGGTTTTAAATGGTGAAACCTCTTATTGCAAAAAGCTGAAATTTGGCGGTCAACGTTCTTGTGTAAAGGCTATTTTTTCGTTTGATATGCAGACGAATATTTGTGTATCATGTGGCTGGTCGTTGCTAACCGTTGCTGAATAAATACCCTTCTCTCGTGATGTAAAATTACGATGCTATCAAGTTTAACACGTAATGTTTATCTCGTAGAAAACGTAGGCGGTGGTTGCTATGATGATAGAATTGTTTCCCAATAATGGATAGGCTTAAGTTTACCACGGACGTGATTAACATTTATTAGAGTGAATTGTCTCCATTTTGCCTTGACTGCAACAACTACAAATAGAACATCCATCGACGAAGAAAACGATTTGGATTGTCGAAATTTAATGTAACTTAAAACTTGCAAATACAACTTGGAAACAAAATTGAAAAGACTGACGTCAAAAAATTGACGATATTAAACTGATGTATGTGGAGGCCCATTTCTTTATTAGAATCTATCTATTTATTTATTTACTTTGCAACGGAAAGGACAAGCTTAAAGAATCTCTTTCCTCTTCTCCTTCGTGCAAAATAACATATTGTGTGTGATCTGTGGCCAATTCCGTTAGTTCTAGTACGCTTTTGCTCTTTACTAGAAATGTAGATTTACACTCTAAAATATTTGTCAAGATGCTAATATGGGGACTGCTTTTTTTTTTTCAACAGATATGTTTTTGCTGCTATTTACACTCTGGAGATGTTCCTTAAGATCATCGGCCGTGGATTTGCTCTTCATAAATACGCGTATCTTAGAAATGCGTGGAATTGGTTAGACTTTCTAGTAGTAATTTTAGGGTAAGTCAATGAGGTTTTCGTTGTAATAATCTGTAAGCTTTATCATCCAATCAGAACTCTTTGGTATCATGGTATCAGTGACAAAGTACTGATGGGGGGGGGGGGGGGAGTCGGAGAATTTTTTGCGGGGATCACATGGTTTTCAGGGGGAACTGGGGGTTCAGTCGTCGCCAACAGAGTACATAGAGGGAGTCTAAAAAAAATTGACTGGGGGGGGAGAGAGAGTCAAAAGAATATTAGAGAGCCTTAAAGGACGATCAGGTAAGTTTTATCGTGACACATACCAAATCCTCCATACCTTTCCCCCCGCCGCTGAGGCGATGAATAATGACGGGGGCCCTAAGGATGTTTATTATATTGTTTGTACTTATTTGTCTGGCTTTGTCTGAAATAAGTTGCTTGTTGTTCTTGTGAGTTGAAAATTGTTTTCGGTTTCACGCTGTCACAGCAGTCTATTTTTAGCTGGTTTAACTTTTGGTTATTTTAAACACAGTTTTTAGCCAATGAAGCAATCGTCAGGGCTGTCTATTATTTATAACCTGAAAATCTCCAGCATTGTGTCACAGTGCAGAATTATCTCGCATTCCTATGATCACTCTAATTCTGTCACTAACGAAAACCAAGCTAATATTTCATGAATTTTGAACATTAAATAATCTCGATGACTCTTAAAAATGATTTAATTTTTTTGTCTTGATGCTTTGTTGAACAAAGACCAGAAAACTTAAAGTTTCAAAATTGCTTCTGTTCCATCAACTTCATTGTTACTATTTTCTGGAATTATCGCCGCGCAGTGGACGAAGGTGCTAGACTTCGTCGTTGTCATGGCGACAATCACCTTTGCTTTAATTAACAGTATTCAGTTATTTTAAGTCAGCATTGTACTTAAAACATTTTGCTCTCGTAGAATTAAAAACATTGGAGCTATTTTTGGCCGCTGGCGTAAGTCACGTTTCGATCGCGTGCTTCAGCTAATATATCACGAGCGTTATTTGGTAACAGAGTTCATAACATAGCTAGTAAATTTGTCTAATCAAATTCAATTGCGCGAGCGTGCTTCATATTCCTATTGTGCACGCTCATGACGTCAGCAAACAAATCCCTCGAGAAAAAAATTTTCCATCGGGTTGAAAATGTTATAAAACAATTGGTTCATGCGTCAGCTTGGGTTCGTTGAGATATGAAGCACTTGGGAAGTTTGAAAAGCACTCAAGAAGCTAGAGTTGCTCTCGGCTACGCCTCGAGCAACTCTTACGCATCTTTCGTGCTCTCAAAACTTCCCGCGTGCTTCATATCTCGATGAACGCACGCTGACGTATGAACCAATTGTTAATTGATTGCATGTTATGTAATGATAACTATGTTATCAAATCACGTGCGGATTACATCAGCTAAAGCACGTGATCAAAACTTGACCTAAGCCAGCAGCCAAAAATAGCTTCAGCTCTTTTCTCGAAAGAACCGGTGACTTTACGGGCTCGAAAACCTGATTTTTGTTCGCCTTATTTCGTTTAAATTAAAAAACCTTATTATCATTAAGCAAAACGAAATGAACTGGTTTATGATCTAAGGCACGCACCTTTGAATTAGATTTGAAAATGTTACTTTGGTCCCCTAAAGTTAGTGGGACTTTCGAGAAGTGGCCTCAGGTTTGAGAATATACAAGACAGTTTCTAAAGGGTAAATTGAAAAGAAAAGGTGCTTCAATCGCTTGGACAAAGAAGAAGATTGCATTGTGAAAGGAAAGGATTGTATTGTTCTGACGACAAGGTCTCACTCTTAACCCTTTTGTTCTGCTATTTTCTGCAGATATATAACAATGCTTCCAGGAGTAGAAAATTTATCAGGAATTAGAACTTTCAGAGTTCTTAGAGCTTTGAGGACAATATCAGCAGTTAAAGGTAGAGAAACGTTCGCTATTTGTGTATTTTAAAAAAGCAAACTTTGTGCCGAAGAGTTGTTGCGCGAGAATAGCCAAGTTGTGCTGCATTACTGAGCCTTTGAATAAGGCTGAGGGTAAGGTTAACTTTGTTATGATGCGAAGCCTTCCTAGGGTCTCGTATCTATCATATCAAAGGTCACCCACAGCCTTCGTTCTTGACTACTAAGCACGCGACCGTTAAAAGGACGTTTGTGTTAACAGATATCTGACTCATGAATATCTCAAGGCGTTTGACATTTGACGAAACTAGCGTCTAGACCGATCAATTTAAAAATTCAAGTCGATTTTTTTTTGAGACTTCCTCACATTTTTTCCAAAAATCTTCACCAGGATAGTGGACTCAAGATATGAATTGACTATTTTGGCTTTAAAAAAATGCTCCACTTTTGTGGAGCTGTGTGATCGACCAATTCTTACCAGGCGTTCTTATTTTTTTGTAGAGAAAGAGATTCAGGTTTGTTCGAAAACTGAAAAAGTGTTTGTAACACCGTTTGATTTTTACTGGTTCCCTTGATACGTTTTGAACAATATAGATTAATCTGATATACACTTTTTAATTCATTTTCTCTTTCTGTTTGTTACAGGTTTAAAAGCCATGGTTAACACGCTATTGAAATCAATTAGGATGCTTTCTGATGTGCTAATTCTTACTACTTTCTTCTTATGCGTCTTTGCACTCATCGGCCTTCAACTTTTCGTGGGTATCATGCAGTGGAAGTGTGTTCTTAACCCCCCTAATGGCTGGCCGCAGAATCCGGACGATTTTTCTAATTACTTGAAAAATGAAAGTAAGGCTCGATTTTCTGTGAAGCAGTAAATGTTCTAGATTTACAATAATTCAAAGCGAAGTTAACGTGCCGTCGTGTTAACTAAAAGTGCCTTTAAAATGCTTTCTGCCTCGGCCGAGCAGTATTCACTTATTTGGCCCGATATGTGATGATAACTTGTCAGCTGAGAAACGAGTCGACCTAGTCTTAGTTAGGAAACTGATGACCTCCACAGTGACGATACAACGATACGAAAACATCATCAAACCAACGATCTAAAGAAAGTACAATCCTGGAAAAAAAATTGTGGTGCAGTTTCCTTAAAGCTAGAGAAATCACACAGGCTTGTCAAAGCTTCAGCGAAAAATCATCTTAAAGAGCAGCAGTTTAATGGTGCAGTTATGCTATGTCAGACAGACGGCATATTCTGACAATATGCGCAAATTGGGGGGAAAATTCACTAAAATGTTTAATTTTGGTCTAAGACTTGCAAATGTGCCTTCACAACATCATCGTCCCATCCCCCCCTTAAAATGTTGGATACTTGTAGACTGAAGATCAATGGTCAGTGAAGGGCAAAACACTACGAACGGCGAAATCTCCAACCCTTGTGACCAAGTTTGAGGGTCCTGCCATGCCAAGTATGACAGGCAAAAAAGGTGCATGAATGAGTCCCTTTATGTCGGAGAAACCTGCTTTAACGATCATCGATGTTAGTCGTCAGATATGACTTTCTCAGTCTTATCAAGCCATTTGTCTCTTAGTATCTGTTGCAATCCCCTTAAGGAGACTGGGCGCTCTCTTCCCGGGCATATAACGATGTTTCTGTCTTATTTTATTAGGTAACCACCATGTGTTCAAGGGCGATGGCTTAGCTGTCTTGTGTGGAAATACTTCTGCCGCCTAGTAAGTCGTTGTTATCGTGCGTTGCGTTTGTGCTCACCAAACCTGCCTTAGATTGCGTAACAGGCGCTCGACTGCATCAAAGCAGACGCGAGTGAGAGCCACGTGTACGCGACAACCGGCGTGAATAAAAAACACGCGGGAGTGAGAAGTCACGCGAATGTACTTGTTGTTTCCCGCGCGTGATACTCGCGTTCTCGCACCTGCGACCTTAGCTAACCTTCCAATTCGACCTGTGTTGCCGATTTTACCTGACGTTTTTTTTTTTATTATTTGTGCGCACAGCCAATGTCCTGAAAACTACACCTGTATGCCAAACACCGGGGACAATCCTATATCCGAGTATATCAGCTATGACAACTTTGGATGGGCCTTGCTTACATCTCTTCAGTTGGTCACAATGGATTACTGGGAAAGCATTTATAACAGCGTGAGTAAACGTTTTGTGAGGTAGAGCGGGTCTTAATCTCGTTTTGGACGTAGGAATAATCTTGTTGATTGTGCTCTGATTGGAACTCGTGGGGCGATTAACGCACTCTTATTATTCAACTATTTGATATCTCGCTAGATGCATCTCCTAGTGGACTTGATCACCGCTTTTCTAATTTTTCTTTTGTTGGCCATTTTCGGCGAATGCGCGTTATCGCTACTCCTCTTGGGTGGGAACCAACCTCCCCTCCCTCTTCCCTTCCCTTCCCTATCATTTTGTCAGACCCCGTGACAGTTCACCGCTGCCCATCAACACTCCAAGTCAGAGAGTGGTATAACGAGAGTTAAGTGTCTTTGTAGAACACAATGACGTAGCCAGGGCTCAAATCTGGACCTGTTCTCTTCAGAAGACAGCGGGTCAGCTGCTAGGTCACTCCGCCTTCCACTCACTGCGAACTTCTCTCTTTCGAATATGGTGAATTAGTAACATTTTCTGTCTAATTTGCCCCTAATGCACATTGTAAAATATTCCTATTCAGGTCATTGCTACGAAAGGATCTTGGTATGTGTTCTATTTCGTGTTTGTGATCTTCCTTGGTCCGTTCTACTTGATCAACCTCGTGTTGGCTGTTGTCTCACTCTCTTACGAACAAGAGACTGCTGCACTGCAAGACGAGACTCTGAGGGTAAGTCAGTATTGGAACTGTACTCCTGAAGTATTCCAGCAGCACAGTAAGCCGTGCGAAGTACACAAATTTACGAAGAGTCAGTGCTGTGTTACGACAGTCGGTTTCACACGACCTTTGTCAATTTCTAGGTGATAATGAACTTAGTAATGAGATTAATTTTCGTAAGCCGCTTACGAAAATCAATCTCCCTAAAATTGAATCAATTCATGTAAATTACCTCGACCAAATGCGGTTTTCAACCTAAAAGCCTGATTCCCTCTTACATATTTAAACATTCCTGTTATCTCATTCGTTTGCATCTGTCATCTTTGTCCTTCAGGCGGAAACGTTTGCGAAACTAAAACGCAGCGCGTCCACCTACTCATTTGACGGACATATGGAGCCAGAGCCGTTGTACCAGGAGGATAGACAGCGCATTGAGGAGCGCGAGGCTTACATAACAGCACATCCAGAGGAATCAGAACACCCCCCTGAACCAGAGGAACCAGTGGAATTAACTGTGGAGGTTCCTCGAAGCCCAAGCTGTTGGAGAAAGACACAAAATAAAGTCTCCTGTGTGGTTAACTCCTCCATCTTCGAGACTTTCATCACTCTGTGCATACTGCTAAATACTCTAGCAATGGCGTTGGAACATTATAATATGGACAAAGTGTTTTCCAAGGTTCTCGAAAACTGCAATCTGGTTAGTGACTCTTTTTGGTGTATTTTCAATCCTTTCTGATGGCCTTCAGTGGGTGTGTCGAGCGCAGAAGAACCGTAAAGAAGTGTTCTTTGTTGATTCGGACATCAAACCAAAGGGGTGGAAAAGAATCATATAGGAATAACAGGGCATATAATTAATCGACTTATGTTTAAAATTAGTTGTCATATTGCAATGTTAAGACATTGGCCGTGCCGGAGGCGAGTGATTTGCAAACTCTAATCGTTGATTTTTACACCGGTAAATCGGTCTGTTGCCTTAATAGGGGAGCGGTTAGGAAAGCTGCCTTTTTTTTCCCTCTGCTCCTTGTTTTTTTGTTTTTTTTTTTGGTTCTTTTTTTGTTTTTTTTTTCAGACTTGACCGTACTCGGCGTTCAACAGCATTTTTATCATACCTTATGGAAATTCCCATTAAAACATGAAGTCACGATTTGGGAAGATTTGTCTTTTTATCATATTCGTGATGACTTAAAATCGCTTTAACCCTTTAACTCCCTCGAGTGACCAAGTCAGAATTTCTCCTTACAATATCAATACAATATCAAGCAGACAAGTGGTGAGAATATAGAAAAATATCAGCTTTGGAATTATAAGTTGATCCAATACCAAATTCTCCAAACTATCATCACAAGAACTGTATGGGAGAAGTAAAGAGAATTACTTATAAGATCTTGGGAGTTAAAGGGTTAAATAAAGTTAAAATATCAGATCGTGAATATGGTACGGCCAGACAGAGTTTTACCGAAACGTTTGTCGAAGGTATGAGAAGACTAACATAGACCCCTAATTTTTTCTTTAGGTGTTTACTGTGGTGTTCATCATGGAAATGATTCTCAAACTGATTGCTTTCGGTTTAAAAGAGTACTGCAAAAATAGCTGGAATCTGTTCGACGGGACGATTGTTATTCTGAGTATCTTGGACATGGTGCTGACATACTCTGGTGCCATCACCGGAGCAGGTCTCAGCGTACTAAGGACGTTCAGATTGGTATGTGATTATATAATTTTAAGGTTTAAGAGGGAATTTTTTTACTTCTCACGAGTGTGGGACAAAAGCGAACATCTAGCTTTTTTTGTAAGGATTCAATCCTCAGACCTTGCGATTTGTCGGTTCAATGTTCTACTACCGAACTACCGAGAACTCAAAGATGAGCTTGGCCATTACAACTGGTCATTCTGCGGGTAACTCAATGAGTTTACCGTCTCTAATAAGTCCAGACCTCTCCCCCTCCTCCTGCAGCGTAGCATGTGAATCCAAATTTTTAAAAGGCCCAGTGGAAATGTGAACACTTTACCGTCTGGTTCCCCTGTTTCAAACAACTCAGACGATGGTCAGGAAAAGTACAAAGTGTGAAATTGACATGTGTAGCAATTAGATTGTTAAATTAAGTCTTTTTTATTTTTTTTTTTTTTTCACCAAATTCTCTTTGCCTTGAGTCCTAAAGTCGAAAGCGCACCCTTTTTCGGTGACACGAGCCTGTCACCAAAAAAGTAACCTGATGGGAAGTTGCTAACCTCGGATCCTTCATCGTGGTTTTCAATGTTCAGTTTTAAGATTTCTTCCAAAACATTTCCGGTTTTTTCTTCCCAAGTGTACCTAATGCCTGGAAAGATTTTCCTCTTAAAAGCTGTAAGATAACCGGTTCTTTGTATTTTACTCCGCAGCTTCGAGTGCTGAAGCTCGCCCAGTCGTGGAAAACAATGGGAGATCTGCTGAACACGATAGGAAGCAGTGTGGGACCTGTAGGGAATATCACTGTTATCCTCGCAATTATTGTGTACATGTTTGCGGTGGTCGGAATGCAGTTGTTTAAGTCTTATTACAAAGCGGAAAAGTTTAAGGATGGTAAACTCCCGCGCTGGAATTTTGATGATTTCGGTCATTCCTTCATGGTGATTTTTAGGATATTATGCGGTAAATGGATTGAGCCACTGTGGTGGACCATGAAGGCTACTTCTCCTGCGGCAATTTTTTTCATTTTGCCGGCTTTTGTAATCGGCAATTTCGTGATTTTAAATCTTTTTCTCGCACTCCTGCTGAACTCGTTCAGTGCGGGGGGTGATGAACCGGAGGACGAAGAGGAAAAAAAGAGGAAGGAAGAAGAGAAGAAGAGGAAGAAAAAGGAGAAAGAAAAGAAGAGGCGACTAAACATTCTTCGTATGCTTGGAAGGAAAAACAAAAATCTGTCGGGAAGTAGGAGCAAAGTTGGACCTGATGAAGAAGGCGAGGGAACTGATGTGGATGCGCACTCACGAACAGTCAGCCCAGCTGACGACGGGTGCAAAAAAGAAGCAGCAATCATATTGTCCAACAATCCTAAGAATGGAGAGCAAGAGAATGGATATGAGATGACTATGGTAAATCGATTACCCAACGGTCAGACGCAACAAGAGAATTTTAACGGCTTCAAGTACGGCTTTGGTAAGTTCTGTCTTCACCTCTGCTCGTATTTTCTCTCTTTCTTTTTTCATGACAAGAAACTTTTTTTTTCCCGTCTTGGTAGACGTGATAGAATGAAAGCACCCCAAGCCAGACGACTGATGTTTTGTGTGTGTGTGTTTACTTCTCAGATGAAACACCAGGTAAGCCTGTGGCACGCAACACCAAAGTCAACTCCCTGCCGATTGAAAATCGCCATTCGCTGACCACCGCTATTGATTTGGAAGACGCCGCAAGGAGGATACGGGATTTTCCCGATCCAAACAAGAGACTTCCCCACGTCAACCGCGTTAAAAGCGACGATAGACTGGAAACTAGTGAGAACAACCTAAGTAATGGAGATCTTGTCGCCAATGGTTCCGCTCCCGTGGTGATAAATGGCAATTCGCGAATGTCTGCTGGATCGTCACATAAAGATGTCAGTTTGGGTGACATAGAGTCACGTATTCCACCCAACAGCCCAGGCCATGAATCGAAGCGTGACACCATAGTCACGGTAGATACCGATGACACGACTCCTTCGGGTGGAGTGCGTCCGTGTTGCCCAACTTTCTGTTACTGTGACAGTGGTTGCTGTGACAACTACAAGGAATCGTGCATTCGGAGAAGTTGGCATGGATTGCGTTACAATATCTGTGCTTTTGTAGAGCATAAGTACTTTGAGTGGTTTATCCTCGCCATGATAGTGATCAGTAGTTTAACTCTGGTTAGTTTACCTCACAGTTATTTTTCCTTTCAATTTTCTTTACTTTATCCCTCCTTGAGATAGTCAGAGTTATATGGTTTCAAACTTTTCAACTAATCTGTTTCGAAAGCGCTGGTTGGTCGAGAATACAGCTTTCGAGCGCTGGTTGGTTGAGAACAGAATAGCCTTCGTCAAGCCTTGTAGTTGACTGATCGGCTTTGAAAACAAAGCATTGGTAAATCTCATTGTGGTACACAAGAGCATATAAAAACTTGAATATTCTTTTATTTCAGGTGTTTGAAGACATTCATTTGAAAAACAACCCCGTCTTGAGTCAGACGTTAAAAGTGATGAACTACATCTTCGCAGTCACCTTTACCGTTGAAATGCTTCTTAAAATCGTCGGAATGGGTTTCGTGGGATATTTTTCCAACCTGTGGAACTGTTTGGACAGTTTCATTGTAGCGGTAGGTCTTGTATACTCTGAAGTATGATGATGAATCGTTTAAAGTGTTCTTGTCGCGGATAATCTTGTAATAACCTCTCTTAATATTATTTTGCTTGACATGCATCTTTTTGGTTCTTCATGTTTGAACTTCGATCTTTTGAAAGGGCGATGTCGGGTTAGCGTTACTAAATTTAAAAATTGCTAGCTCAAGAGTTTTGCTTGTGGTCAAACCAGCCGTTTTCAAAATCTGCGTCTTTACAGGTTTTTTATGTAACCGGCACTGATAAGATTATCTGCGAATCAGTTTAACTTACATAGGTTGTCTTGCTCTTTGTTAAGTCTTTTTTTCTATTTTTTTTAATTACCTGGTAGATCTCCCTCGCAAGTCTCACCGGAAGTAAGAATTTACAGTCATTCAGATCTCTCAGAGCCCTAAGACCTCTCAGAGCGATATCTCGGTTTGAAGGAATGAAGGTAAGTTGAAACTTTTTGCTTCTCATGAGTAACGCATGTACTGCTACGGTCTTAAGACGTATCTGCCACGATGCAAGAACCACACGAAATGTTTCATAGACTGATTTCTTTATTCCGTTATAAAACTTAGCGTTGGATTAAGTTTCTTTTTCTTGTTGTTTTGCAAACTATCCTTGAAGAAGTAGTTGGTTTCGCTAAATATAGCGTAGCAAAAAGCAAAGATTATTGGGTAATTCTTCAGGTCTTGTTTATTAAAAAACATTTCTAGCTTGTCAATGTTGCTAAGTCGAAACCTTATGGGTGACATAGCGTGACACCAGGATCAATGCTTGTTTTGTTTTCACATCTAGCGTGACAAGCTTTGTCGATCCTTGCATGACGGAAGTCCTGTTTGTGTTCTGATTTTAGATTGTCGTCAATTCATTGGTGCATGCTGTCCCAGCTATCGTCAACGTGATGTTGGTGTGTCTTATATTCTGGCTAATCTTCAGCATTGTCGGCTACCAGTTGTTCAGCGGCAAGTTCTATAGATGCTTCAATAGCGAGACCCTTGATAAGTACACGCCAGATGTGGTCATGAACAAATCACAGTGTAACGAGTCACAGGGCATGCTCTGGAGGAACGCTAAAATCAACTTCGATAGCTCACTGCAAGGATTCTTGGCTCTCTTTCAAGTTGTACGTATCAGGAATTATTTATCTATAGAAATGACTTTAATGAAGCACTTTTTAGAAACATTTTCTCTGTTGGGAGGTAAAGCATTGGGTTCATTTCAAACTGCAGTGGAGTTGTTGAGACTTCACAAGATTCGTAGTGATTTAGCCATAAAAGTAGTATTTACACTAAGCTATGTTTATTGCAGGCTACCCTAGAGGGAGTGTTTGAAGTTATGGACGATTCTGTGGATAGTGTTGGAGTAAGTGAATCAAAACATCATCTGTTGTATTACAATCCATGTCAGTGATATATAAAGTATAGTGGCTCTATTAAAAAAGATTCTATTTGTAATTTTAGAAGGAAAACCTGACGCTCACCTGACTCGCTCTTCGAGGGCAAACTTAACGAAATAATGTGATCTCTGAATTCGCCAATTGATTATATCGTTGAAATTGATGAATCATGGGATATGTGATCAGATCTCCGTTTGAGGAATCTAACACCAGTGTTATTTAAACCTGACACTGATATTCATAGGAATTCAGTTTCCACTGAGGGTAGAGCTACTTGGAACTCTTTTGGTAACATTAGAATAACATCCGAGATTATCTCCAAATTGAAAACTGCCAAGTTTCATTTGGCAAATTGGCCATGTTACCTTAAATAATTATTTTCTTAACATTTTTGGGATTCTGTAACTAAGTAACTAGGCTCACAGGAAACATCACAAAGTGAACGCGTAAACGCACATGTTTAGGTGATAGTATCCTCTCAGCTGTCAGAGTCAAGATTGAAAATGTCCCTAACTTAGATAGTATATTGAGATGTAGTTTCTTATACAACCAAATTAGCTTTGTTTTAAAATTTTCGTGGCTGAACAAGCAATGTTATAACGCTGATGACGATGATAATGATGATAATGAGGATCCTAATAATCATCTATCATTATTATTGTACTTATTTTTTGTGCTTAGCAAGAACAACAGCCAAAATATGAGAACAGCTTCTACGCCTACTTCTATTACGTCGTGTTCATCATCATGGGTTCGTTTTTTATCTTGAACCTCTTTATTGGAGTCATCATTGAGAATTTTAATCGCCTCAAACAGCAGGTGAGTTTTTCTACAGCCGCTAGATTTCTTCCATTGAAGTGTAATAAAAGGCAATTTAGTTGACTCAAGTATTTAAGAGAAATATTATTTATGTTCGTCCTCCTCTTGAAATCACTTGATTCCTAAGAAAAAATTCTCTTTTAAGGAAATGTTTCTTGGCGCAGTTTTATCATTTGATCCGTGCGGCCCCGCGCGGCCCGGGCGTGCTTCTTTTGCAAAATATTCCATGAAATTCCCCGTTCGAGGGCCGTACGTGGTAGCGTGTGCAGGGCCAGACTCATCGTGTTATTTTTGTTTCAGTATGAAGATAGCGGGGCACTTGGAATGTTTTTAACACCAGGGCAGAGAAACTGGGTGAACACACTCAAGAAGACTTACTACAGGAAACCCAAGAAACAGTTCAAGAGACCACAGGTTGGAAAACATTTCCAACTTTTACAGCTGATACAACCATCGTAAATGCCTTTGTCCTTAGCGTACTGATGGATATCTAACAATAACTAGTGAAGCTGTAAACATTCGACTGACGAATTCGAACAAAGTTTGAATGACGTCCAGAATTGTTTAGACAGCGTGGTATGCAAGATAAATAGTCATTTGATGGGTTATATTAAGATTCTATAACCAAGCAGTGAAGATCTGTCGCGCAGTTTTTTGAATCAGTAAATTCCTTTTAGTTCCTTGTGACACCTTTTAACTCTCTCTTTTGTCCTTAGAACAAGTTTCGAGCGTGGCTGTTCGACTTGATCCTACAAAAGAAATTTGAAGTGTTCATCATGTCTGTGATTCTCGTCAACATGGTCACAATGATGATGGAACATCACAACCAATCGGAGAGTTTCACCGATGCGCTCAATATCCTTTCAACTAGGAAAGTTTTACCAAAAAAAAATTTTATATGAAAACAAATATATTTAATTCGATCAAAACTTTGTATCTTATTGAGGAATCAAGCCATAGTGGAGAGAACAGGGATGGTACCGTGATTGGGGTGCTCATATCCCACCGCTGTTTCCTGGGTTCAATATGGGGTTCGTCTTTTCTTGCTTGCAGCGTTTTTTTTTTTTTTTTTTTTTTTAGTTCTCCTGCATTCCGCACTCTGCTCACAAAACCCCGTGGCACTCCTCGCGGTAGTGCCACTGCAGTAGTACTATAGTAAAATAGTTCCGTAATCAGTGGTTGAATATTCCAACTTGTTTTCTCTAAAACGAAACGGATCTAAAGTTCCCATTCCAACAAACTTTATTCCGTATGTAGCGGAGCCCCATACTAAGGGAAACGCTAGGGTCATTAAGGTGCGAAAATCTGGTTGTTACGTCAAGGCTGCTTGTTCTGTCTTACAATGCAAGGATGACAAGGACAATCGTGTCTGTTCTTCTCCTTCTATTTTTGATAAACTGAAGGCCACTTATACATCACTAACTAGAACTTTAACATAACTAATGTTAGGCTTGGCCTCACGAGCGAGAGCTATTTCCTCGGCTTGTCTTAATCACTATTTTCCAATCTTATATGTCACTGTTTATTGTGATGTTCTGCTTTGAAAGAGTTCTCCTTAACCAGAGCTCGATTTTTTTTGCCGGGCCTTTACGATATTTGAACTATATCTTCACTGGGATCTTCATTATAGAGGCAGTTATAAGGCTGATTGCAATGCGGCTGGATTACTTTAAAATGGGTTGGAATGTATTTGATTTCGTAATAGTGGTTTTCTCCATTGTTGGTAAGTTATTAGTTTATGATTCTAAACTAGACTTCTTTTATATCCGTTCCTTTAATGGTAGTTTTCTTAAATGTACTCTGTGTGCAAAAGAAGCGAACTAGTTTGATACTTAGTTGTTCTATCTTATCCTTGGGTGAACTTTCCTTTCCGCCTGAAGAAGACTAGCTGTATGCAGTCGAAACATCGCGATCCACATTCGAATTGACCACATTATGAGACAAACGATTATATGTCTCTTTTGAATTTCCCTATTTATCGAAGGCTGATTATCGTTGTCAGAAATTAAGGAAACAGTTCGGCTTAAACCACACCAAGTTGCTGCGGTACGTGGCGCAGAGAAGGTTGTGTGAAATACGTGATCGTGATCGCAACTGTCAAACGTGCTGAGACGGTGTTCTACACATCACTTAAAAACAGACTTGTTTAAAGGTTTTAATTCTGTGGCTTTCTTTCAGGCATCGTTGTCGAAGACGTGTTGAAAAAGGAAATGATCTTCTCACCAGGCTTACTACGAGTTGTCAGGGTCTTTAGACTGGGAAGACTGCTGCGATTCTTTGAAGGTGCAAAAGGTGTTCGTCGATTGCTGTTTACTCTGGTGAAATCACTGCCCGGATTGGTCAATATTGCTATGTTGTTGGGCCTGATTATATTCATATACGCCATTATTGGTATGTCATCGTTCGGTTATGTCAAAAAGAGCAACGGCATTACGGACGTGGTGAATTTTGAAACGTTTGGAAACTCCATGCTTTTGTTATTTCGGGTTGGAACAGCCGCGGGTTGGAACACCATCCTTGATCCACTCATGGTATCTGAACCCGACTGTGACCCGAATATGGATAATGGCGGACCCAATGGAAACTGTGGAAATCGCTTTCTTGCTGTGTTTTTCTTCGTTAGTTACATTCTGATTATTTTCTTGATAATGATAAACATGTATATAGCTGTTATTTTAGAAAATTTCAATGAGGCACAACAGCAAGAGGAGATTGGTGTGACAGACGATGATCTAGAAACCTTTATCCAGGTTTGGGAGGAGTTCGATCCCAAAGCAACACATTACATTCATGTCAATCAACTGAGCGATTTTCTAGCGGCTTTGGAACCGCCGCTTCAAGTTCCTAAACCAAACAGGCACCTCTTTGGTGAATTACAGGTACCTCTTAAAACTGGATATCGCATCTATCTCGTGGATCTTATGCAAGTTCTCGTAAGACGCGCCATGGGAGGTGTAGAAGGTCACGAAGAACATGAGATGGCCATGTTAGTGGATCGTTTGGAGGAGCGATTCGCAAACATGCGCAAAAAGGAAACTGACCTCAGGTCTCTTCCTGAGCAGCATAAGTTTGAGATTAAGGCGGCGGTGACAATTCAAAAGGCCATAAGGATTTTCTTGCTAAAAAGAAGGCTGAGAGTCAGTAGGGGAGGAGCTTTTCATGCATATGATGAGCTGACTTCGGAAAAGGGCAAAGCTCATGGGTGGAAGGAGAAACAAGTGGAAGACAACACTCGCGTGATAGGCATGCTGTGGCTAAGTCAAGCGAAGCGACACGAGGAGGAATCAACCACAGATGCACAAGATGAAGATGAGGAAAATACTAAGGATGAGGAAAACACGGAGGACGATTCTCCTACCGAAGTTACTGTTGTGGACCAAGAGAAACCTAAACCCTCCCCAAACACTCTGAGTGTTCATTGTTAGCGAACAGGAGGAAGGTCACGGAACGGCAACACAACAACACTTGTCAAAATCATTCTTATCACAATTACTTGTATGGTTGGTGATTAGGAGCGTCACTTTTAGAAATGCAAAGGGTTCAAAACGAAATTAATGCGACTCAAGTCGTTAAGCTTATTGGATCGTTTGCTAAACTGTTCACTGAAAAAATGGAGGAACAGAGCAAGTTAAGCACTATTGAATGTTGCGTATATGCAGTGGTAATGAATGCCAGATAATGCCTCGTGGAGCCTGAGATACTTGATCAATGAGAGGGACTCTACCTGGAATAATTAGTCGATTGGGGCCCTCGCGGAGCTATCTTGTTATGCCCCCATGACAAAACCTTTACAAGCGTGAATCCGCTGTACGGCATGACAGTTGCTCCGCGGCTGCATGTCGTATATTTTATACGTTAAAAATAACAGAAGGCCAATGCCTTTGTAAATATTACTTAAAAATATTTTTGTTATTATTTGATCGTAGCTGAAGGGAAGCAATGCATTTAGACGGTTATTGCATTTTTGCAGTGAGCCTCAATCCTCTTTGAGGTTCTCGCTGAATGAGATTTGTCGATGTTATGTCCAGTTTTTAAGGTTAATTTAGCTGACCGAATTTAAACTATCTAAAAAAATCAATTGTGTTTTTGTATTGCACACCGCCTTGCTAAATTAGGCGACGTATTTCTCAATTTTAAATCAATCAATTATTCCAGTTCAAATTAAAATATTTGTGTAAGTTGAATGAATGCGATAATTCTTATCTTATTATTATGGTACTCTCCTTACTGAGGAGAAACTTTTTTGGCACAAATAATTAAATTTCAGCTGCACTGCTGAAGGCAATTTCTTGCTTTCTCTTTATTGAGAGGGAAAGGTCAACGCCTAATTTTTAGTTGAGTCAAATTAGTAGATATTTTATCGTGGAATCAGCTGATAACGTTATCAGTGAGATTACTGTTGTGTACGGTTAAGCCTCGTTATTCTATGAGACAGTTTGATTCCTTAACCGTGAAATACAAAGCAGCTTTGATCAGACAATGCTCTTTTAAAAAACTTGTTGAAATAAGTTCTGACAGAGCTTACTTTTTGTTTATGTCTCAGATCGGTTCTAAGGCGACAACATTTTATATTCTGTGGTTGTCTTAACGGCGCTTTTAACTTACTATTTATACATTTATTGAGGCTTCGATTTGCACAACATTTATCTCTGGTACAAGGTTAGCAAAAATAGAGCAGGACCGTAAAACATCAGTTCATCGTGTCTAGTATTAAAATTTCCATTTTCTCTATTTTGAATTAATAATTATTTAAAAATAATGTTGATATTTTTGTTCTCTTACGGTACGTTAAGCTTGCTCCAGTGCTAAAGCGTAGTTATGTAAATATAAGATTGTGCCAAGGTGTTATGGTAACTTATTGCCGGTGAAACGGTTAGTTATGGACTGGTTTGACTGGGTAAGAATGCGGATCAGCGACCTTTGTTCGAGGGCTCAAGTCCTTTATCAACAATACAATATACTTATTGTTCGCTAGTGACAAGTGAAAGTTAAATTTCACAAGAATTTATTAAGATAGCTTTTTATACTTTTGTTTTCGTTTTAAGGTTGATATCTCCGCGTAATTGACAAATGTTTATCACAAAATTCACCCGCGGAGATACGTTTTTTTGTATTAAAGATAGTGTTATTGAGGATGTGAAGGCTCGCTTAAAATGTGGCGCTTTCCAGCTTGCAGTTGTTGAAAATAACAAACCACAGTCTGGACCGTAAACTTTATCAAATCACGAAAACGCACCACAAGGAACATTGCATTGAAATAAATAGGCTTATTACCAAATTTGTGACAATTTTCAGCAATAAATTGCAGAAAATATTTCAGCTAACTTATTTATTTTGATGTAATAGGCAATCTTGTGTTGGAGTTTCTACTATGATTTGATTAGATTTACAAAGGGCGAGGTTTTGCTTAATATCTTAAACAGAAAAGGCCAAATGATTTGGCAACTTATTTATGTCAAAATTTTCCCAAATTCGCTACTACAAAAAAAATTTATTCCGTTACGAGGAAGCACTAGTGGGATCTTTTTGGTTCGTTTTCACCGAGATTTTTGTAAGTACAAATTTTATACGTCAAAACCATTAAACTCTGCGAACACATAAACCTTGCGGCTTCTGGTTGAGTATTTCCATTACAAAAGCTATTATATGTCTGTTCGCCTCTTCGAGAAGGAAGGAGCGAGGGGGGCGGTGGCGGGGAGGCCAATGCGTGTACGCTTGATTCCAGATGAAAGCGTCTGTCGGCCTGTCTGAGTATTTCCTTACTCGGGAAAAGTCGGTTGACACACAATACCCCTCTCCGTACTCAGGAATAGTCTATACGATAGCTAGTGTGGCCGAGGTGCAGGAATATTGAGAGTACGCTCTGAAAAGAGGACAACGTGTGCGCGGGGTTTGGGCGCCATTCTCGATACTCCCACCTTTAATGTTCGATCCCTGGCTGTAAAGGCTATCGTATTGCCTCAGCTGGGAATCCAGCTCTGTCGGTTGATAGAGCAGGATCTCAATCACCCAATCGCAAGATCGCATCCACCAGTTCGCCCTCATTACGAATAGTTAAGCTGATCAAATGTAACAAGTTCGTTCCTTCGTGCAGTTTGCCCATATTTTGTTTTTGATCGAAATGACCAGGCTTTCCCTTGAGAAGAGCACGTTCTTCCGTTGAGAAACGAGTTGAAAGATTTGGGGGCGGACTGGTAGTGGTGGTGGTAGCAAACTGGTTGCATTAGATGAGGAGAATTTGTGGTGGAGGGGACGAACTTGCAAAAGGTCAAAAACCTCCATATACTATTTTGTTTACATCTAAACAGACGTTATATCTTAAGAGCGCGCAGTCACCATCCTTCCATCAACTTCCGTCTGAGGGCAGACAAATTAAGGCCATTGAATAAGAGTCCAAATCGGATTCAGTTAAATGAAATTATTGCTTCAATTTTCTTTTAATTTGCTTATATCTTGCTTATGAACAGCTCATCGAACAGAGAATAGTAGAGAAAGTGAATGAGTTGCTTGAGAGGGAACCTATAGCATTTGGTTTTAGACACCGACACCAAGTCATTAAAACGTTTGGTCTCGCAAGCCACGCTAGACACTGCAGCAAACAGATGCTGTCTCGAGTTTAGTGCTAATTATTACAGTATCCACCCGAATAACATGAGGTCAGCGTCAGATGCAAGTAGTATAGTAAGCTACGTTGGCAAGTCAGGAAGGAACGTGAGCAAAAAACGTTGCTTATATATATTGCTCGTTTAATCAGTCTGTTGTTAGTACATCGCTCATCTGCTGGTTTTTTGTTTTGTTTTTTTTTTTTTCACATAGGAGAAACTTTGTTTGAGTTTTTCGCCCTGTAACTTTACCAGTAAGCTCGACTTGAGATTGTTGGCCCAGTTTTCTAGCAAGAGTCCAAACAGACAAATTTCGCGTGATAATGACCGGGATGAATGACAGGGAAACAGAAAATTTGCTCAGTAAAGCTCTCTTCAGGCCTCCTTCTCACTCGTCCTCCCTCACCCAAGTTTTGCGCGGCTCGAACGTTTTACTTTCGCCGGCTCAACTGTCTAAAAGTTTTGAAAAAGCCCCATTAACTACATACAATTTGTGAATTTAATTTCCTTAACTTAACATGAAAATTCAGCAATTTACCTTCGTGATAACTGAAACTTGAGTTCTCATATTCTCTTATAAAGTGACAACTTTTAATCCTTTCTTTTTAATGAATACTTTTTCTTTCCCCGGTCGGGAAAATAGATTCAAGTAGACTGTAGATCTTAAAGTTTTTTAGTTGATAGAGTATATCGAAATTCATCAGCGCAGGAGTTTTTGTAATTAACTGTTGCGATTGCATTTGCTGGTTCAAATTTCATTCGATTCGAAACAAAAATTAGTGCAATTTTCAAATAATTAGATTTAGAAAAACAAAAACAATCAAACAATTGGTCCAGGCGTAAGTTTGGGTTTATCATGATATGGGATGCACACGGGAAGTTTGGGGACTGTTGAAAAGTGAGCAAATAATACTCAAGTCGTTACCGATAGCCCCCAAACTTATTGATTGCTCTCCAAACTTTTCAAGTGCGTACCTCTCGACGAAAGCACAGCTGATATATGAACCCTTTGTTTTCTGACATTTCAACGTTGTAGCTTAGAAGTTCCCTCTGCTACACGCCTCACTGGTACAGACTCGTCGTTAGCAAGCACAATGTGAGTATGAAGCACCCTCGCGCAAGGGAATTTTATTAAAGGGATTTACAAGCTATGTTGAAATTTTTGATATTTAACACATTAAAAAAGTCATGATTCGCTATTTTCAGATGCTCACATTGGCCGCTCGTCTCAGAATTCGCCCACGCTGTCAATTTCAAGACTCTTTTTTTCTATTATATTTCAAATGATTGTTAACTTGTTACCAGTCAGCTAAGCATCTGGTGTCAAATCTCTATGGCCTATGATTCGCAATTAGCCGGAAAAAAATGCGCCGTAATATTGACTGGAAGCTGTTCGTATTGAGACGTAATTAGTTCTTAATTTGGTCCTTACAAGAACCAGTCCGTTGTAAGCGGAAAGATCAGTAATTGTTTTTATGCCCTCTTGGGATCTGTATTTGCATCTTCACTTTGTTTTCAACTTTCAGTTGAAAGGACAAGTTCTTGCTATGTCATGCAAATAAGTTCCTAAGCGAAGTTTTGTTGATTTGGTTTCTTAGCAGTAATTTTTCCCATCAGCTTCGTTAACTTTGCATGTGGCGCTTACGTCGATACCAATTATTTCAAGAAAGAATTCAAAAATAGGTTAACATGTTAGAAATGGTTTGAATTTTTCGCCTGGAAACAAAACCAGTCACTGGTTCATGCTGTGGATCGCTTTTTCTGGTAACTGGTGAAAAAAAGATGTTGAAATTCCGGTCGAGGAAAAAGGTACACTTCGTTCCATTTGCCTGTGACAGGTGAGGACAAGAAAACACGAAAAACATGAAGGAAGCGAACGCGAGGGTAAGACACCATTGAAGGACTTAACTTTGTGAAACGATTAACTTTGATTGTGATTAACTACGAAACAGTCTTCTTTGAAAATTTCATGTGTTCGGGGTTCTAATGTCGTTAATTCTCATCTGAACAAAGCCGTTCGAAGCTAAATATTGTAAATAGAAAGCTTAATTTAACAGCACGGATTTCAAGGCTCTCTTTGTTAGATAAACATTCACACAGGGTAAATTTATCAGTATCATGGAAACAGAGCGTTCGCAGGTTCTATGAAATTTAATTATGTCTTGATACCCGTTTAAACAGAAACTTTTAGAGCTTATTTAACATGCATCTTTGTAATTTCTATGACTGTAATCCTCGAAAGCAAACTACTTTCAAGAAATCCAGTTAAATGTTGTTCAAGGTATTCGAAGTTACCCTTTTTAACGGCAAATTAAATTTATATTTACGTCGATAGTTCAAAGCCAAAATCTTAACAATGAGTTATGAGAGCTCTGAATCTCATAAAAGGTATCGTTTGAAACACATACTGGAAAACCCTCGGAACCGAGTAATAAATTTTGGAGAAATAGTACACTTTGAACTGTTCTAATTTACCACTTTACTTGTAACTACCTCATCGTAATCGATTATCGTCCATTATTCTTTAATAATAGATGCATTTGATGCAAAAAAGCTTGTTTATTTAACCGCTTAACTGCAGTTGAAAGTTGGAAAGGTTTTGTGAAAACTCATGAACATTGGCGGTCAGTGTTTGAAGGCCTTAAATAACAATTCCTTTCACTTAGCTCCGATCTGAAATAAGGAACGGGCACACACTCATAACATTACTCAACCAACAACAATCTGAAATTAAACTATAAATATTCACCGTCGAATTTCAATTTAAATTCAACGAGCTTGTCAGCTGTAAAAAATAGTTTCCGATGTGCTGAGAAAAAAAACCTGTAAACACGTTTTTGCTTTGTTCCCTAAAAAGGGCATTTAACTGAGCAATGGATGTTTTGTTGCAACATATCGTTTTTGGCTCAATGTTCCGTCTGAGGAAATTTTCTAGTCTTAAAAGAGTAAGTAAAGATTGAGGTATATTTACAAAGTATTTCTGTTTTGGGAATATTCTTAAGTTGCACATGCAAACAATTACCAGACTCTGAGTCTCATTATTATCCTATTTATCTGAGTGTGAAATCGTTCACAAACAAATAGCCAATTCACAGACCGGCAAAATTAAAATTTTTATTTTCCTCACATGATTTGGCCATGTTATAATTGTCATCTGTAAGAATTCTGCCAGCTTTCGTGGGTCAAATTAAATGTATGGTATTTGATTAAGCTCTAAATTGTTCAGAAAGGAGCGAAGTTTGGAAGTCCGTGACAAGCTCACCCCGTTTGAAATAATGGAGAAGAATTTGTTTTTAAATTATTGAAATAAAGGTGCAACCTTAAAATTTTGGAACGAGAAATTGAAGACTGATGAGAAGTCTGTTTCTCGTGGCAAGGTTTCATTTCAGTTTCACTGACAAAGAGCTCTGTATAGTTTAGAACACATTTGACACCTTAATTCAATGCAGTACTCACGGAGAGTAAAGTTCTCACAAAGCGGGTCTTGATGTTGCGAAGTTACCGCAAGAACAAGACATGACACGGCATTTAAGGCTGCAAACTTTCACCGCCCAAGTTTGCGTTCGTTCCCAGCGCCAAATAAAAGTTTGGCAAGCTAAGCATCAACAAGTAATATTTCCGTGTCTATCATAACAACAAACACAATTAATGGCATATTTAAGAGGGAAAAAGTGTGTGGAGTGACGGAAACCCAATTAACTTTCTTAGACTACTAATCCATAACCGTTACCAAAACTGCGTTAAAGTGTATGTACGTTGCTTTCTGGTAAGAGCACAGAAGCGAGTTGTGTTACGACCCATGTGTCTTGCAAAATGAAGCTTAAATCTTCTGATTCGTCTTTCTAGAAATCTGATTAAACAATCTCCATCCTTAACCGACCTTGTCAGTTTCTTCTGGTAAATTCTCGCCTAGTTTATAATTGTTTACTCCAGCAAATAATCCTTAGAAGGATTCTCTCCGCAATGATTCTCCGTAATATGCATGGCTGCGTTCAATGAGTACTCACTATATATATATCCGGAATAAACTGACCCATTACAATTGATTTAAGATGTGAGCGGGCAACGCGTTAATATGTTATTGACCCTGGGGATGCAAGAGGCTGATTTACGATATGAACGTTATTTTCGTCTACTGAGGCATACTCAGATCGGATTGGTTTGTTGCAACCTTTCCCAGAGGATAAAAATCGAAGGCCAGACGCCAATGGCATATGAAAAATTTACCCGAACATAATCTCGAAAAGTCGAAAAGACTGCCAAGCACATTTATAAGTGTTCTATGGTTCTCTCTGTCTAAATATATTGGCTCACGTTCGTAACAAAACAAACCCTCTGAAGACGTTTTGTTGTTCTCTATGTATCAATGCGGTAGGAACAAAAAGCAGAAATTAATGAAGTTCTTCGCTTATTTTAACGACGTTTGTGTTCCAAAATCGAACAGACGCACAACAAATTAAAAATTGTGTGTTGTTATAGACAGGCAAAGTAATATGACTTAACTCGCACTCTGGTCTTGTAACGCTCAACTGCTGCCAGATTTGTTCCAGTTCTCGCTTTCTTAAACTCCCCACGAAAACTTTTAAATCCTTGCCACTGTTGTTCTTGTCTGCCAACAGCTCGTGCTAACCTTTTTTCTTGGTTTTCCTCTCGCTCAGTGCCAAATTTTTTTGTAAACTTATTCGAAACTGTGTTGCCCTGTCCAAAACAAAGAAAATAATTTTTTTTCGTCAGTTACATGTCTGTCAATATCAAAAGTAACAACACATCACAGAGAACGTATATTCTGTTTGTTGCAAGAGAAAATAATTGAACCCATTTTTATCTCTTGATCCCTCATGGTTTATTGATGATGAAATACATTCATGTATATACATGCACGTGCACATACTCAATTGCATAACTTCACCTTGAGGGTTCTCAGTTAAAAATTGAAAAAAATGGTCAAGACTATTCACACTATATAAATGATGAGCATGACATCGTATTTAAAAATTGTTCGGAGGTTAAAGCGATTCGTGTCTCCAGTTTCCTTTGGAAAGTTATTTTAAATCTTTGGCACAGTTGTGACCTTGCACATTGGTAACTCGAGGTTATTCATTTTTTTCCCCTGGTTTTTTTTGTCAGGTGTATTATAAAAAAGGCTCGCAACACAAAAGCGCATCGATTTACTGAGAGCTCAGCCGTGAGTGTCTACATTGTGGTTAACCTGTTTCAGGCGTTCAGTTAGCAAAGCGAGGCGCGATAGACGCGGACGAGTGAAATTACAAGGAACTAGATCCAAGCCTCCCTCGTTCTCGCTCGGTCGCCACTACCGCGCCGTTTTCTATTTCGCTGCGTTTTATCAACTGGACGCCTGACAAAGGTTACGGTGTTTTTGTAATCAAGACATGCAGACATAGAAAGAAACTTTAGATAAATAAGCTAGAACTTTCTCAGATTCAGAATTAATAAAAGATTTCTACTTTCACAGCAGCAGAACGGTAATGTCACACAACTGAAGCAGCAGCACACCGCAGGAGCCGCAAGACTATCACAAGCCAGTGTAATAAGCTATGCAAGCCAGTTCAGCCGGGCGGCCCGGCGAAGTAGCGACACGAGTAGTGATGATGGAAAACCTGTCAGAGATTTCTTTAAGAATATAATGCAGAAACTGTGTCCTGAGCGGCCCAGATATTTCAACCGACCTCTGGCAGACAAACATGACTGTAATGATGAGGTGAGGTTAAAGAAACTTAATTTGACTTTACATTGAAGTAAAATAATGGAAAGTTAAGGCTTCTCAAGACAAGTTATTGCGTGCGCGATGTCATTTCCCCTAGAACTATAAGTGAAACTAACCCTTACCTCTAGCAGTTTAACAGACCTTCATAATGATGAAGCGGGTTTTGTGCGGAAGTCTCGTTCACATCGAGGAACTAATTGTTTTTCCTTCGGGATATCTTAGTAGTAAATCGTTAAATTTATAAAGTAAGTCTTAGGTCACTTCGGCCGACAGATGATCAAGCACAGTTATATTTGAACTATACGTACGGAGATCGGGGAATAATTCACTCTATCTATGTTCTACCAGATTAGTTTAAGTCGTCAAGGTGTTTTGGTCATTAAGGGAGTTTAATCTCTCAAAAGCATTTAATGACTTGTAATTCAAACCATGTCTTTATTCTTGGTTTACTGGATCGTAGTAATGTTACGAGAATAATCTGGTCGAAAAGGAGAGATGTCATGAGCAATGGTTCAATGCCAAACGCCACACAACTTCTGTATCTATTGCTATTGTTTACAAAACATAGCATCGTTTACACTTTCCATTGTGATTCTAAGTGCCTGTATTCAAGCATCCTTAAAGGAAAAATGTATCCTTAGTCGGACTGCTTTGAAAAACCAATTATGATAAATATGAAAGTTTTTTAAGAGTCGTCATTCACTTAGCAATAAGTTTAAGTACTTCGGAGAATCATGTCTTTTGATAGAAACTTTCTCAGTCTTCCGGTCTTTCCAACCGTTACGTTGGGGATAATTTTATAAACAAGGCTAAGCGCGCTACAAGTCTGAAAGGAAAGAAATTCTTTGACAAATCTGTAAGCTCTTGTTCGGAGAGACAAAAAATTAGTCGTAGAAGCGAGCTGCGGTTCTCTTATACAACAGTGGCACAAGTAAAGGGTAATAGAATTTTACAAAACAAGCAGCTTTCACTCCGGCATGTTTTTGATCATTCATAATTTATCATCAAAGTGAATGAATTCTGTAATCTGTTTTCCTCACAAAATTCAAGTGTTTTCTTGATACTTTTTCTCAATTCAAATGTTTAGTCTACACGCTACAATAGATTTTCTCTGCCAGTTTCTAGAAGTAAACCAGTACCAGAATGTAACGGACTCCCCAAGCAAGCTTGCCAGGAGATTGTTTTTTTTTCTCATAATTTCTAATGCTAGATACTGATAAGGGGATTAAAAATCGGAAATTTAAAAAATGAAGAATTTTTTTCAAGCAGAGGCATTTTGATTACGTGATATTTACAAAGATAGTGAACAACCTCTGATTGGACGATTTATAGCAGGTGAATTTGGAGGATATTGGCTATGACATCGACAAAGGGATGTGGCTCGAATATGAGCAGACGAAAATAACTGCCAAGGAGACCATCTCGCGTACAGTTTGATCTCGTTAAAAGCTGGTATATTGCTGGAAACCTTTAAAGTGATATTCAGTTTGGTTAATATGAACGTAGCCTTCACGTGAGCTTGCTCTGTATCTACCAGGTCGCGTCGCGTCGCGTCGCGTCGCGTCGCGTCCTTGACAAGCAAACCGTAAGAGTCAGAGGTCGTTGAGTGGTGTGGGAGTGGAATGACTTACACAGAGCACATTTATCCCTTTAACTCCCGAGATCTGATTGTTAATTCTCCCCTCCAGCTGCTAAACATTCCTTATAAATTGGTTATGAGAACTTGGTGCTGGATCAAGATAGCAGCTTCTACCTGATAAGTTTGAATATTCTTATTACCTGTTTGCTGATTAATGTATGGATATTATAGGGAGAAGTTTCATGTTGATCACTTCCGGGAGTTAAAGGGTTAATTAAAAGATGTGAACCTGACGAAACCGGATCGCGGGCTCTAACAACACCTAACTGCGTTACAAACCATTTAAGAGGCCGTTATATTTCCCTCTTGTTAATTCTTACTGCTGATATAGATTTTTTTAGGCTTAGACATTCTGATTTTCCTAAAATATGGTTGCCTAAATTGCCTAAATTATGGATGCCCTTCGGATTCGTTCATCATTTGTCTTAAGAAGAATGCTTTCTTGATTTTTCATTTCTGAGCATCTGTCTATTTCAGTAACGCCGATAAAAGCTTCAAATTTTGAAGCTTTTCCGTTTCCAGCTCCATCTTGCAAAAATCACTAATATTGAGACCGGTTGTCTGATATTCAGATAGAGATAGACAACAACGAGATGTAAAAAAAAACTTTATTGCTAAGAGATGGAAAATAAACTAAAAAAAAAAAAGGAAAAACGATTTCCATTCTCCATTTTTCATGATTTACGTCAGACTAAACAAGCTTCAGTTTTATCTCTACTCCATTTTTGTGGGTTCTTAGTCTATCGGCACTTTAAAATCATTTGAATTTTTTTGTTTTCAAGATTTCCTCAAAATAGAAAAGCTGAGTTTCATGCAGGCCCGTTTACGCCACTTTATTTCTTTTATGCCGTTCAGCTGAGTATAAGCTTCTCGGCCGTTCTTTGTGAATGTCTTAGTTGCTGCAATCAAAACGGTTACTGTAGTGAGACGAAAACCACCAAACAGCCACCTCCTCGCCAAACAAAGCATGTTAGTGTTAATGCATTTTAATGCGAACAAGATTTGTATATCACAAACCATTTCTCTTCTCTTTGTTCGAGGTACGAGGCATACTGTGTTACCGTGGCAACTCCAATGGTTGCTGTCGTTCATTCTCTAAAAGCTTTTCACGAAGACGTAATCGAATGAAAAAAAAAATCTTTTGAAGAAAACCGCACGATAACAGGATTTCCTTACAATTTTGTTCTAAAGGGAGGATGAAAAGTGCCCGCAGCTTTTTTACAGGCTTCTCTCCAACTGTATATGTTAATTGTTACGCAATAACTGCAGAGGAAAAAATCCGTTTTCTGCAACGTAGCTGTATAGCTTGCTCCTCATTGGCTTGTCAGGAATATTCAATTATTCAGGTTCCCACACGCAAAACCTCAAACTTTTGTCTTCGCGTAAGCTATAAAACGAGTGGACACCTGGTCACTGAGATGAAATGTTTGATCTCTTTAGACGTCTATACTCTTTTGCATTAAGCTTCTGATTCCGGAGATGAATTCATCTTCCGCTCTTGTTATGACAACGTTTTATTAACTACACCATACATGGATGCTCTTAGTGAAACCTGGGTGGACTTTCTTGATAAGTTTAACTCTTCAGAGGTAGGCTCATAATACATTACGACTAAATATTGCGTTACTTTTCTGTGAACATAAATAATTCTTGATTGTGATAAAGATTCGGCAATGATATTTCCATTTTCGCACGTGGGTCTAAGTTGATATGATAAACGACTTACAAGACGTCTGGCCACCGTTGAAAGGTACTCGAAGTTAGAGAGGTGAAATCTTGAGTATTCAGAGGCGAATTCTTACAAAGATTTCGTCAAATTTCGGATGCGTATTTTAAAAATTATATTATTGCACCAAATGTACCCGTTTGCTACCGCTCACACAGCTTAAAACTGTAATTTTGAAATGATTATGTGGTCTTTGTACAAATTAAAAGTAAATCCATGATCAACAACCTCTATGGGGCCTAATTGGCAAAATATAATTCACGGAACATCTTAAAATTCTTCATTGGATATATGTACAATGACAACTATTAAACAATGCAGACTGACGCTTTTCCGAAATCGTCTCGTTTATTGACTCGTATTCGCCGGTTATTTCAAAGAACAACAAACGTGTTTTTTTTTCTTAAATGATTTCAAATAAGCTATCTATGCCAACACTTTAACTGCATGTAATTTTGACTCAAATATATTCCATTTTTAAGCCGTAATTGGGATGTTTTGTATTTACCTGAAAAAATGCAAAATAAGAAGTCACGCTGGGTTTTGTTAAGATCATCAGACGGCCTTGAGGAGGAAGAATTACTTCCTTTGAGCGTTGTTCCTTATCTAAGAACGTATTGGATTTTGAAAACACTTTAAGTGCTTTACCATCTGTCGAGGATATTTTTTAGATGCGTGTATCAAGAATCTATTGTTTGCCACTGAGAAAGATTACTCTAACATAACATTTTGTCCCAGTCATTTCGAAGCAATGGAAATTAGTGAAAGACTAACTGAAAAGAAGTGCAGACGGCTCAAACTAACTTGATCATTTTCAAATCAATTTTAAGTCATCCATTCTCACGGTGCAGTCGTGGAGGTGAAATAATAGAATACTGCCACTACTATTGAAACATGCTGTCGACATGTTTGAAGAGCGTTCGTGCCTCCGGTCTTAATTTTGAGTACTTATACATGTATGTACACAATTTACTTTCATTTAATGTTTTCCTAAAAATCTCCCTTCCGATTTTCGGTATCTATCCAAACACCGCCTCAAATTGTGTAAAGATGTTGCGAAGCAGCTGCCGAAAACCTTTATTATTGTGTCAGCGAATTTAACGAATTTCACTTGTTTAATAATGTAACGATATCGAAAAAATTCCGCCTGTTGTCAACGCTTCACTAATTGAAAACGAAATCGACAAAGAACACTGGAGTGTTCTCGTTCTTTGGCTCCGTGTGTGTGCGGCGCGCGGTCGTTTGATTTGCAAATACGATTGAATACTATTATAAATGTATATATGTGACGTTTATGGTCAGTTGGTTTGCGGTTAGGAAGCCAGATCGGCTCTGTCTTGCAGAATAATTTTTCATATTAAATTCCTATCGCTTATAAAATGGCCTTAAAATTTTCCGTGCTCCGTCGAAGATCACGCCTTAAGTTTTCAATGCAATTTTTTTTTTGGATAATGTCGAGGCATTGTCCAGCTGGAAAGTGATAGCGCACATACGTATTTACCTGAGGATGTTATCTCAATGTTATAGCAACTTTCGTACCTAATTTACAATTGAATCTATAGCAACTGCTAGAGGGGAGATTTTCGAACCATATCTAGAAGCTAACGACGGGTTAGTCCAGAAAAACTACGGGAAATTATACACACGTGCTGTGCGGATCTTTAGTGAATCGAGTTCCACTACCGAATTCGCCGGTATCAAATTCAAATGTACACCGGAATACATCCAGAATACTGCCCTAGGTTTGCATTTATCAAACATTTATTTAAGTGACTTTTGTGAATTATTGAAACGGCTTGGAGAAGATAAAAGATAGCATCTTTTTACGAGTCGCCAGAAAAACCGCTGAGCGTCTGCTTGATGGCGACAAAATTCTTAAGTTATTTTCACTTGAAAAATTCGATTTATTGCAAGTCTCGTTGCCGGCGAAATTTTGGATTTAAACGAGTTGAAATAACTTCCGATAAATAAGTCGTCTAGAAGTTTCACCCGTTTGCCCACAGGAATAAAACTTATGAAACCCTAACTAAAAAATAAACTGTTGTTAATCTTATGTTTTATTTTTCAGACGTTTATTGTAATTACGAGTCGCTTTGGAACACCCCATGTCCACAGACTTAACAAAGCCAAGTCCATGTACATATTTGGTCAAAATCATCCTGTGAGGAAGTTTTCACTGTACATAACTACAAATCAGTATCCTTTTTTATTTTAACAGATGCGAAGACTTTGACTCGATCTACATCATACTTTGTAGTTCTCTTCCGGTGCCTTTCAAGAGGACCGTGTACTCATTTCGCGATCATCTTCCGGTTATCGAACCTCAGGCTATCAATTAATGCGTTTTTTTTTGTGCGATTCTTATGTGATATAAAACTACTGAGCATAAACCTTTTCAAGCTTGGAAATAATCTGCCAATAGAGCTTTATACCTGCGGGTATTTAGCAACAGAAGAAGCATGTAACCACGGTTATATACTTCTACTGTCAGTTGACGTTACCGCCGAAGACTTGCTGCAATGATTTCCTTAACACTTCTCTGATATTTTGAATTTTTTGTCCTTTTGACTATTTTAGTAAACTGTGTTTTTCTAGCACTGACAAATCCACCGGAGGAGCCTGAGTAAGTATTATTTTTCAACAATCTTCTTTAGGTATATCTGATTACTTTGAGATTCTCCCAGCGAGGATTGTTGCATATTTTTTTATTGTTAACGGCTCGTCTCTTCTTTTTTCACTAGATATGTTTTTGCAGCTATTTATACCATTGAAATGATTTTGAAAATAATTTCTAAAGGATTTGCGCTTCACAAATATGCTTACTTACGAGACCCTTGGAATTGGTTAGATTTTGTGGTTGTGATTTTAGGGTAAGTAGCTTCAATTATCTCGACAGTGGCTCTGTTCATTATTATTCATCATTTTAGTTTCTGAGTAATTAACGACTGCTTTGGTTTTGGTTTCTTACGCTCCTTGATTGGTCTAGAAATTTGCACACCGGAATCAGAAGTTGTAATTACGAGCTCATTCGGGTTTTCTGTTTTCAAGGAGTTTCCATGGTATCAGTTAAGACCCGACTGAATAACGTTTATAGTTGTTATGGTTTGTCGTTGATCCTTCTTTGCTTTGGTACTACGAAACTTGGCCAAACTTAGTCGAACATAGCTCATATAACATAAAATTAATGTTAACTAATTGAGATCCTTATCTTTCTTTAGGTATGTAACACTCGCTCCTGGCGTGCTGGCAAATCTGTCAGGGATTAGGACGTTTCGCGTTTTTAGAGCCTTGCGGACAATTTCAGCCGTGAAAGGTACGATGTATATAAGTTTTAAATGAACCAGGAGTTGATGAAGAGAAATGTGCCTCAATAAATGTTGTAAAGCAAACGTTCTGACCGCCCTATAGCTTGTTTTAAAGTTGCTGTTTTAAAAGGCGTAGCTGAGGAAAAACTTAAGTCGTATACACAAGCATGGGCAGCCAATGTTTTTTTTTTTAATATTCAAGGAAGTTATGGAGGTTGCTGACAAAGGCTTTGCTTAAATTCTCTAGCAGATGTCTTAGTCTCTAACAATTCATACTTTTCATATTTGCAGGGCTAAAAATGATGGTAAACACCCTCCTGGTTTCAATGAAGATGCTATGGGATGTACTCATTCTCACTATGTTCTTCATTTGCATTTACGCACTTGTCGGAATGCAAGTGTTTGTGGGTGTACTAAGAAATAAATGCGCGGAGCCTGTGCCAGAAAATCTTCAAATTTCGTACAAGGATTACGCATCCAACTCAAGTGAGTACGTCATGTAGTTATAACTTAATGTCGCATACAGGATAAATAAGGTCAATCAGTAATCATAAAACAAACTGAACTATATAACTAATTGGTTATTTATTTATATGAAACAAATCAAGAGAGGATCCTCGTTTAAACAAATAGATTCCATGTTACCATGCGTCTGTTCTGTAACAGTAGATCGCAGAAAATGTCAAAAGATAGTAAGTATAGCATTGGTACGCTTGGCTGCGCCTCGGGTGTTACGATTTTGTTCCCACCACAGCTTGACATTATCAGTGATTTATTATGGGACAAACGCACTACACATGGAAATCGCTTGCAAGAACAGAAGTTAGACTTTGTCTTGTTAAACGAAATGGTTTGTGTAAGTTATTAGGCTCATATCTTAACAAATCCTTGTTCAAATAAAATCCTTTGGTCACATTTACATGTTGCGCCCGTAGATGTGTGGATACTTGATCCCGATGGACAGCCTATCGTTTGCGGAAATATTTCTGGTGCGATGTAAGTGAATATATTCTTCATTTCGTCCTATCAAATTTTTGGGGGAATCAAAGAGAGATACGAAGCAGTGACATAGTGTGCTAAATGATATGGGAACCAAACTCAAGAAGTGTCTTGTCCCTAATATACAATGCATATAAATATGTCAACTCCTGGAGAGAAAAATTATATGTCTTCACTACTTTTCTCCGACAGGCACTGCGCGGCCAATCAGAGCTGTCTTTCTCACGCAGGCGCAAATCCAAACTATGGATACACCAGCTTTGATCACTTCGGCTGGGCTATTATGACGTCATTTCAACTTGTTACCTTAGACTTCTGGGAAAATGTGTACAATAATGTGAGTGATAAAAGTTTCTGAAATCTTACGACACACTGCGTAACAAATAATTCACGTCAGTTAGTTGCATGAGAAAGTCAGTCAACCTGATTGGCAGACAGTCGGAGAGTCCTTGTGATAGACAAACTCAGTGGCAAACAGACACTTGGAAAGAAGCCGAGCAGTTAATCAATCAAGCTGGTTAAAAGACAGTCAGACGATCAGACAATTATTCAGACTATCAGCGTTCTAAGCCACACAATTCAATTAATTACTTCGAAACTGGCAGACAGAGAGTTGGTCAAACACTTAGCCCGCGTGGCTGGCAGACATTCGGAAATTCGTATTTTTATTATGAAAGAAAGTCAGACAGACGGACAAAATTTTACGTACAATTTAAACTGCATTTTTATCTTTTCAATGAATATTATCTAACATTAATGCAACTAAGTACGATAACTAAATGAAAATATTAAAAACAATAATAGTGATAATGATAATCGCAATAACGAAGTGTTTCCTTCTTTCATTCTGTTGCATTTGTTTGGTTTGTTATACTCAAGTCACGAGTGGTATTAACAGCTGAACATTTCTGTCTTTTCATCAGATCCTATTTGCCATGGGTCCCTGGTCTTTAATTTATTTCCTAAGCATTGTGTTGTTTGGCCGATTTTATCTCATCAATCTTGTTCTTGCTGTGGTGGCTGCATCTTATGAAAATGAAGTGCAAAACTCTCGACAGGTAAGTCATAAAATTTTCCGGCGAAACAGTGAAATCTGGTGTTTTAATGCAATCAGCGAAACCAGGAGCATTTGACCGACTGGCAAATTTAGGTGCGAAGTTGGACCAAAACAAATTTTTAGAAAACGTTTTCTGGTCTCTCCTCAAATGGATCAAATACCATATCTTACTCGACGCTTGCCGATGAGGATTAGGCCTCAAACTTCTGTTCTCTATTAGCAAGTGGCTCTGCGTTTTTATTAGAGAAAAAAACTGTTTGAATATATAATTTCACATTTAGGCAAAACCACCAGCATCATTGCTTCTGATTGGTTAGGTAATAAATCTCCGCTTGTTCTTAAGCCACAATACAGGGTAATTTAGATGCTTCTAAGTTATATGCTTCCTGCTAAACTCAAAACACGAATCAACCATATGAGTATTCGTACGATTTAGTTCCGTAGTTCCATAGCCCTGAATATAAGTTTGTCTATGAGACACAACAATTAGTTTTCAAACGGGAAGCAGACGGACAGAAATTATTTTTTTCGTATGGTGCTGGGCAGTGACGTCATGCTCATCCTCCTAAGTAACATTCTGTTCTCTTATTTCTCAGGATAATGACAGCTTACGTCTCCAGCAGAAACAACAAGGCTCTTCTTTCTCACTGCGCAGCCGTAGAAGCATTATGAGTCTCGTGTACGGAGAACAAGATGTGGTCCTGGACGAGTCAATTCACCGAGCCATGTTCGATGTGGCAGCTTATGATAAAACTCATGACTCGTTGGCTCTGACGCAGGCAGAATCTGCATCAGTTTTCCAAATAAATCAAAGTGAAAGAGACTCAAAGCAAACAAAAGTTATGAATAAAACTGCAGAGAATAACAATTCCGGTGAGAGTCATGTTAAACCTCTTAAAAAGTGCTGCTCTTGCTGCGGAGCTGGAATCTTGTTGAAGTGTGGTTTCTGGAGACCGTTCCGGAAACACGTAAAGCGGATCGTGGAACATAAAATGTTTGAGGCTGGTATCATCATCATTATTCTGATCAACACGCTGTTTATGTCCCTACAATATCATGGAATGAACGAGGATTTGGCATTAGCAGTTGATATTGTTAATCTGGTGAGTATGCAAGCAGTCCAACTTTAAAAGCGCGAACATTCTTAAGAATGTAGATGTTAAACTGAGGGATTCTTGCTTCACAGGTTTGCACCTTCATATTTTTGATGGAGATGATTCTGAAGTTGATCGCTCTCAAGCCAAGTGGTTACATCAAAAGCCGGTGGAATATTTTTGATGGAGTTGTTGTTATAATTAGTCTCATAGATACGGTATTAACTTTGTCAAACCTCATCGACAACACAGGAACAAGTGTTCTAAGGTCTTTCAGATTGGTAAGTACCGGCTCAAAAAATGAAAATTTGAACAGTTAGGGGGTTTTTCTTATGATTCTATTGACTCACGACACAACTGGATGTTGTCATTTAGTCAAGTCGGAAATTTTATCCCGGTTCGCGTGCTGAGATTCCAGACCGCTCGGTTAACTAATAATTTGAGACCCAGATCAAAACCAAAGTATGAAATTTTTGAAATTTTTTAAAAGCGGAGAGTGGTGAAGTGAGGTCTCAAAAAGTGAACCAAGTCCGTTTGTTTTGATCATACAAGGAAGCACTCAGCCTTGGACTTAACCTTGATACACTCTCCTTCTTCAAAAGGGCAAGAAATAAAATTCTCGTTCCTTGATGTTACGCAGTCGAATAAGCTCTAGGAAACAGATTGTTAGGCTCAATAACATTTTTTTAAAATCCATATTTAAGTTTGGAGGCTTAAATTTAAAGTAGTTTGTCAAAAGAAGCAAAATATATCAGTTTCCTTCAGCTGATAATGTTTACTTGAGAATCGCGTCCAACGGGATAAAGCAAAACTTTTTTTTTTCGTAGCGCGCGTTTGCCTCACAATATTTAAATCTTTCTGAAACCAATAAATAAGAGTGTATTTTTTTTTATCTTGAATCTTGTAGGTCCGCATTCTAAAGCTCGCTAAATCCTGGAGTACGATGTCCAGTCTTTTAGCCACCATAGGTCAAAGTCTGGGAGCTCTTGCCAATCTGTCCGTCATATTAGCCATCATCATTTATATCTTCGCTGTGGTCGGAATGCAGTTATTTGGTTCATCTTACACAGCGGATAAATTCGATGGTGAAGTCCCTCGGTGGAGATTTACAGATTTCTGGCATTCGTTTCTGTTAATATTTCGGATTATTTGCGGGGAGTGGATTGAGCCTCTATGGGACTGCATGAGAGCTGCAGGACCCGCTTCTATCATACTCTTCATACCAGCTTTTCTTTTAGGACACTTTATTGTGAGTAAATTAATTACGGCAAGGTCACATGTCTCCATGCGCAATGAAAGAAAGGACATGTTATCATGTAAACGGAAATGAAATACGGGAATCCGATCTTTTGCGGTTAAGGTGTTCAAAAATCGTTATCCGAGGGTCTTTTACAAACAATTCTAAACATGGACATTTTAAAACTGCTAAATGCTGTGAGGTCGAACTTCCCAATGCGTTTTACCCTTTGATGATGTATCGAAGAAATTCAGAACCTTTTTTTCTGACACATTAATTCTCCTAGAAGCTCTGTTTTGTTCTCACACTCTAAAAGGTCGTGTTATTCTTTCCATAAGTTTGACAAATTGCTTTTTAAGATCGATAACAGTGCATTTTATTTCAGATCCTTAATCTTTTCTTGGCACTGCTACTGAGTTCGTTTGCTGGCCAAGCCTCGCTGTCTTCCGCTCGAGGAAACAAAAAGAACCGTATCTTAGGTCGGCTGAGGAAAGTTGTAATTGCATCCAACTTTATAAAAAGGATGAAATCCAAGGTGTGGCCCGCTCCGAACAAAGACACACAAACAGATGAGGTGATAGAAAGTAAGTGAACTTAAACAACCAAACTATTACACTACTCTTCACATGAACTCAATTTATAATGAAGAAAGAATGTGCCTTCTCTCTTTATTCGACAACCGAACCTAAAACCGACCATCTTTTTTGTTCTGTTACTCTCAAGACGCTTTCAACATTGTTGATTTTATAAGTATGCGGAACGTTCATCACATATGAACATTTTCCATGGCCTGCTTCATCAACGAACTCACTGTAGTTCAGTTGGTAAAACGTCCCAACGCGAAATTCGGGGGTCTAAGACTTGATTTTTCGTCGAGGACTCAGATGTATTGACTAGCTATTGCTTTTAATGATTTAAGGAACAGGGAGTTGATTGCGATAGATAAAAAGTGCTGACGAATTTTGCATGGGAGTAAAGCTGTGTTCCGACGAAGGGTTTCTGCTCAGAACGTCAGCCTTTCAAAATTTGGTTTCATTTTATATTTACACCAAAAAAATTGTCTTTTAGTCGGTAACGGCCATGCAGAAGCAATTAGTCCAGCATCGAGGAAAGCTTCTTGTGTGACAAGCCCGAATGATCCGCCATCAAGACGAGTGTGTTGTTGTTCGCTGAACATTCGGGAATACGAAGTCGACAGCTGTTTTCCGACGATACACGGCTGCTGCACGAAGTTTGATGAGACAACTTGTCACGTGATTTGGATCTGGATTCGTTACAAGGTGAAATGCTTTGTGGAACACAAGTACTTTGAATGGTTCATAGTGTTTCTGATTGCAGCGAGCAGCATTGCATTGGTAAGTGAAATTTTTCCTATGCGAGACATAGAAACACTTACTTCTTTACTAAATAGCGATCAGATAATGTTAAAACAACGAATGGTTTAAAATTATGAACAAGTGATGATATATAAAAACTTATGAACAAGTGATGATATATTAATTCCCTTTATAACTTTAGGACATAGCACAATGTGTGTGGCGGGGGGAGATTGGGAACACAAAAACAGTGTTTACGATATACTGCCTAGTAACTATAGTTCGAAGACGAAATTTGAATTAGAAAGACGAACCTTAAAGCCAATTACGTACCAAAGTTTTTCAATAATTATTGGTAAACATTTCTTTCGTAGGCTTTTGAGGATGTGCACTTAGACAGCAGACCGATATTAAAGGAAGTGTTGAGGGTCTTAAATATCTTCTTTGCTGTTGTGTTTGTGCTTGAATTTATCCTCAAACTCATCGGTCTCGGCTTCACCACATATTTCTCAAGTGCCTGGAACTGGCTTGACGTCGCGATTATTGTGGTAAGTAAATTTACCTTATGATGAACATTTCTAGGTGTAAAAACTGCGCTCAAAGGCAAATTCTAGGTCGGAAAAGTATCTTGCCAAATCTTCCCATTTTCAATCTCTTGTTTTAGAGATTTGAGGGTTTAAATTTCATTCATTTACCTTCTTTCCAGCCCATCTCGTACACTATTGCTCCGCTCTGTTTATCGAGAAAAGCTTTTCCGTTTCACATGACTATGACACATTGAAATAAAATTTATATATGTTTTGTCATCGAAAGAGTTATCCAGCTCCCCCGGGCTATTTTGCTTAAGAAAGTTATACAGTATAGACTTCATCTCAGCTTTTGACGATCACCAAGTGGGTATCCATTTTGACTGATTTGCAGCACAGCAAAAAACAATCTCTTGCCCTCTCACGTCATTCTCATTCCTTCCTCATTTATTTGATTAAATTTCCTTAATTTAACTTATCCGCTTAACTTTTCTTAAAGGTTTCTCTTATCGCTCTGTTTGGTAACGAGGAGGTCATGTCTATTCGGTCCTTGAGGACGTTAAGAGCTCTGCGGCCACTAAGGGCGATCTCTAGATTTGAAAGAATGAGGGTGAGTTATCTTATGTTTATACAATGTTTTTATTCAGACAAGTTTTACAATAACACATTGGCCTCTTTATCTTAGTTCGAGCCTAGAAAAAGAGGTTCATTTTCATAAGAGATCTCTCATTATTTCCCTTTTCCGGGGAAATTTTTTTTTCGAATGTTCTCGTCGATCGACAGATCTGGAATGTGTGAGCTAACCTTCCCGATGATCTCACTTGACCTTCTTGCTAATACTCTAATCCATGCGACAGTACAATGTCTTCAGTTCAAGAAAAAGACTAATGTATGATCTAAATTTGCTGCGCGTGTCGCAAAAATTAGAGGGAAACAGTTATCCCCATTTTGTTCATGTAACCAGCACGTATATATTTCGATTCTCAGGTGGTCATCAGCTCTCTGTTTCACGCCATACCTGGGATTGCCAACGTTCTGCTGGTGTGCTTGGTATTCTGGCTGATATTCAGCATCATGGGGGTCAATCTTTTTGGCGGGAAATTCTACAAGTGTGTTGACGCGCGCGGCGTCAAATATGACGCTTCTGTTGTGCCAAATAAGACCGTATGCCTTCAGAGGGGAGACCGCTGGATTAACTCTAATGTCAACTTTGATAATTCTGGAAACGGATTCTTAGTCCTTCTTCAAGTAGTAAGCTGAATATTTTTTGTAAAATCGTTTAACAAAAGGATTTATTTGGTTATATTTCTATGCGTTTTTCGGATTATTTCATTAATTGTGTGATGGTCTCATGTGACGCGTGAATTTAGGTCGCTAAGACAGTTAGCCACGTCAGTTATAATTCCTTTAATAGTTCATATCATATTCTCAGGCTACTTTTGAAGGATGGATGGAGATAATGGAGGACGCTATTGATGCCACTAAAGTAAGAAACATCGACTCTGTCTTGCCTCTGCTGGTTTACATCGACAGAATTAAACAGCACGCCACGTGATTTCCTTTAAGTTATGACCGCATTCATTCAGTTTAAGAACAGCGTAATCAGACTGAAACAAGGCCGTAATCATATGTGCTTGCAAACCTTGTAAAATTAACCGCTCCACCTACCGATATATTATCTCCTTGTTTTACAAGTTTTATTTTTCCATTGAAATGATACATTCACCCTTTTAACGTAGCATGGACATGTTTTTCTTCACTTTAAGTGTCAATGCAGAAAACCGATAAGTGAGAATTGAAAAAATCATTAGACAGGGAGTGTCATTTTGACAAGTCCGTAAATTCTCTTAAATTATATACTTGGAAATGCTCAGCAGTTGGAGAGGAGAATTGGGAATCTGATCTTAAGACTGACTTAAATCAAAGGGTTACTGGGTTATTATTATTTATCGTTTGTAGGTAGATCAACAACCCGTGAGGGAAAACAACATGGCGGCGTACTTGTATTTCATCGTTTTCATCATCTCTGGATCTTTTTTCATCTTAAATCTCTTCATCGGTGTCATTATTGACAACTTCAATCATCTCAAGCAACAGGTAAGTAAACTTCTATCTTATCAATGTACAAACCCTGCCTGAGTGTTCTTCTCTTCCGGGATAAGAGAAGACCAGTAAAATAAGTTAACTTAACTCAAGCTTCATTTTTATGATTTGTATATTATTAGACTATACATGTCATTTAGCCGACTTGCTAAGATCCTAGACACTGAGAGAGAAAGGTCTTGTAAAAGATTTGATTTTTTTTCACGCTCTACCGACAATACGCGACAAAACTGTTTTGAATAGGACCTTTGATGCATTAAACAACGTGAATGTTTTCTCCACGCTATAAACTGTTGCAGTGCAAAATGTCCCCATGTGCCCGCGTTCAAGAAAATAAACAGGCCACAAGAAAAGAAAACTCTCAGACATCGCAAGGTTTTTGTAACTGACTCTAAATGCTGAGCTGCCCTTACTATGCTTTCCATCAAGGTGAGAAACATATTTTTGATTTTGTTTTCCACAGATGGAGGTTTGTGGCTCTGTCCATATCTTTCTTACACCAAACCAGAGAAGCTGGATGAACGCGATAAAAAATGCTGCAGCTATAAAACCAAAGAAGAAAGTTGAAAGACCACAGGTAACGACAGAGAAAAGTTGGAACTTCTGCTGTTTGACTCAATACTTAACATTACATCTTCCTTGTCTGTGTTTATGTCGTAAAATGTGAAGGAAGGGGGGGGGGGAGGGTAACCCGCGATGGAGTAGCATCCCATCCAGTGACGAGAACCACTGATTCCTGTCAACAATTATGTTTTTGCAGAATCGCTATCAAGCAATGGTGTTTGATATGGTGGAAAATCGTAAGTTTGAGATCTTTATCATCCTGGTGATTACAGTGAACATGATAGTTATGATGGTGCAACACTATGGCCAGCCCCCACAAGTCACACGGGTGCTCGATATCCTTTGTCAAAAATAATCCTTATTTACTTTATCACTTATGAGTATTTTGCGACAAGGAGAACAGAGGCTGCACACTTTCAATGAAACACACTAATCGACCAATTAGCGTGCGAGAGGTTTCTTACTTATAGCTAGAAAAACCTGGCGGAATTTTTTTATAGCATGCAACTAATTATAAGTTAGTGAATCATATTTCTTAGCTGTAAATATACGATATTTTCCTTAATAAGAGACTGCCATGTGCGTCCATCACATATCTTCAATATCATTTTCACCTGTATTTTCATCATTGAGGCCCTGTTGCGAATCATTGCCCTACGATGGGGATATTTCCTACAGCGCTGGAATGTGTTTGACTTCGTCATTGTTTTACTCTCCATAGTGGGTAAGTAAATTATTGGTAACCTTTGATTTTTTTCAGTTACAGCACAGCTGCTCCTTTTGCAAGTGTCGACAAGCTGCAACTTTACAAGGGTCTCGTCATTCCGAGAAACTTTCATGATAAATTAAAAAAAACTGCACAGATTTGTGTGACTGGGGGTATGGGCTTCTACCGATATTCGCTCAACGCGGTCTTTAAATAGGAATAATTTAATAACTTCGTCTCTCCGATACTTTCAGCCTCAGTTATCTCAAACCCTTTGTAACTCGTGTCCGAAAATCTTTTTCGCGATCAGGATTATTCTCTCTTCTAGAGATTATAAACAATTTATAAGCTCTTGCTCTCTTATAATATTATAGATTTTGTTAGCTGATTTGGAAAAAAGATATGTCCTTGTCGGTGTGCGCAGATTTTTTACGTCCCACTTTCGACCCGGAGTGGCACTATCTCATTTATTCCTTCATTTGTCTTTATGATTCAGGTATAATAGTGGAGAGCTTAAACAAAACAGGAATCATCATAACACCCAATTTACTGCGCGTTGTTCGCGTATTCCGAGTTGGAAGACTACTACGCTTCTTTGAGAAAGCTAGAGGGATTCGTCGATTAATGTTTTCATTAATTGTTTCCTTGCCAGCTCTCTTCAATGTGGGTGCCATACTTTTTCTTATTGTGTTTATCTACGCCATTATTGGGATGTCATTCTTCGCGCATGTCAAGAAGACAGGAGCGTTAAATGAAGTGGTTAATTTTGAAACCTTTTTAAACTCGATGTTGTTGATTTTTCGTCTGATGACAGCAGCGGGCTGGAACGATGTTTTAGAGCCCTTAATGATAAAACCGCCCGACTGTGATCCAAATTATAAAGGACTTTCCAACGGAAACTGCGGAAATGGTTGGATTGCTGTTTGCTATTTTTCCAGCTTTATCGTAATTATTTTCCTAGTTCTTATTAACATGTATGTGGCGGTTGTATTGGAAAATTACAACAATGTCATGGAGCAGGAAAAGATAGGAATTACCGGAGAGGATGTAGACTTGTTTTATCAGCACTGGAAATTGTATGACCCCGATGGCACCCAGTATATTTATTACAAGGATCTTTCAGACTTTCTGCACACCTTAGGAGGAAACTTGAAGATTAAGAAGCCAAACAAGGCCGCATGCGCATTGCTGAACATACCGCTGTACGAAGACGACAAGATTTTCTGTCTGCACTTGTTGCAAGTTTTGGTAAAGAGAGTTGTAGCCGGATACGAAGATAGCAACTCCGAGGAGTTTAACATGGTCATGAAACGAATGGAAGAAAGATTTAAAACTAATTTTCCTGCTTCTAATGAGAACCGTCCAACCATCACGACAATGGACAAAAAGCGACAGATTGCGGCTGCGAGGGTCATAACACGTGCTATCAGAAGATATCGAGAGAGGAAACGGAGAGAAGCTTTCAGACTAAGTCTTGGTGAGACAAAAAGTTCAGTAGATATGGGAATGATCCCGCACTTAGGGGAAACAAAAAGCCGTGTAGCCGCCTTAGTTTTAACTGAGAAGAGACTGAGTGATTCTCTCCCCGACTTATACAAAAGTTCTTGCCAGGCAGGCAGAGAAAACTACAAAGTAACTATAACAAGGACGCCTTCATTCGACAGAGCCGTTTTCAACAGAGAGGAGGTCTTGAGACAAGAAGCACTTGTTAATGCTCCGCTAAAGAACGAAAAAGTATCGGAACAACCTAAAAGTTACGAAAAGTGAATACTGGCCATCCTGAAACCACTTCAAATTTGATAACTGTTTTTTAATTTAACTGCGTTTGATTTAAATATATCACAAGTTTTGTAAAGAATATTAAAGATGAAACTTCTTTCAAAGAAAACAATCGACAGCGTTACTTAACGTATCGGCTTAACTTTCTTTTCGAACGCGTTCATTTTTTCTGTTCCAGTGAAGCGTAAATAACTAGAATGAATGTTTTTCTATTTTGATGACGTATCTCAAAGGAGAGATTCAAAGGGGTCGTTGATTGGTTGTTTCTCGTTTTTGAACTTTCGCATGCATTTGACCGACCAATATCAGATATAGTGTATGAAACTCTGAACAGCTATGTCATCGGTAGACTGATGTAGCGAGCTGTCCATTTTTTATTATTTTTTTTTTCTAAACGCATATTATTATACAGTTGAAAGAAATACAAAACGCTCAGGCCGCGCTGGAGTGAGAACAGAGAACAGAGAACCTCAGACCCTTCTATCTGAGGTGGGGGCTCCCCGGACAACTTTTTTTTATAGATTTCTATTGGTCAACCAATACAACAAACTTCATGTTTTTTACCAATCAGAGCACGCGTAGTATCCCAATTGTTCTGTACTTGCGGAATGATTTGATGTCATAAAGGGTTACGAAGCAATGCATCGTGACGCAAGAATTGAATCAAGAGCAGGAAATTCTATAGTCGCCAAACTTTCAGTTGAAAGTAAGCTTCCTCGGTAATGCGACAATCTACCTTCCCATGCATTCTCTTGTTCTTGATGTTATGCTGTACATCTGGCAAATATTTATCTGGAAATATCAAAAATGGACAAAGTTGGGTGTTCGTCTCTGAATTTTCCTTCGTTGATGATCAAGGAAAGCTGGAATACAAAGTGGAATATTCTGTAACAGGAGAATGTTGTCCGAGTTTGGCGTATTATTCTCACGACTCGTATAAAACCGTTTCAACCAATAATGACATGGACTGCCAATCTAAGCTTTCTCGTGCTCAGGGAATTGTTAAATTTCAAAGTACACCGACGAACGGCAGTTCAAACATCTCAGGAAATTATTCATCACAATGCTTCCATATCATCGACAAAAATCTTCAGAAATGCTCGGGTATTCTTCGTGTTTATTCACCAGACCAATGGTGGTTCTTTGCACTAAGTCACTGTAATAGTTCACAGGGATTGGACATTTCTTATGAATTTACTTTTACAAACAGTGACAACTGGGAGGAACATTTATCAGGTGAAGAAATGCATGGCGTTGAGAATCTAGCAGTGTCATTTGGATCCATACTTGTTTTATTTGGGATTGGTTTACTCTTTGCACGAAGGCTTCTTCAAGTGGGCAAACTACACAAGGCCTTCAAAGTGTTCATGGCATCATTAAGCTGTGAAGTAATCGCTCAGCTTCTTATTTGTATATACTACATACCTTATGTCCGAGGTGGAATACAAATTCCCTATTTAACAAATGCTGCAGAGCTACTCCATCTTACAAGCCAAGTCACTTTTATTCTGCTACTAATTTTGTTGGCACATGGGTGGACGATGACCAAAGCCCGCATCAGCAGAGATCTTGCTAAGTTTTGTTCGCTGCTCGCCTTTACCTACGGATGTCTGTTCGCGTACAAACAGGCATTTTCCGACCATCTGATTGCCCATTTTTTTCTCGAAGGTCTTGCAGATAAAGGGTATCAATTTCTACGGATAATTGCTTGGGTTTGTTTTGCATTTGGGCTATATTTGTCCTTCCGAAATCATTCTGATAAGAAAATATTCTACCTTTATTTTGGAGCTCTCTGTTCCGTGTGGTTTTTGTTTGAACCATTATCTACCTTAGCATTCTCTTTCCTTCTCAGCGGGCCAAGTTCAATGAAAATAATGCGACTTTTTCGCTCAACTTGGCTTGATATACTGGGGTTTGGCGGAATTTTGCGTCTTATGCTACCAAGTATGGTTGATGTGGTTTTCCCTCATCGTGTTCCTGTAAACGAAGTTGATACTGTACAAGTTCAAGATTGGAACAATTTTCAGCGAACAGAGCACTTAAATTATCATTTCTAAGCTAGACAAAGCGGGCAATAATACTTGTGTGTAACACACAATTTCGTAAAGCAAATTAATTAATCTCGCTGGAATATCTCAGGATACAACTGCAGCAAAGTGGAGCAATACTTCAACTGAGAACTTTCCTCAAAGTGATTTTTGCAGAACGTTTCTGTTAATAAAGTCTTAAACCGTGATAGTTGAACTGCACTCTCTTAAATTTTATTTCCAACTAAAATCTTTGAGCTCACGTGGGGTGAAAAGGTGTGCATTAATACAGTGATATAAATATGACGGTAACAGGCCAAGTTCTCTTTAGCACACAAAAAATAGAGCATGGTTTGTGTAGCCAATCAGAACACAGGATTCGCTTCGTTCATCTCCTCGTAGCTGTATAGACTATTTCGTTCCCAACCTCTCACGAACCAATTGCTTGTTTTCAATACTCTGTCGTGTGTGACACTTCAAAGCGCGCTCACTAACAAATACGCCAGCTCTCTCATCAATCTGTGTGTTAGAAAAGAAGCAAACGTCTTCAATCCTTTGTTTTAGATTTCATTTACTCCAAAAATATCTTAGCTTTTAATTGGGATGCTTGCTCTGTTATTAGTTAATCACATGGTAGGTTATTGATTTTTTTTATGGAAACGCTAATCCTCTATTGATTCATCAGTGCTTATCAAATACTTTACAAATGACCGAAAACAAAATAAAATCTCTTATATACTCTCTCATCAATCTGCTAATGAAAAAGAGCCGACATTTTGTGAATTATTTTATAAAATATTTAAAATTTGAGAATGAGTTGAAAATAAATTATAGGTGTTTTGTACTGAAATCTCTTTGTCGTTAAAATGATATCATTTCTTCGTATCCGAACTTATTCAAACTCGAAAAGAGCAAAAAGTAGTTTTAATTTCCAAATAATTGATAGATAATTCTCACCGGTCCTTCATGCAAATGTTAAGCGATCTAGAGGTGGGTGGGAAGAACAGATCGGTTAATTAACTTTAAAAAAAATGTTGTTAATTGTCTTTGCTGGTCGAGATTGGCCATGTCTATGTTTGGCAGCGCATGTAACTCATTAGGATGAAGCGTCAGTGTGACAGTGTGATCGCATTTCGGGCAGGCAATGCCAACTTTCTGTTTGATCATGGATGTTTCAAACAGTCGATCGCAGGCTGTGAAAACCTGATTGCCATGGTCCACCTTGAAGATCATGGCCATAGTTTTTGGAGCGTGAGTCTTTCCATTGCTGTAGGATTCAGTTTCCACGGAGCGTTGGAGACCAGCCTACCTCAAGGTGGTCTCAAGGTTATCTTTGGATCTCTTTCTCAGGCTTCCACGCTCACACTTTCCAAAAATAAAATGGTGGCAACGTACGCTTCCAAATGTATACTAGTTGGGTTTGCTACGAGGCCGTGCGAAAAAAAATTTCTGTGTTGAGGCAAAAAAAAAAAAAAAGAATAGTTTTTAATGTGCGTCAGCTGCTTTATAAAAATTGTGTTTTGCCTGTTCTTTGTTTCCTTTCCTAGGGGAGTTCAATTCAAACAACTAGCGAGCTACCTTTTTGATTCAGTAGGACTAAAATGATTGTCTTTGTAATTTTCTTACTGTACAACCATCTTCACGCTTATTGTTTCTTTTTGTGCAAATTCAAGAAATTCGTTGGTAAATTTAAGCTCAAAGAAGTATTTGTTCTTTAAAATCCAACGGGTTACTTCTTGGTATAATCGTGCCTCTGTCCGCGATTGTTCAGATTGACAACTTGTCTCGATAACTTGTTGTATGTAGAACAAAATTTCTTTTACTTGGACTGAGTTCTTCCACGTTACACTCTCCAGTTGGTCCAGAGATACAACTGTTTGATACTCGCCAAATAAAAATTCCCTTTTTAAAGCGTGATAACCGCAAATCGCACCTGAGACCATGTTTCCATCTGATTTAGTGGGAATATCGCTTATGAGGATAATGTATCGTCTATGTTTCGAATTTATCCAGCACAAATCTCGAAGTACTTCATTTGGAAGGAAGAGAAGTACTTCTGTTGAAAGTGTCGTTGCCTTCAATTGCTGAATGGTAAGATCGCTTAAACGTGCCACAGTCTTGTATTCAGAACCGTTGGTTGCCATGACTCAAGAAAACGCAATATGGTTGCACGACTAAATTTGAGTACAGAATCACCTCATCTTCACGGTCCAAAGTGTAGTTGTAGGAATCAAACAACTACAATGCAAATTCCGTTCAAATCAAATTCCCATTTGGGCTCTAAGTTATCTTTACCCTGAAGAAAATATACATATTCTTTACAAAAGCTCGCTTGAATTAATAATGAATAAGTAAACTGTGTTCGTTGATTAGATCAGAGTTATTGCGATCAATTATCGACTAGTAGGAGCCAATGAATAATTTTTGTAAGGATCTAATCAATTGTACGCTTTTCACCATATGGGTAAATCTCTTGTACGTTAAATTACTTGAACCCACAAGTAACAAATGTTCCAGCCTGCAGAGCAGGCATAATTTTGGCGGGCGAGTGCTCGGTGAAAATTATAGCTGGTATCTTTGATTTTTACAGTAGAGGAAGGCTGGAGAGAGAAAGAAATTTGTACCAACTTAAAATCAAACAATGGCCACTCGAATAAACGATCGCGAGCTTCTTAAAATTAACTCGTCCTGATAAGACACCTTTACCTTAGCTTTGAGCCTTAGCCCGCGCAGATAGAGAGAGACCGGAGACTAATCTATTACCAGTCCGTTCTCGATCATTCCGGTGCTATCGCAGGAAACAAGATGGAGTGGTTGTTGGGTAGTGCTGTGGCTCTCGTTTTCTCTTGCTTTTTTGAGGTATCTTTTGGTGAAGAGACCACGAAAGGTTTGTCTGAATGTCTTTTGTTTACAAATGTACTCCAATTATTTCTGAAGTTCCTGCAAGTTTCCAGCTTTTAACAGCTGGAAACGGCGCGACGAGTTGCACAATTACCAGTGTTAGCTGTTTGGTCAGTTAGCGGAAAGTAGGAGACAGAAACAGTAGGAGACATCTGAAAACGCCTACTCTGCAACTGAGCGTTTCGAAAATGCTGAATAATTGCACAATGTTTATTCTGGGGCAACCTTTTTTGCATCCACCCACCCCTGCTTAGTTCAAGGTTTAGCAATAATAACGCAAACATGGATGCAAGCGTATTTTATAAGGAAGAGTGAGCGAGTAAGAATTCTTTTGAACACAAAGTTTGTCTTTACTTTGATGCAAATTTTCCTTGGGGTTGAAAATTTTCCAATTTTGTATTTCATTGTCTCTTATTATTTTTAGAGATCTGGAACCAAGTAAGACCTGTATGATCAAAATTAATCTGGTTTTGAAATTTGAAAAATATGGAAAAAATTTGAGACATAATTTATATGTTTATTTCTCAAAATATGCTAAACCTCAAAAGGTTTTAGTGTTGTCTGATGAGTGTTTTGTTGAAGTGTTGTTAAATTCATTTTTCCTATATTAATGTTTTTTTTTTTATCACATCAAGGAGACCCATTGATTTCCCAAAGTACTGCTACAAAACTGGTGGCTTTCACAGCAGTCACAGTTTGTCTGGTGGTACTTATTAAATGGCATTTTGGTGGAGGAGTGTGCAAGAGTAAGGCGAGATTAGATGGTAAGACTGCATTTTAGCAGAGATAATAAAGATTAGAACATACACTGTGCTGGTTTACAATTGACTCACCACTACCAGTTACAGTAAACTTGCCACTTGTGGTAAAGTGAGTTGTTGATGATCATTGTTCAAGGTTCTTTCTCTGGATTTCACTTTGTTTATATGCACTTATAATTTTTCCATCATTCAAACCAAAAAAAAATAATAAAATAAAAGATGTAAGCTTTCACATGATGTAAGTTTAACATTTAACAGTTAACGTTCCATACTTGAGACACTGGATATGGCATCTGAGTCAATTTGCCACTGGTAGCAAATTTGTCATAGTGGGGAATTTGCCAGATACCACTGTGCTTAGTGTGAGAAATTTACATGGCCAACATGTCTGTGGTGTAGATGAAATTTATACAAGTTCAGACTTAAGCTAACAGTGGTTACTGATCCATGGAACTTGGCATGTAGAATGTTATTAGTTTATAGGTGTTGTAAAACAGTGATGTGTGACAGCTTGGGTTCAGCTCAAGTTCATCCTATCTCTGTTATACCCTGATGAATATAAAATTAATCTTAATTTACATGATTGGAAGTTCTTTTTTTATGCTTTACCATTTTGCTTTTTTTAGGTAAGACTGTAATTGTAACAGGGGCAAACACTGGAATAGGAAAGGAGACTGCTTTGGATCTAGTTAAGAGGGGTGCTAAGGTCATTTTGGCTTGTCGAGATGAACAGAGAGCCACAGATGCAACAAAGGACATTATTGCAGAGACTGGAAGTGATAAAGTCCATGTTAGAATTGTTGACCTGTCTTCCTTTGAATCTGTAAGAGCCTTTGCTAAGCTCATCAATGAAACAGAAGAAAGACTGGACATACTGGTAAACAATGCAGGACTTGGGGGAAATTACAGGTTGACTGAGGATGGATATGAAAGTGTATTCCAAGTAAACTATCTCAGCCATTTTCTTCTGACTCTACTTCTGTTGGACAAAATGAAGAAATCAGCACCAAGTCGCATTGTAAATGTTTCATCCTTGGCACATGAGCAAAAGATTGCTACTCTCCAGCTTGAGGATTTTAAATTGTCCAAGGAAAAGTTCAATGGATTTCAACGTTATGCTCAATCTAAGTTGGCCCAGGTGGTTTTCACAAAGGAATTGAGTCGAAGACTGGAAGGTGAGTGAAATGTTCCGGGGTACAGATCACCAATCATACCACAGAAATAGGTTGTTGTGATCACATGTGGGATTTTAATAACTTGTTATCAAACTTTTCCTTTTTCTACAACTTGAAATTTACTTTGTGGAAATATATTTTATTTCAATTAATGATAAAATGTGTCATCTCAAGAGGTACAGGCAGGTGTTACTGAGAGTAACAAGGATTTGATAGGTGTTTATTAACTCTGGCAAATGGGCTCTTTTCAATTAGTTTTTTGCCTCCCTTTAGGAACTGGAGTGACAGTTTATGCTCTTCATCCTGGTGGTGTCAAGTCAGACATATGGCGATACTGGAAGGCTTTGAAGAAACCTTATATACGACCATTTGTAATGCTATTGATGTTTCTCTTCTTCAAAGACTGCAAGCAAGGAGCACAGACTAGCATCTACTGTTCTGTGGCAGAAGAGCTGGAGGGTGTCTCTGGCCTTTACTACAGCGATTGTAGAGTCAAAAAGGGTAACAAACTGGCTAAAGATCCTGGTTTGGCCAAGAAGTTGTGGGATGTTAGTGAGAGAATCACTGGAGAAAGCTGGAAAGATTAAACTTTAGTGAAACATTTTCTTAGTTAACTTAAGTTGTCTTTGTAGCTTTGTGGTATGATGTCGGTTAATTAAATTTTGTTTATCAAGACCTTACATTTAGGTAGAAAATGTGGCCTGTTTGTCCCACATTTGCCATAATGAAAATAATAACATTTTTTTGTACACATGTTTATGTTTACTCCTTTTTAAGTCATATTCGTGAATTTTTTTTCAAAACTGTCGTGATATGAATGGCAGCAGAGCAACATGGAACAAGCTGCGAATTTGTTCCCCAATGTTTGCCTTATTCTTACAAATTAATGTTTTTCCTTTTCAATAGTAACGAAATTTTTCGTTGTAGCTGAACATAATTTTGCTATTATTTCTACGTGCGACTGAAGCAATTAAACACAATTATATCACGTTTCCATTGCGACGCTTAGCAATATGCTTACCGTTAATCGTACTTTACATATTCAAGTTCTCTGAAAAATTCCGACAGGAGATGGTTTGTTCACTTCAAGATATATGTATCTGCTACATCCAAAAACTTCCGGGTTGAGCCAAACTATGCAATGGCTGTTGAACCAGGTTACATCGCAAGACAGATTTTTATTTCTCGGGTTGAAGAGTCACCCGTTGTATTTATTCATTCTCGATCCACGATTAAGGACGGAAATTTTCAGCGCGGAATCATTTGCGGATTTCACGTTGCAAGGAAAACGTATTTGTTAGGTGTATTCGAAGGTTGCATTTGCCAAGATTCTCGAAGTTTAGCACAATGGTCACCATTGCATTCTGAGGTAAATAAGAAACCGGGGGCAAATCTGGCCTTGAATTTCGCCCGCATTAGATGCTCCATAACGAACGATATGGGCAAAATTCCGCTCGGTTTATTTAGTTAGAAATGATTGCTTTTATCTCTAAATATTCCGCAGTGGAAAAAAGTATCTGGCAAATTCTTAATCAGGTGATTTTACGTCGTCTGTTTCAATTTAATCAAGTTTTCAGTTATAAAAACTAGTTCTGTTATCACTGCATTTTACATATTATGCCTCGAATCTAATCGTGTTTAACATCACGAAAGGACATGGGACCTGGGACATGGAACTCAGCTGCAAGTATCTCATTGCCTCATTGCGGTCTGTGTTTTAGAAAAGTAATTTCAAAGCAAAACAAATAGGCAAAATTCCTCTTAGTTTGCGTGGGAAACGTTTGAGGAAAGATTCCGTATTATCCTATACTATTCTGTAGCAAAGCATTGGTCCCCAAAGAAGATTTATTGTTTTCGCTATTGTTTCCATCTTCCAAGTAACAGCTGCTATGACAAAGTACGTTGTTATTTGAAAATCTTACTCGGTTTATAATGTTAACACTAATTCTGAATGCTAGTTCAAAGATGTCGCGGAGAATTTTCCTGGAAATCATTACTAATGCAAAGTTTTGTACCTTCCCTAACTTTTCACTTCTCCTAAATCTGCTCCTTATAGTTGCACCGAGGTAATTACTGAGTCCCTAAGCAGCAGCAAAAGCTGTGACGAAAGTTATCTTATAGGCCATGGTAAACAGAGTTAGTTACGTGGTATAATTTTTCCGCATAAGTCTCCGATGACATTGTGTATTTTGTTTTAAGCCTTTTGATGCCGAACTTATTCAAACTCAAAAAGAGAAAAAAGTAGTTTTAATATCAAAATAATTGATAGATAATTCTCACCGGTCCTTCATGCAAATGTTAAGCGATCTAGAGGTGGGTGGGTAGGAAAGACCGGTTAATTAACTTTAAAAAAAATGTTGTTAGTTGTCTTTAATAATCGCGATTGACCGTGCCTATGTTTGGCAGCGTATGTAACTCGTGCCCAAGTGTCAGTGTAACAGTGTGATCGCATATCGAGCAGGCAATGCTATCTTTTTGGTTGATCATGGATGTTTCAAGTAGTCGATCGCAGGCTGTCAAAACGTGATGGTCATGGTTCATCTTGAAGATCATGGTCGTAGGTCTTCATTTTGAGCGTCAGAGTGAATCTTTCCACGGCTGTAGGATTCGGCCTGTCCTTTACACCTTTCCCAGGAGAGTTCAATTCAAACAACTGGCGAACTGCCTTTTTGATTCAGCAGGACTAAAATGATTGTCTTTGTAATTTTTCTAATTGTATAACCATCTTCACGCTTATTGTTTCTCTTTGTGCAAATTTAAGAAATTCGTTGGTAAATTTAAGCTCAAAGAAGTAATTGTTCTTTAAAATCCAACGAGTTATTTCTTGGCATTATCGAGCCTCTGTCCGTGTTTGCTCAGTTTGACAATTTGTCTCATTCAAATCTACCAGTCTTGTTTCGATAACTTTTTGTATTCAGGACAAAACTTCTTTTACTAGGACTGAGTTCTTTCACGTTACACTCTCCAGTTGGTCTAGAGACACCACTGTTTGATATTCGCCAAATAAAAACTCCCTCTTTAAAGCGTGATAACCGCAAATCGCACCAGAGACCATGTTTCCATCTGATTTAGTGGGAATATCGCTTATGAGGATAATGTATCGTCCATGTTTAGAATTTATCCAGCAAAAATCCCGAAGTACTTCATTTGGGAGGAAGAGGAGTACTTCTGTTGAAAGTGTCGTTGCCTTCACTTGCTTCATGCTAAGATCGCTTACGGAGTACAGAATCACCACATCTTTCCGGTCCAAAGTGTAGTTGTAGGAATCAAACAACTAATTGATTAGATCAGAGTTATTGCGGTCAACTATTGACTGACAGGAACAATCAAATGATTTTTGTGAGGATTTAATCAATTATACGCTTTTAATCATATGGGTAAAACTCTTGTGCGTTCAATTCCTTGAACCCTTAAGTAACAAATGTTCCAGCCTGCAGAGCAGGCGAGCGCTTGGTTATAGCTGCCATCTTTGAATTTTACAGCAGAGGAAGGTTGGAGAGAGAAATAAATTTGTACCAACTTAAAATCAAACAATGGCCAGTCGAATAAACAATCGCGAGCTTCTTAACGTTAAGACGCCCTGACACCTTTACCTTTGTTGTGCGTTAAACCGCGCAGATAAAGAGAGACCGGAGACTAATCTATTACCAGTCCGTTTCGGTTATCCCTGCTGTCATGGTATGAAACGGAAATAGAGAAGCTGTCGGTTAGTGCTGTAGCCCTCCTTTTCTCCAGCTTTTTAAAGGTATCTTTAGGTGAAGAGACCATGAAAGGTTTGTATTTATGTCTGTTATTCACAAATGTACTTCAATTATTTCAGGAGTCCCTGCAAGTTTCCAACTTATAACAGCTGAAAACGGCGCGACGAGTGGCATCCGTTGGTAGCTGTTTTCGTTATTAGGAGACAGAAACATTTTGTTATGTTCTGAGAGTTTATTTCTTTCGGATACATCGAGGGCCAATTAAAACACAGATACCTGAAGCTCAATTAGACGACATTGGATGGGGTTACGTTGTATTTGTGAATTGGGTAGATCTTAATTTTTCAGGAGTAACCAATACTCTTTGGACTGGGTCTATGTTTCACTCTAATCCAGATAATTCTCCAGTGAAAAATAGCTTTTCAAAAAACTTTCGTTCATCTGGAGACATCTGAAAATGCCTACTTTACAACTGAGCGTTGCGAAAATGCTGACTTACGACACATTGTTTTTTCTGGGGCAAGTTTTTTGCATCCACCCACCCCTACTTAGTTCGAGGTTTAACAATAATAACTCAAACATGGATGCAATTGCACTTTATAAGAAAGAGTGGGCGAGTAAAAATTATTTGGATCACAATGTTTGTCTTTGCTTTGATGCAAATTTTTCTTTGAGTTGAAAATTTTCCAATCAAAGTTTATCTGGTTTTGAAATAAAAAAAATATGGAAAAAATTGAAACACAACACATAATTTATATGTTTGCATCTTAAAGTATTTTAGAATTCAAAAGGTTTTTATGTTGTCTTAAGAGTGCATTTGATTATTTTTTGTAGAAAATGTACAATATAAATATTAAATATTATTATTATTACTATTATTAATATATAGATTTAGGCAAGCCTAAAAGCGGAGCTCGTATTTTTTTTTACCTGCATGTCTCTTCAACAAAACTAAAGCCCCTACTATGGTAATATTAATGGTTTTCATTTGCAACTTCTCTGTGTCTGTGTAGAGGACTGATTATAAGATAGTGCCCGTGGTACAGTTGGCCGTGTATGCTAAAAGTAGCACCTTGTATGGTCGGTTGTATGGTCATACATCCAAATTTTTCTGGCTTGATGGGTTACTACTATTTTGTATAATTATGGGACTGTGCTCTGTGAGCTCTGCTATTATGAGTATTTTATCGAAGTGTAATGAAATGTCATTTTTCTTACAATCGTTCTTTTCTTTGATCACACCAAGGAGATACATTGATTTTCCAAAGTACTGCTACAAAACTGGCAGCTTTCACAGCAGTTACAGTTTGTCTGGTGGGACTCATTAAGTGGCATTTTGGTGGAGGAGTGTGCAAGAGTAAGGCAAGATTAGATGGTAAGACTGCATTTCAGCAGAGTTAATCAAGATTAAAACATACACTAAGCAGGTTTACAATCAACTCACCACCACAACAAACTCACCACCACCAGCTGTAGTAAACTTGCCACTTGTGGTGAAGTGAGTTGTTGACATTAAAGGCTCTTTCTTTGGATTTCACCCTGTTTGTGTGAACTTTTAATTTTTCCATCATTGAAACCAAAAAATGATAAAATAAAAGATGTAAGCTTTCACATGATGTAAGTTTAACATTTAACAGTTAAAGTTCCATATTTGAGACACTGCACATAACGCTTGAGTCAATTTGCCACAGGTAGCAAATTTTTCAAAGTGGAGAGTTAACCTGATACCACTGTGCCTAGTGTGAGAAATTTACTTGGCCAACATGTCTGTGTTGCAGATGAAATTTATACAGGATCAGACTTGAGCTAACAATGGTTACTGACCCATGAAACTTGGCACACAGAATCATTATTTTATAGCTGTTGTAAAACAGTGATGTGTGAACATTCAGTTGCCGTGGCTTTTTGACAGCTTGGGTTAAGCTCAAGTTCATCCTATCTCTGTTATACTTTGATGAATATAAAATTAATCTCAGTGCAAGACAGCTAGTCCTCAGGATGGATACCACAGTTTAATTTACATATGACAACAATTTATGTTTATTTAAAATGCTGCCTTTCAGCAAGACTGACAACAAAAATAAATAAAATATCTGTCACTGCTTGATGTAATCTGTATACCTCTGCACAGAGATCAGTTACAAATTTGTACCAAGGTTTTGCTGACTTTGCCATTTTCTTGTAGGTAAGACTGTTATTGTAACAGGGGCAAACACTGGAATAGGGAAGGAGACTGCTTCAGACCTTGCCAGGAGGGGTGCTAAAGTCATTTTGGCTTGCCGAGATGAACAGAGAGCCACAGATGCAGCAAAGGACATTATTGCAGAGACTGGAAGTGACAAAGTCCATGTTAGAATTGTTGACCTGTCTTCCTTTGAGTCTGTGAGAGCCTTTGCCAAGCTCATCAATGAAACTGAAGAAAGACTGGACATACTGGTAAACAATGCAGGACTTGGGGAGTATTACAGGTTGACTGAAGATGGATATGAAAGTGTATTCCAAGTAAACTATCTCAGTCATTTTCTTCTGACTCTACTTCTGTTGGACAAAATGAAGAAATCAGCACCAAGTCGCATTGTAAATGTCTCATCCCAGGCACATGAAGGAAGGAATGCTGAACTCCAGCTTGAGGATTTTAAATTGTCTGAGGAAAAGTGTGATGCATTTCAACGTTATGCTCAATCAAAGTTGGCCCAGGTGGTGTTCACAAAGGAACTGAGTCGAAGACTGGAAGGTGAGTTACATGTTCTGGAGTACAGATCACCAATCATACCACAGAAATAGGTTGTTGTTATCACATGTGCGATTGTAATGTCTTGTTATCAAACTTTTCCTTTTCTACAACTTGAAATTTACTTTGTGGAAATATATTATATTTCAATTAACAGATGTCACTGAGAGTCTAGGAATTTATTGTTGTTTATTAGCTCTGGTAAATGGGCTCTTTTAAATTGTTTTTTTGCCTCCCCCTAGGAACTGGAGTGACAGTTTATGCTCTTCATCCTGGTGTTGTCAGTTCAGACATTTGGCGAAACTTGGAAGTTTTGAAGAAACCTTATATACGACCATTTGTAATGCTAGTGATGTTTCTGTTCTTCAAAGACTGCAAGCAAGGAGCACAGACTAGCATCTACTGTTCAGTGGCAGAAGAGCTGGAGGGTGTCTCAGGCCTTTACTACAGTGATTGTAAAGTCAAAGAGGTTAACAAACTGGCTAAAGATCCTGGTTTGGCCAAGAAGTTGTGGGATGTTAGTGAGAGAATCACTGGAGAAAGCTGGAAAGATTAAACTTTAGTGAAATATTTTCTTAGTTAACTTAACTTGTCTTTGTAGCTTAGTACAACTGCATAGCCTTTTAAGACACGTGAACTGTAATATCATCAATTAAAGGAACTAGGTCATAATGTTTTATGAGAGCTAAGAGGTAGTTTGATGGCCTTATAAAGTTTAGCAAATCATTCCATGAGTTAGCAAAAATGACTCTCTATCAAGAGGGGAAGTCCTGGTACTGTGTTACAGCTTAGGCCCTCCAAACTGGTGCAGCATGACATGACCAAAGTTATAGAGCTGTTGTAGGCTGTAGCATAGAGATCTGGTAGAATGACATCTAGTATTCTCCAAAGAGTGTATTGAGAAAATGACTTCAAAAATGTGCCAGTACTACACACACCAGCCCATTGATAACACTTACAAGTTTAATGATTTTAGATATATGAAATTCATACATTTGCACTGCGGTGAAGAAACAAATATAAGAGATCCTTGCAGCTAAGAACACTACTAAACTAGTAGTTGAAATAAGACCTGAGAGATAGACAAATATAAGAGATCCTTGCAGCTAAGAACACTACTAAACTAGTAGTTGAAATAAGACCTGAAAAAAATTTTCAGGCCTGTACAGGATTTGAACCCATGACCTCTGTGATACTGGTGCAGCGCTCTACCAACTGAGCCAACAAGTAAACTGGGTGCTGGTCAATATGTTGGGTCCAAATAAACCATCCAAGTGATGAATAATGAATTTAGATATATGAAATTCATATATTTGCACTGAGGTGAAGAAACTTACACAGTTATTCCTGTCACACCCCTCTTGCACAACACAGCAAACAAAAGGGAATCTGTTTGGGCATCTTTAATGAGGAGAGTCCCTGGAGTGGAAGAGAGGGTTAAAAAAAACAACTGAAATGATTGAATGGATAAAACCTTGTGATCATATGATAACCAAGTGTCAGTCAGCAGCTCGCCAGGCACAGCATGGAGGCCTCAACACAGGAGGTCAGCTAAGTTATTTCCCAAGGAATATGAACCCTACTCTAGACTTTGAGCCTACAAAGATATCCCAAATCAAGATGCTAAAAAGTTAAATTATAAACTCACCTTTGCCCCTCCCCCCTCTCCCACCTTTTCTAGGTAAACAAGAGGGGTAGAGTGGAAGAAATCAGGTCTGCAGGTCAGGGTTACCGAGCTGACTTTGACGGTCGTGTACGCGAGTCGTTAGAAACGTCAAAACTGGGACATTTTGAAAGCAAACTGCGGGTTAGCGTCGGTTTCATGGGGAGGATAGAGTTGTTAGTGAATCGAAATGAGACTAAAGTAAATGTGCTTGAATTCTGATTTGCTAGATTTGAGGCCGCCTGGTCATTTTAAGATTGGATTTTTTGCTTCTCGGATCACAGGTGACCCAAGCGCCAGCTGTGAGATTATCATGCGAAATAACAGTCATGGCGAAATATTACAAGAGTTTGTATGGGAATATTTACGACTGCTCTAACAAATTAAAAATAATAATTCAAATTCTCAATAAAAATACCTCACCTTACTTCCACAGCGTATCGCTTATCTGACTGCTTACTTTGTTGAAATGAACCCATTTTAGTGAGTTATCCATCTCTAACTAGGTTTACTACGTACATAAGAAAAGCCCTGAAGCTTTTTATATGTACGTAGTAAACCTAAAATGGATAACTCACTAAAATGGCTTCTCTATCTGTTCTTTATCTCACAGCTGGAGCTTGGACCGCCTGTGTTCGGATCGGCCGGTGTGCAGCCTTGTCCTTCCCTCAGGGGTTGTAACCCTAGAAATGGATAACTCACTGAAACGACCTCGTTGCAACAAAGTAAGCGGTAACAAAACAAGTAATGCTCTTTGAAAGTAAGGTGAGGTATTTTTATTGAGAATTTGACTGTTTTTTTATTCCTAAGGGCAGTCGTATATATTTCCATTCTATTATTTTTTCCCATGACTCTTTTTGCACAAGATGATCATTTTACAGCTGGAGCTTGGGACGCCTGTGAGTGGTCACGTTTATCACAAGAGCTAGTGTTAAAACGAGAATGGCGGCCAAGTTACTGGTAGCGGTTGTTTTCCTTTGGCTCTCTTGCTGTGTGTTGGTGACCTTTAGTGAAAACATAGACAAAGGTTTGTTCTCAATCAAATGGTACTTAAGAAGAGTCGAATTTAACATCAATTTTCAAAAAACTGACGATCGTCCTTCCCAGCGTGACAGATAACTTGACCTTGAAGGCTTGTCCGCGTGACCTTGTTTTGTTGTTGGTTTTTACTATTAATTCAACTGAATAATATAGGATTATCGAGTAATCTTTTATTTTTGGTCAATTGTTGGATTGGCCTTCTCTGTCTTTGCCCTAAGGTGGGTGGGTTAGAATTTTTGTTTGGTGCAAACTAAGAAAGCTATTGTCAGTAGAAGCTTCCTTTGTGTTATCGGCACACGGCTAAACTGATGTATTCTTCTCAAGGTGGAACACAAGGTGAATCTCTTGACCCACAAACTATTATTTCAAGACTGCTGGTTTTCACAGCAGTAACAGTTTGTTTGGTGTTGCTTATGAAGTGGTATTTTGGTGGAGGAGTGTGTAGAAGCAAGGCAAGATTAGATGGTAAGAGTGAATGTAAATTGCGGAGATGATGTATTGACATATTGATGTCAATAACCAGTGTCATCACAAAAATCATCTAAGTTCTGTTGGCACCATCTTTTTTTAATTTCCTATAGGACTACCTCGAAGGTAGTTTTCTTCTGTCCATACTTAAGAGCAGTATTCTGATAAGGGTGTTCATGTTTAAGTTCTCCTGCAGTAAAAAATTTTCTTCTTGTTCGCTAATGATTTGATGTCATATTTTGCCAAAAAGCATTATACCAGCTGGTGGGACACTTAGGAAAACAAGTTATTGTTTTTATTTAATTTTTTAAACTGTGATTTCTCATTTCAAACATCTGTCATTACGCACCTGATTTTGTTGTATTGAGAGAGCTGTATTAAATTATAAAGTGTTGGCATTTTCTCACCAGTGGGACTTTGTTCCTTGGATTGTGCAAGAGATTATTTTCTATTTTGAAAATTCTTTTAGGCTTGTATGGAGACTGACTACAATTAACATGATTGGGAATTCTTTTTTATGCTAACTCTAGATGCCATTTTTTTAGGCAAGACTGTTGTTGTAACAGGGGCAAACACTGGAATAGGAAAGGAGACTGCTTTGGATCTAGTTAAAAGGGGTGCTAAGGTCATTTTGGCTTGTCGAGATGAACAGAGAGCCACAGATGCAGCAAAGGACATTATTGCGGAGACTGGAAGTGATAAAGTCCTTGTTAGAATTGTTGACCTGTCTTCCTTTGAGTCTGTGAGAGCCTTTGCTAGGCTCATCAATGAAACTGAAGAAAGATTAGACATTCTTGTAAATAACGCTGGCTTTATTGGGTCTTACCAATTGACTAAGGATGGATATGAAAGCATATTCCAAGTAAACTATCTCAGCCATTTTCTTCTGACACTACTTCTGTTGGACAAAATGAAGAAATCTGCACCAAGTCGCATTGTAAATGTCTCAGCCTTGGCCCATGAATTTAAGAGTGCTAATCTACAACTGGATGATTTTGTTCTTTCGAAGGAGAAAGTCAGCCAGGGATTTGAACGTTATGCTCAATCAAAATTGGCCCAGGTAGTGTTCACAAAGGAATTGAGCCGAAGACTGGAAGGTGAGTTAAATTAGTTTGTTCCACAGGGTAATCAATATTGTCAATATGCTGGAAGGTTGTGGGCAAATAAGGAAAAGTTTGTGACCAGGTTATTGTGCATGTAAAGCTGTTTTGTCTGATTATACACATGACTGAAAACTATGTATTCAAAATGTCTAAGGAGTTCCATGAAATTTGGGTGAATCTGGCAACAAATTCTAAATGAGAATCAGTTTATTTATCTAAACATTTAATCCTTTAACTCCCAAGTTCTCATTAGTAATTCTCCTTACTGTCTGTCATATAGTTCTTGTGATGTTAGTTTGGAGAATTTGGTATTGGATCAACTAATAATCCCCTAATTGATATTTTTCTTTATTCTCATCACTTTTCTGCTTGACTTTGTATTGATATGTAAGGAGAAATCCTGTCTTGGTGGCTCATGAGACTTAAAGGGTTAAGTGGCAAGCCATGTATTCAATTCCACTCAAAAACTGGGGAATGGTTGTTGTACAAATGTTTTGGATGGTTAAGTCTGAATGATAAGGAAGTAAGAAAAGAAGAACAGTAAGCAATAATTTATTGTAAAAAAATTTCAATTATTTTGAAAATAATTTTTTTGAGAAAAAAAATCCAAATGAGAGAAAAATTGAAGCATTGGATTTTTGCCTTGCTGATGCTCCAGTTTATATTTCACAATTTTAATTTGTTTTCAGTTGACGCTTAGAACTAGAACTAGCATGAGGTATCAAGATGTTCCTTATGAATATTATTTTTCTGGTATTTTAGGAACTGGAGTGACAGTTTATGCTCTTCATCCTGGTGGTGTCAAGTCAGACATATGGCGGTACTTACCTATTCTGGAGAACCCGTTCCTTAAACCATTTGTAATGATTATTACATTTCTGTTCATGAAAGATTGCAAGCAAGGAGCACAGACAACCATCTTCTGTTCAGTGGCAGAAGAGCTGGAAGGTGTCTCTGGCCTTTACTACAGTGATTGTAAAGTCAGAGAAGGCAATAAACAGGCAAAAGATCCTGGTTTGGCAAAGAAGTTGTGGGATGTCAGTGAGAGGATCACTGGAGAAAGCTGGAAAGAATAAGATGAAGATGAACATCTTTGTAGCTATTTATTGGTACATTTCTTGGTACAGTTCTTGAAACCTTGGGTGTAGTGTACATGTAAGAGTTTTGAATTGTTCTAGCCTTGGGTAGTCTATGATGAAAAGTTAATTTTTGAGGATGATAAGAATTTATGGATGTCTTTATCATTAAGATGCTTGGTAATACATTTGTTTACCCTGACAAAGACTAAAGACCCATAACCTGTGAATTATTAATGCTTTACTAACTTGTGATATTATGAAAAAGCCAAAATATATATGGATCATGACCACCAGTTTGCTTGAGGTGTTGTTATCCACCCTAGGGGGAGGCAGAAAGGAAGGAGAGGAAATGGGAATAAGGAAAGTTTGTGCTAAGGCTTAATTGACGCTCTGACCCATTGTGAGATCCAGCTCACTTCCCAGTTTAACCAAAACAATGTCTTTGATTGTGGCAAATCCACCCAATGGAGCCACATATAATACTTAAAACAATATTTAGAATTGACAGACAACATTGAGGCTGTCCACCATAAATATCCACACACCATTCAAGCTTTCTTGTGTGTTGACATTCCCTATTCAAGACATTTGATGGTGGAGTTGTAATCCCTTTTTATTTTGGAAAGCCAGGAAAAATTACGCTATTTGGAAGCACAAACCCCTTTCATGTAAAATAAAGGAGTGTCCCCCCTCCCCTCCCCCCCACCCACCTGCTTCTGGTGAACTTAGCGAGAGTTGTTAAAAACAAGGGCACCAAAGAAATTGTGTCATGGAAGCACCAGCTTATCTCGATTTCGGCCAAAAAATTCTCGAGATTACGGAGGAAACTTTGTAAGATGTGATCACTATTGTCCCCAGAGCCCATCGTTTGCTTTGATCGGCGCGGACGTCGCGCGCGCAACGTGGTGAGTACTCAAACTATGGCGGTGTTTTTGGTGTGTGCTGTGTTTCTTTCGCTCTCTCGTTGTTTTGAGGTAGCCTACGGTGAAAAGACAAACAAAGGTTTGTTCTCAAATGAATCTTACTACAATTATTTTTTAAACCAAGCCCAAAACAATAATAGTCCCTCTCGAGCATAGCGTGACTAACGCATTTTAGGCTTTCGTGTTGCCTAATGCTTGCGCGTGTTCGCTGTAAAGAGGTTCCCTCTGACTCAAGGTGTCCCCTCTAACGCGGATTTTATCTGCATGTGAATTGTCTGCTAAAAGAAACTGATGGCTAACGTGATAGCGTTTTTTTGTCACATATTTTGATTCGCTGAGTCAGTCTCTGATTTTCCTTAGCAAACTCTCGGTTTGGGGTCGGTCAAGTGAAAACTTCTTGACCTCGATCTTTATTAATTAGCTTAACAGCAGAAAAGGGAAAAATCGAATGATCTCTAATTTTATCATAAAGTGGAATTTATTTCTGTTACTATCTAACGTGTGAGAATTTTTGTACGGTGCAAAGCCAATGACAATGAGCGTTAACTATGTTTTTTGAATCACAGAAGGCGAGCTTCTTAACTCCAAATGTATTGCAACAAGGCTGTTAGTTGTCACAGCGTCAACAATTTGTCTGGCGGTGATCATTAAGTGGTATTTTGGTGGAGGAGTGTGCAGGAGCAAGGCAAGATTAGATGGTATGAGTGCATTGTGAAAAAAAATTTATAATTTGCCTAGCCCTTATGATGGCCTTTTGGGGTGGAGGTTTAATTACTAATCCCCACAAAGGCGATTTGAGTATATCTCGCCCTGAAAGGTATAGTTTTCGAGCTGTTTTGGTCATAAGAGAGATGTAGATTTTAACCATTTTGCTCTTGATTAGTTATGATTTTCAAAAGACACCATGGGAGAAGATAAATTATTTTGAATTCTGAACTTCAGCTGAAAATGAACATCAGAGAAAGAGAACTTAACCAAAATATATTATCTGAGCTGAATTTTCTGTAAATTTTACCAATTCTAAGTTTTAAAATCGACATGCAGATAAAAAAGGTATTGGATTCATTTGTAAATCAAGTGCATCTTGCTAGGTTTGATTTTGGGTATGGGGAATGCCCCCACCACACCCCAACACATTATGATGTACCTATAAGCTATACTTTGGTTATAAAGCATGTTAGTTAATCTAAGTTATTAGGTAAAAGAAAAAAATCCACTTGTGGTAGCATTCTTCTGTGATTGAGTGCATGTATAGTAAAGGCTTTATAAATATGTGCTGCTATGTAAAAGTATTTCATCTAAAGTGTCACAGGAATTTTTTTTCTTTTGTCTCTGGCTGAATGGAGTTATACAGTTTCAAAGTCGATAAGTGGTCAAAATGACAAGTTCATATCATGGCAGTTTGATGACTGGTGGCAATAAATGAGCTTGGCGATATGTTTCTTTGTGCGGACACTCAATTTTATGCTAACACTGCCTTTGTTTAGGTAAGACTGTTATTGTAACGGGGGCAAACACTGGAATAGGGAAGGAGACTGCTTCAGACCTTGCCAGGAGGGGTGCTAAGGTCATTTTGGCTTGCCGAGATGAACAGAGAGCCACAGATGCAGCAAAGGACATTATTGCTGAGACTGGAAGTGATAAAGTCCTTGTTAGAATTTTAGATCTGAATTCCTTTGAGTCTGTGAGAGCCTTTGCTAAGCTCATCAGTGAAACAGAGGAAAGATTAGACATTCTTGTGAACAATGCAGGTGAGTAAGTAAGAAAACAGGCTGAGAGACTTTAAAGCTTTAACCAATAGTCTTTTATCTAAAATTACAATATGAAGACAAAAACACAAAAACTTTGTTCAAAAAGGAATTATAAATGTTAGAGATCTCTAACCCATTCACCCCTAAGTGTGTATGGCTAGCATCTAATTTATATTTCTAGAATCATGAGAACAAATGAAAAGATTGCCAACTTGAAAAGCCTTGATTGTTAAACAAATTCTCCCTGTTGGTGCCATAAGAAATGTATAGAGAATAGTATGGAGAATATGCACAGTGATATTTGAGTGTAAAGGGTTAAAGTTGAAGTTAATTCTCCATAAAATATCATTTCATAGGGATTGGACTTGGTGCCCCTTACAGGCTGACTAAAGATGGTTATGAAAGTGTTTTCCAAGTAAACTACCTCAGCCATTTTCTTCTGACCCTACTTCTGTTGGACAAAATGAAGAAATCAGCACCAAGTCGCATTGTAAATGTTTCATCCTTGGCACATGAGCAAAAGATTGCTACTCTCCAGCTTGAAGATTTTAAACTTTCTAAGGAGAAGTTTGATAAAGGATTTGGACGTTATTCTCAATCAAAGTTGGCCCAAGTGGTGTTCACAAAGGAACTAAGCCGAAGACTGGAGGGTGAGTAAAAATTAATGTTTGGGTGCTCAAGACAACCAGGTCTAATTATATTGCAACCTAGTATGGTCCTTTTCCAGACGGTTTGGTTATCAGAGGATTTGGTCTTGGTTTTGGACTTGAGAACAATTATAATGAATATTAGCAGATTGGACCTTGGATTCAATCTGTCTAGAAGTTGAAATTGTGGATTTCTTCACTAATAATGATGTTCAACTTGGTATCTGCTGACCTAGTAAGCTTTTCATTTTTCTTGGCTTAGAGGAAGCCAAAAATCCTTTCCTGTTGTAAAGACCTGGATGGCTTTGAAATTCAGTATGTTATGGGCTGTTTAACTCTCATGTGCTACATTTTCAAAAACCAGCAAAGACAGAGCAACTTTTGGCAAATTTGAAAACGTGTGGTAGTAAGAAAGGTAAAACAAACACAAGCTCATTTGTGGGGAAGTATATTGTGGTACATTTTAATCAAAGTGATGTCATACCTTAATTATGATTTGAATGAAAATTGTGAAACTCTATAAATTATAATTTAAAGTCTATTTAAAGGTTCCACTCGAAGTATCAGAAGAAAATTGAATAGATTGGAATGGTGTTACTTAAGCAAGTTACATTAGGATCACTGTTGGGAGAACTAAATTAAAGTTTTTTTCAACTGATGTTAAGGATTATAATGAGGTATCAAGATGGCTCTTATATTGATGATTCTTCCTTTATTTTAGGAACTGGAGTGACAGTGTATGCTCTTCATCCTGGTGGTGTCAATTCAGACATTTGGCGCAACTATAAGTTCCTGGAGAATCCATTCCTGAAACCATTTGTAACCCTGATTGCATATTTGTTCTTGAAAGATTGTAAGCAAGGAGCACAGACATCAATCTACTGTTCAGTGGCTGAAGAGCTGGAAGGTGTCTCAGGCCTTTACTTCAGTGATTGTAAAGTCAGAGAAGGCAATAAACTGGCAAAAGATCCTGGTTTGGCAAAGAAGTTGTGGGATGTTAGTGAGAGGATCACTGGAGAAAGCTGGAAATATTAGATATTGTAGTCATGCATGTACATTTTCAAGTAGAAGAGAACCCTTGCTTGTTTTCCACTGCTGATCAGAGCTTGCTTACAAGCCGTTACTAAGTGACATGGTTTTTCTTTCATGTCTCTTATTTCATGTGTATTGCTTCTCCTCACTCAAGTTCAATGCATTATCCCTCAAGTAGCTGTGATAGGCATTGCATACATATCAATAAGTCAGAAGGAATAGACTTGATTACTTAAGGCTTACAATTACTAGACATAGAGCTATGTAAGGTTATTACCATATATTTTACATAAACTTATGTTATACAACCTTGGCAAAGTTCTGTTAGGAGCATTGATCATGTCATCGTAGTAGAAAGTTGTTATATCCATTTTAGCACCAGTTGTGGCCTGGATAGCGTGCCCTCTACTCAGTGGTGTCACATGTTATTTCAGACTTTGGTTTGGCAGTATTATTTGATGTTTAGCTTACATATATCATATTCAGGTTTTGTATTTTTGAAAATAGTGGCTAGATAGTGGCATAGTTATAATAAAGGATGCCTTTTTTCATGTTATTCACTTTTTAAGAGGAATATTGTGTTGGTTTGACAGCTTGAAGAGTAGCAGGAGATATAAATGGATGTTGAATTTAAATCCAAATTTCTTATTGTGCTTTTTGTGTGGAACTTAAAACAAAAAATTAGTAGGATATAAATATGTATATATTTTTTAATGAGATCACGAATCCGATCCTACTAACGCATCGACCAACGTGTCGGCCGACACACCCCCGACACTCTACCGACGCCGAGGGGAAAGGAATGAAATACCGTAAACACGCATATCACCGTGTTTTGAAGCTCAATGCTGGAAAAAAAGTTCCTTAGAAAACTGAAGTTAATCATCAGAAAGACTGACTCAAAATTTCGCTGTAACGTTCCGTAAAGCCACCGATTGATCGTTTGACTCTTTCTATTATATTCAACAAAATTAAACCGAATCCCTCCTTGAACCAGTATGACATTACTTTTTTTGAGTACATTTTCATTAGTCAGTGCACTATGAACACTTAAAAACATAGGTTTTGGTTAGTTATACTGGTTATCAGTAGCTCCACTTCGGCAAACAGCCCGTAGATCTTTTAGAACATAATAACTGTTAAATATTTTCCATCTCCATTCGTCATAAGCTCACTGGGTTGTATGCATGGGTACATTTAAAGGAGGTCGGGGAATCAGTCAATACCAAAGATACTCCTGTTTATTTCCACATCTGAGATCACTATACTTCAAGCAGGGGCAGGACGGCTGTCTTTTCAAGCACAAAATAAATGATGTACAACAAGCAAACAAGAGAGGTTGATTTGAAAAACGTCAGGTTTTACTCACTATTTCATCATGACATTTAGATAAATGTCAAAACCATTTTAGTCATAGCATAGATTGCATGGAATTGTTTGTTGACATATTTCTACCCTCTCTAAAACCGAACCAAATTCTTTCCCAAAACCTTCAAAAAAAGAACAAAAAAAAAAAAGATGAAAATAAGAAAAAGAAAAACCATGCAACTTGGGGAAATTGCCCCTCAAATATTGAAAAAAAACTCCCCTCACAAAATTTAGGCTATTTACATCTCACTCGCCAAATATGCACCTGTAGTGCAGGTAGGGTGTAACCTCGCGAATTGACAGTGTTTCCTGCAACTTCGAAACATTTGCTAGGATGTCAAGTAACGCTCAATTTAGGTTTCACGGGATGCCTAAGAGACCGCCGCAGAGGTGACTTAAAGGTAAAGTATATTTTTACACCTAAACGGCATGTCTATGGGACATAGATATGCTAAACAAGCAGTTGTATAGTATTTTTTTGTTGGTACACATCAAACATTTTTGTGTTGGCTTGGAAAGAAGAAATGATCGAACAAGGGAAACAAGGAGTCATTCAAATTTGATTATTTGAAAGTTTTCGGACGAAAGCCATTATTTTAGCTTCTCCACGCTGGATCGCGCGAGTTCCAAGGAATCCTGAGAGGAAAAAATAATAAGGTCGCTAGGCACTATCACTTCGACCTCAGTCAGGTTCAAGCGCTATAATCAGCAGGTCAGCTGGAAGATTTAGTCTCCATTCCCCCCTCATTTTCTCGAACGCCTGGATTATTGTTGTCGGAAGCTTTCTGCATTATGGCTCAAAGAGGGAAGGTAGTCTTCGTGATATTTCTTTCATGTTACCTCTCAGAAATCTTATCATATGCATCTGGTGAGTGTTATCCATATATTGCGTAGTTAAGACTTTTGTTTGTACGCGATCTGACATACAAGAAATGCTGTCGCCATACTTAGCATTGTTTCGGCTCTGAATATTTCTCGTAAATTTATTTGTGACTTTGTCAATTTTTAACTAAAATCTGGCTAATTTTTGTGAAGAAGATTAGTTGGTGTAATTTTGTAGCAGATCAATTCTTGTATGCGTTTCCAATCTGTAATTTTTTAGTATACTAATACCGTAGCCAGCAGCTGTTATTATTTTAATGACAGCTGATTCACGGAAATTTCGTAATACAGACGATTTAGTTAGGAAAGTAAGAAAACCTGAATATATTCTATTAAACTTAAGTCATGGAATGGTAAGCTTGAATATATTCTCTAATTTGACATTGATGTAGTCATGGAATGGTATGTTTTGTCGGAATATTTTGAGAATAATAAAAATTAATGAAAAATTCGTGACCAAGTTTGCAGCAAATTATAGCAGATTGAATAAAAGTAATCCTTTTTTTTTTCTGAATCTAGGCTAGAAATTTCAAGAGGCTCTGAATCCACCATTTGTTAATAATTTATGAGTAACATATACAGTGCACAAGGATATTCATCTTCAATAATCCTTTCAACACTTTCAATGCCACTGCCTTTAATTTTTACATGTGACTTCATGTTAGGAATATACCCACAGCACTAACTTACTTTGCATTGTTTCTAAATATTTCTAAAATTATCAACCATGAGATTCTTAATTGTCAAGGGTGTTTGAAATGCTCAAATGTCTTTTCCCGTTCTGAAAAATATTGTAGATGAATACAGTAGAAGTGTTGTTATGACAAATTCATTTGATGGTTGTCATATGAATTGCGTTCTTAATCACAGGAATTGTTAATTAAGCTAATGGTTGGAACAAAGTTTCTCCCTTTCGTCATTTACATAATTGTTTTTTGCTCAAAGTTACATGTTAGTTTTATAGATCATTAAGTGTAAGTAACTGTAGGAGAACACAGAATTAAGTTTCTGAGTTGTATAATGTCGTAAAATTCAATAAGATGTACTTTCCCTTTGCTGGTACTAAATCATGTTAATGTACACAATGTTCTTTCATATTAAGGAGCCTCATCTTGTGAGGATCATCATCCAAGGTGTGGCCACTGGGCATCCAAAGGAGAATGCAAGAAAAATGTCAAGTGGATGTCAAAGCACTGTCGATCAACTTGTGGCCTGTGTGCCCAAGGTACAACCACTGTTACATTTTGAATGTTGATCACAACAACAACTACTGGGTTGATGTTTCATTTTTGTTAAAATTTCCCTTTTTGTAGAGGATCTCCTTATTGATTCTCAAATAAGAAATACACAAAAAAACATTTTTTGACCTGAAGCGGCTAACTGAGTTTTCTTGTGATATATGTCGTGGGAACCTGTAGAACTGAGTTCACACTAAATACAGGGTCAAGAGCAGTGAACATTTTAAACATTGAAAGACTCAGCCATCTCCCTTTTTTGAAATCTTTAGGTTATTGATAAACTATTACTTCATTGTTTGACAGATCTCAAGAGAATTAACAGAAATGGCTTTAGTTTAGACAGTTTGCTGGTTTTATGGTGTTTATATAGAGAGTATTCATAGGTCAAGTGATCCCTCTTACTGCTCTGATTCAACTGTCTTTTATTTAGTATCAAGATAGTACATTTACTGTACAATGCTTGTAATTAGTTATGTTATATTTACTTAGGAAAGTAGTTTTACAAGATGATTGAGTAATAGAAAATGTCCTTGCAGTAGTAATGCTATGTAACGTAATACACTACTCACAGTGTACTACAGTGTAGCAGAATGGGGAAGAAATCATCAAATGACACCTGAGCTAACTCCCAGAAATCCTGGGTCATTTAAGGGATTTGTTTGTGAATGTGACCTTTTTTGCTATTGCTTACTGGAACTTTCAAGTGTAAACTTGATAAGTGGTATCTTATCCAAATTGAAGACAACAACAGATACATCATTTGGAACAAAATGGTGCAAAATCCATACCTCCTCTAACTTCTAGTTAACAGAAGCATGCTAAAGAATGCCAAGAGTACAGACAATCCACTCAATAATTCATTTGTATTATGGCATGTAAAACTCTTTAATGATACAATAATTTTGTGTCTTGTCTTTCAATCAAGCTAATGTTCATGATCTGTACAAACAAGCCAAACTGGAGATACATGGAGCTTTTTTTCTGTTCTTTGGTATTGTTGGCATAGTTGTGGTAGGAGCATTCACTAAAATACATTTTGAAGGGCCATCATGTCCAAGTTCAGCAAAGATGACAGGTACCATAAGTATTTCCTTCTTGTTTAAGCTATGGCAAACCTGAAGAATTTGAAAAACCCAACCATTATTGAGGTTTTCTTGTTGGTGTCATGGGTTTATGCTGTTAACAGAGATTGAAAAGCTATTATGAAGTTCATACTCACACAAACATTTTCGTGAAACCAAAAAATGTTGAAAAAATATCATAAATTTTGTTTTTTTATCTCTATAATCTTGCTGGCAATCTGTTTTAATCCTCCTCATCTAATTAGCTAACTTTCTTCCTTCTTGGTTTAACTTCATTTTCTTTTTCTAAGTTACAATTTATTTTGGTCCCCTGACATTTGGAAATAATTTTCACAGCACAAAAAATGACTCAAAACACGATTGCTTCTTAACCCTTTAACTCCCAGATCAAATTTCTTATTTCTCCTTACAGTCAACCATAAAATTCTTATGTTAGTTCAGAGAATTAAGTATTGGATCAACTGATTATCCCCAAATTGATATTTTTCTTTGTTCTCATCACTTATCTGTTTGATATTGTATTGATATTGTAAGGAGAAATTCTGTCTTGGTCACTCATGGGATTTAAAGGGTTAAAGGAATGAATTCATCTTTTTTTCTGTACAACATTAGGAAAAACTGTAGTGATAACAGGAGGAAACACAGGTATTGGTAAAGAAACAGCAAGAATCTTGGCTTGGAGAAAGGCGAGGGTGATCATTGGCTGCAGAAACATCACAAAGGGCTTACATGCTGCTGCAGAAATCATTGAAAACACTGGAAATAGAAACATAGAAGTGAAAAAATTAGACTTGTCTTGTTTTAAGTCAGTACGAAGATTTGCAGAAGAGATAAATGAGGAAGAACAAAGGGTGGATGTCTTGATAAACAATGCTGGTTACTTTGGGCCCTACTGTACAACAGCTGATGGGCTTGAAAACACAATTCAAGTTAACTATCTTAGTCATTTTTTGTTGTCATATCTTCTCCTTGATAAACTTAAAGCCAGTTCTCCTAGTCGTATTATTAATGTGTCATCAAGGCAGCATGCTGAGGTGTCACAAGTTGATGTTGGCAAAGTCCTGTCACAAAAGAAGGAAGGTTATGGAACTATCAGAGCCTACAATAACAGCAAATTATGCCAAGTTCTTTCCACCATTGAGATGAGCAAGAGAATCAAAGGTAATTTAACTATTACTATGGCTGACATTGTTACTTAAAGTTTGAAAAGTAAACTCCAAAATTACACCAAATCACTCCACATGCTTTTTCCATTTCCAAACTAGATCACGTGTCAAAAAATAATTACACTTCATGTATCATGTACTCAAATGCCCTAAAAAGTCACTGTCCTTCAGACCACCACTCAGCCAATGCTTATCCAATTTCTTTAATATAAAAAACAAGGAGTTGTAGTGACCTCAAGAATGTTCCAGAAGTAGCTGTGTCATGCTGAGTCATCCCTGAATCAATATATAAATAGAATCTGTTGTAATGTTACAGAACGTTCTAGATCCTCAACTGTACCTATAAAAGCCGAGCTTGTAACTAGATCTGGCCCCAGTTGTTCAAAGCTGGGTTAAGGTAACCCAGGGTTAGTGTGAAATTTGATTTCAGGTCTGAAAACTTTAAGAGAAAATTCAGTTCAAATCTTTTTGCTTGCAATTTGATCATTGGATGTTCTAAAAAGAATAGTGAAAATTTTCCCAAAAAGACTTTTGAACAAAGAAATAAAGAAAGCTGGATTAAAATTTAACCCTGGGTTAGAGCTAATCAGCCTTTGAACAACTGGGCCCTGGAGAGTAGTTTAGTTGCTGGTATAGCCCGTCAGATATCAATAAAGGTGTATGCTGCAGAATACAAGACATCCAAACTTCAGGAGTATCATTACTCCCCCTGGTTGGGATGCCAGTCCATCACAATGTTACTCCCCCCAGCATTTTATCAGGCTTCCCTGACAATTCATCAGTACCCATTTATACTCCTGGGTGGAGAAAAGCACTTTGAAAACAAAGAGTTTTGCTCAAGAACATAACACATTTACCCAGCCAGGTCTCAAACAAGGACCTCTTGACCTAGAGTCCAGTGCACTGACCATGAAGGCACAGCAACTTCTATATGGGTGATAACATTATCATGTATATTATATTGTGAAGTATATGATTGAAAAGAGTCTTATTATTGTTGTTCTTTTTCTTTGTCTAGGATCAGGAGTCACCGTGAATGCCCTTCATCCCGGGGTTGTTGGAACTGAAATTACAAGGAATTTTAGGATTCTTCAGATGTGGATTATAAGACCCCTCCTTTGGTTTGTGTCATATTTCTTCTTTAAAACAATAAACAGTGGAGCTCAGACGTCCATCTACTGTGCTGTTGCAGAGGAGCTTAAGGATGTTTCTGGAAAATATTTTAAGGACTGTGCAATGGTTGAGTGCAGTGATTTGGCCAAAGATAAAAAAATAGCAGAGGAACTATGGAAGGAAAGTGAAAAGCTTACAGAGTTAGATAAAAAATGACCTCTAGCATGGAATCACAGCAAGATATCTTTTTAGGGAGTTGTTTTCAAATTTATATCCATGCTTGGTTTTCTTTAAAGAAGTTAGCAGCAATTGTCTGTCTCCTGTTAACCTTTTAACTAGTTGGAGTTGATTCTTGATTCTTGATTCTTGATTCTTGATTCTCCCTTCTGGCTGCCATTCATTTCTTAGTGAATAATTAAAGAAATACCCTCTAGCTAGTACTTTTTGCCAGTCCCATCTCTTGTTTGCCAGATAGTGTGCTAAGGTGGTCAGTAAGTGTCATTTAAAATATTTATCACTTCAGGGAGTTAAGGATGAAAGTTTACCAAACCTTTTTTCGTTCTTTAAAAGCATCAAATGAATAACAGATAGTAGGGAGAATTGGAAATAAGATCTTAAGAGTTTAATTGGTGAGATTAATTTCCTTGGCCTCCAGAGATATTGGGAATCAAAACAGAGAAATTGGTGCTTGTAATATTGATGATTTGTACTTTAAGTGCGACAGTTTGTTGCTTTTTAACGTTGATCTGATTACTTAGTGAAATGTTTGAAAATTTGAAAATTTTTATCCAAGAGCACCTACTGGGGTTGAAATACAGGGGTTTCAAGTTATCAGGAATCAATTGTCTGGGGTAAACGAATTGTAATAGATTGACACAAATATTATAGATGTGAAGAGATGATAAATGTGGAATGGATCTCAGTTGAGTCTATAAACAAACCTAAACCAACCAAACCAAAAGTTACTCTAACAGCCCATCAGAAGAAAGTAAATTATTACTTAGAACATGGGAAAATATGAGTAAGGTATGACCCTATTGATTCTGGTTTTCCATCTCATTGGTTGAGAGCATGGGACAAGTTTTCTACACCAATCACAGAGAGAGTTGAAACGAAACAAGTCTCGGATTGCTTTTGACAATTAGCTGAGAATATGACAAAAGATTAATTCAAGATTTCTGCGATCTGAAATGACAGAATTTAACCTTAGCAAAAATTGACAACCAAATGAAATAGTATAGTAGTCAATGCCTGGCAAAGTTTGCGTTACCTGATCAGCCTTACCCAGCTGGGTAAGGCGAAATCTGCAGTGGGTTTTTTTACATGTTTCAGCCTTGACAATGATGACATCTCTTTAGCTCTGTTTTATAACAAGATTTCAAGTGTAATATGAAATGTTTTAATGTATTACGAAAGTTTACTTTATGAGTATAAATGATTAAATGTATTTATGCACATCATGTGAATGGTTACCAGAATTTGGAAATAAATATGGTGATTGAAATTTTTGCGATCATTTTCCCGCTTAGATAGCGAAATAGAGTTTAACAGAAACAGTTACATTTGTAGAAATGGTGCTCAGGGCTCGAGTAAGAGCTACATGTGAAGTTATTGTACTAGAATCTAAAGCTTGTGTCATTATTTCTCCTGGAAATCAAGTCTCGTTCTCTTTCGGTTTATGATGTTTCCAAGTCACTCTTAAAAATACGTTATTCTCGATTCCACAACATCATTACGAGAGATGGTTTTGTCAGCTTTGTGACTCTTTACAGTGTCCAATTTACATTATCAACCCAGTTGATAAAAGAAAGTCACCTTACCTGAAATCAACCTTTGAAATCAGACGTACTGAATAAAACAAGCTATAAATGAATTCTCTGAACTCACTTACAAATGAAAGAAATGTATCGCAATTAGAAGGGAGAAATACGAATTATATCTTGGGAGTTTGTAAGAGGTTTAAAATATGCAAACTTTGCCTTCTTCAGCCAGCATACGAGTGCACGATAGAATTGGAAAATAAACAAAAGGGAAGGGATTCTATACACTTCCCAGAAAACTTTCACAGGCAAAAAGCACTTCACGTTATTTTACTAACTAGAGAACCTTAAGCAGTCTTGAAGGTACAACCTATGCTTTTCCCTTTGAAAAAGGTTGTATTTATTATATAGGTGGCAAATTCACATATAATGCCTCCAAAACCTACGTCTCCTGTTCACTTCGAACGAATAATTCCATATTAGTCCCAACTCTGGCGAGTATAATCTGTGACGTCAGGGGATACAGAATGATTTAAGTGTGACGGGGAGTAGACTGGGGATGACCTGAGTCAGACAGGTGATCTACCTCTAATGTGGTATCACTCAAACCAGTGTCCCATATTAAGATGTTTTGCTTACTAAATAACGTAAAGTAAGATCCCGTATGTGCAGCTTAAATCAGTGCATACACCCATCATATAAACTACCCGTCGAATAAGCTCAGTAAGGCTTTAATTATTGTCTCTGTTTCCGTCAAGTACAACCATTTGAATAAACAAGGCTTAACAAAAACTGCTTAAATTTACCTTACCAATGACAAAAGCATCTATCTGTAATGCAACTGCAACCGTGAGAGTTGAGCTGTCAAACTAACGGTCAAAGCACGAATAATTAGCGTACGGTATTAAGGGATTTCAAGCGTACCGACTTGTTTCACTGAAATGAGTGCGCACCAGGGAAACGGTTTCTACGAAATCCGCCTGGAAAAACCAACTATAAGTCTTTACTTACATCCAATGCAGTCGATCACTGAGAATTGGTCCTTCATCGATTTTAGGTAAAAGCGAAGAGAAAACAAACGTTATTGAAGTTTGAGACACTTCCTTTTTATAGTTTATCAGGGCAAAATATGCAGGACTATTTTTGACGATGCATTACTAAACTGGCTGAAACAATTCAAGCGAAATGCTAAAACAATACCTGTAAGTCCTCTACATCAACGTATCGCTCTTGAGAACGAGAAAAAAAATTTTTTTTACGTGAATCGGTGACTTAGTAGTCCGCCATTCGACTACATCACTTTAAATTCAAGACGACTGGAGAGCTGCGGAACTCGAAAATTAGTCTTGTAGTCTAGATGTTAGATAAAAAGGAGCCTTTTTATCAGTTGTCTGTATGCAAAGACTTCCTGGATCTTAAAGAAGTGTGACTTGGTTCTGTAGACTCTGCAATTGGTTCAGCGAAAGTTTTAGCGGTTTCTGCCAGACATTCTTCTGGCAGTCGGTTGGTCATCAGCATGGCGGTGCCTGTGAAGCGACGTACACTATGGCTAGTTGAACGACGATGAGTCACCCCAGCACCATCTTCTTGCTGGAAAGTGGTAAAAAGACTCCTGCAAGAAATCAAACATACAAACAAACATTTGAAGAAAAACGTTGACGTGTTGCGAAGTTTTGGAAGGACTTTCTCTACGTTTCTCGTTTCCCAGTTCATTCCTTGCTTTTCCTGGTTTCACCGCTTTTTCCTCGGAATCTTGAGCTTCCCGACCTATCCTTCAGTTTTCCAAGTCATGGTCGAATTCCCCTGTTTATCCTTAGTTTTAATCTTGGATTTCCTGAATTGTCACCGAGATTTTCAATTTTCATGGCATGAAATATCAAATATTTTTGCCACCACCCAAAAAGGGTATGGCGGTTCATCAAACCTGAGGGAAAGACGGAGGGGGGAGGGGGGAGGGGGGTAAACAAAGTGAGAGCTCGAGGTCATCACCAGTGCTATGGCTAATGCTTCTCCGAAATCCAAAAATACCGTTGTACTCGGTATTTGCAACGGATAAAGCTTTCCTGGATAACTTTGAGATGTCCTAATAGCTAGGAATAAAAATTCAAAAATGCAGAACTGAAAACAAAAAACAAAGAGTTAACACAATAAATTGTTCTGTTACTTGAGTTCCTGTAGTCTTTGCTGTTCCTGTTCATCTGCCTGATGTCTGTTCAGTGTCCGTTTAGTATACTTTGCGAAGTTTAGGTAAAGAAGCACTGTGCTAATGAGGGTCACCACAGCAACAGACGCAATTTGTGACAAGAAATTTTTCCCTTCCCTGTCTGTTACCTGTACCGAGAACCGTGAGGTCAGCTCACAGAAACTGTTGGAAAGCAAAAAACAAAAGTGAACTTTCGATATAAAAACATCAATGCATTGATCAAATGACACGAATAGAGACTGGCACTATCAGCTTCATAATGTGTTGCACCGGTTTTGTTGTAAAATTCAGTGACATTTCAGACCCGCACACAAACTTGTTTCCAAGTTGGGGAAAAGAGAATAATACTTATACTAAAAATACAATTCTGTTAAATATACATATAATTGATCATGAAGAGCTCTCGCCTGTATTCTTTCCCAACATTCTTTGCGTTAGTTTTCATTGTTTGCTCACTCTTTAGAGATAAAAAATTAGGAATCGTCTAAAAACTGGAAAGTCATCATTACTTTCCAACAGATAATTGTCTTCAGAATCCATGTTAAACCTTAAACTGTTATTTACCTCAAGTGGTTTCCAACAACTCTGAGTTGGAAGTGAAAGCTTCCTGAACCTTGAAACACCAGCTGAGAGACTCCTGAGGAGTTAAGAATCTCATACGGTTGACTTCCATCAAACGTCTTGCCATCGTTACTGACCTCAAAACAACTTTGATATTTCTGGAACACAAAGACTGACACTCATCAACCCTCTTTGATGACAAGGACAGTACAAGATCCTTTTTTTTTTTATCCCACACTTGTAAAAAACAAAAACAAAAGTAAAAACAAAAAAGAAACATCTGTAACAAGATAACCTTCTCATCTGATGTTTACGCTTTTAAAATAGAGATTGTACTTTTCACGAGCCAAATTATGAGAAATCAAAGACAATTTTCTACCCATTCATTTTTCATTTTATTTCCTTTGCTTTAACATTAGTATTGTTGTAAGCAATTGCTCACTAACAAAGTTGCATAACACATAGCACCCTATATAATCTTACATTTTGTGTCCAGATTCTGTTTAAATCCTCGGAGGTATTTTCCGAAAGTTTTCTCAACGTTTGGGCTTCAGATAAACACCTGACCTGTCACAACAAAAAAATTCAGCCTTAGTTAAATTCAGCCAAAGAAACTGACTTGTTCTAATTTACTCCGCTTAGGCTCAGACTATGAACTTAGTTATTAGGTTAGTTAGGTCAGGCTAGTAGGAGTTAGTTAGTTAGGCTTGATGGGAAAATATTTGGCTTGAGGTCATAACATGCAGACCGTGTGTCATGAACGAGAATTTGCGAGAGTTTGAGAGTTTGAACTACAGTTTGCTAATTAGCCCTTGTGTTCGCTGCAACAGTTGTTACGTTGGTACATGATGTGTACCTCACTCATGGTTGCAGTGTATCCATAGTCTGTTCTGCCTGTTTCTTCCCAGACTACATAATCAGTGCGCACCTCTTCCACGAACTTGTCACCTTCGTATCTAACACAGCAAAACAGACAAAGGTAAGAACATTTTACGTTCCATTTCAGAATCAGTGAGTCCCATTCAGTACACGTCCTTCAAAACCTTTCCACGATAAAACTATGCTAAGACGTCGAGCCTTTTTCATGAATCCTTGGTTACAATTTTTGTACAATAACGATGCATTACCATGCAGATGACAAAGTAGAATTTGAAAATTGTCAAGTTAACAATTGGTGATTGGTTACAGAGAAAAGAACGAAATTTCACCTTCGATTTGACTTATTTCTATGGACCCACTGGCTCCATTAAGCAGGCATTTAAATACGTGAAATTGAAGTCAAAAGATATAAACTTACAGATCTACCACTAGCTTGATATTTCCATAAATGGCAGCATTCAAACGGCAGGGATTTTGGCCATAATCCTTAAATATTGAAGTATCTTCTGTCAGTATAACTTGTAGCCAACAAGCATCCCCGTTAGGGAAACCTGTCAAAATGCTTGCTGCTTACTGGGTTAAAATAGCATACTGTTAAAGGCAAACAAGGGAAGCCACGGAAAAGAAGCAATACTCCTTATCGTGGGCAGCTCTTATATATCCGTTTAGTTTATCTTTCATGTTAACTAACCACATCGTTAAATGATGCATAGCTCAAGGAAATTCCTTAACAGAAGGATCTGCCTAGAAATTTTTATCAGTTTTTGCCTACTTGTTTATCTTTTGTCTTAAAGGAACTTAAAGTTTGAAATAAAAACATAAGACCCTGTGCTCATTTAGGTGCAGCACCTTGTAGAACCATATGCTTCCTTGTAGTAACATCAAAATTAACTCTATAAACGAGTACTTGCTAAATTCACATTTCCAATACTATTTCGTAATCTGCTCTGATAATTTTTCTCTGTTAAATCCTACCAGGAAATGAACGCTATTTCTAAACTCTAAACAAGAGGAAAAAAACAATATATTGCCTAACTCGTTTAGGAAAAATGATTTTCAAAGGCACATCACTGACGAGCTCCAGCTTTGAAACCAGAGCCACCATTTTTTTGGTGTGCACTTGCCGATTTCCATGAATTAATGGAAGAAAAGGATGCACAGTTCAATACTTGGAAAAAAAGGGAAAGAAATTTATCCTCTCTTGTAAGAAACGACTTAAACATGAATTGTTTACCATACCGTGGATAAGAGGGGTGCAGACTCCACACCAGTTGATGAAGTACAGTTCCTTATCACAATGCTCTTGAGTGGCGGACACCCAACATGAATATGTAGCACCTGTGCTTAACAGCAGGTTAGAGCCAATGCTTCTTACAATACTATTACAAACTTATGTTGCCAAACGCTTCAGGAAATATTCTCTTGCTTCAGGGTTATCTTTTGGAGTGACCGTCAGGGTTAGAGTTGTCAAGAAAATGTCTGCTGTGTTGTCAATGATTATGACTAACGTTTAAAAATGTATGCAGAAGTCATCATGACCTGAGTCAAATAATGAAAAGTGATGACTCGGTGTAGAGGAAAGTGACTGGTTAGTTTTGCCATGATTTTATGACACTTACTGTAGTGCTTGTCAGATTTGATTGATCGGTTTGAATGCGTCATTAAGGTGAAGTGATTCCCTCTCGGTCACGGCTTGTTTTAATGTAATACGTGCTTTGTAAGGCACCAATAGCTGTTGACATGGAATGGTGGAGGCTGGATTTTCTCTTTTTTCAGAACAACCCTTCCTCGTTTTAGACTCTGAGGTCATTTTCTTTAATTTTTCAATTATTTTCTTCAGGTCCCAGGACATATCAGTTATTTAGAACCAAAATGAATCAATGCCTAACAATTACTGTCCACCTTAAAACCACCAGAAGCCATTTTTAAACCAGCTTAGACACCTTTAAATACACAAAGATATGGAATTAATTGCACAACTCATTTTGAACAGAAGCTTTGGAACATGTGTCAATACCTGGAGACTATTTTCACAGGACAATTCTCCAACCTTTGGCAAAAGCTGGACAGCAACTGCAGTTGATTTGTAGGAGCTGGGATCAGTGAAAAGAAAAAACATTGAGAAATCAAATAATATATAGATTTAGTCAAGTCTAAAAGCGGAGCTCGCACTTTTTTTTTCCCGCATGTCTCAAGGGCACAACGCCTGGCCCCAGCCAGGATTAGACCCCGGGTTGTCCGACTCGGAGCTCAGTGCACTGACCACTGGACTACTGGACAAAGCCGTGGTGTTGGCGTGCCCGCAGTACAGTTGACCACGCATGTTAAAAGTAGCACCTTGTATGGTTGTACATCCAAATTTTTTCGGCTTGCTGGGTTACTACTATTTTGTATAATTATGGGGCTACACTCTGCGAGCTCTGCTATAAATCTAAAAAAATTTAATCAATTAAAATTACAAATACTAAAAGGGAAAAGGTTAAATCAACCCTAATTGACATTAAAAAAAAGTAGGAGAAAAATCAAAATAACATATAACTGCAAAAGTAGAAAGCTGATAAAAACTGAAACCAACCACATACTTTTTTTGCACTGAAGTTCCATTTCTAAAGTTGTATCTGAATGTAAAAGTCTACAATAGAGAAAAAAAAAGTAAAAGAGACTTGACAATGGTACAGTAATTTTTTTGATGAGATCTTTTCATAATTACCTAAATGTTAACCAAATGAATCATTTAAAGATCTTGTTTAGGTGACAATCGAAATATCAAAAGTAAATAGCATGGTATGAAGTGGCAAATAAAGGGTGAACATTGTTGTGCATAAAGAGCTTCTGTTGTCACCTTATTCAGTGTCACAAGTCCCTTATAGTGTTCCACATGATCTTCACTGGTGATTTGGAGAACATCAACACTGGAGATTTCCAGCTATATTGAATTTGTAAATATTAAACAGATCAGTGGGTGCAAAAGAGGGGAAAGGACACTAAAACACATAAAAGTTCCCTAATGGACTCCTCTACAAGTCCTATTTAGTTGAATACAACAGTTACTGGAGATGATTCAGAGTGAAAATTACTGAAAAGTTTATGCTTAAAAGTAGACATGGCCAAAGATAGACATTTGTGACTCCACTGTCATCAATTTTTTTTCTTAAAGGGTCAATTGATACTCATCTTAAGTCACCAATTTTTCTCAATCAATTATTGTAAACTTTTTTGAGTAAGCCCAAGTCATCTGCCTCAAGGTGAGTCCTTACATGTAGGTTCCCTTAGCAATTTCTGCTTTAACATTTCTTCCCCCAAAGATCAGTACTTATTAACTGAGCAAATCATACCCTGACGTCATTAGGTTCTGTCCTGGGATAAATAAGAACTGCCCAGACCTGAATGAAAACAACCTGGAGTCATTGATCAGTTGGTAAAATTGTCCATTTACTTGTGGTAAGTGAGACTGAAAAATATGATTTAAATAAGTCACCAACCTTTGTTTCATCTCCCTTGTCCATGAAATACAACTCTGGACTGACACTAGTAGTGAATTTTAAATACTGTAATAAAAACATAGTCAATAACAGTTATGGTAGTTATACAGCATTATGGATTTAGGCCAAATCTTTAGCTTTAAGCCCATACTTTATTCCAACTTTCATAACTGTCTGCTAGTGCTGTTTACTTTTAGGGTTCATCTTGTTTCTTATTTTCCACAAGTCAAAAATGATGTGTTATATTAGGTGATCAAAACAATAATTTTTACACATAATTGCTTGTAAATCTGCATCCTTACAGGACATGATTTTTGTGGGAATACTGCATTCAATACTTCATTTGCCAGAGGCAGCTTTCTTGTTTTAACTATGCCCCTGAAAAGGATAGGAAGCATGATTTAATTTAATTTATTTACTAACAATAAAAGAATTATTAATTACAATCTAATGGATAGTCTGGATGGAAATGAAATGAAAATAATAAAGGCCTAAGAATAATACATTAGAGAGAACACCCAATGAAAAATGACATCACTAGTAAATAAGTTCTGGTAATCATTCAACTTCATCACCTGACATAGACAACAGGAACAAGTAATAATGGATACACTACACTCTGTCAACAACAACTTAAATAAAAGTGATATTATTGATGACTGTAAATGTTAGGTTTCCTGTGCACTTGGCCCAGTCTCTGCCAAGGTTTTGTCATTTGACACTAGGCCAAACCTCGGCGCACATGTGTTTTTATCACTTGTTACTTCCACCTTTATTTTTTATATAAGGATCTGTTTAACTTAAGAATCACATCATAGAAATAGAACATTACAGAACCATAACAGATATTGTAGCAATTTTCAAGGTTATGGAGAAGGACACTTGCTTATTTGTATGGATTTCTCATACGTTATTTTATTTGAACAGTATGCTTGGCGTGGTTAATCAGATTGAATAATATGTGGAATTGACATTGAATTGCCATGGCAACTACACCAATCCAACATCAGAGTATGATTATACTTAACAACACAAACTGCCAAAAGTGTTTGTTCAAAGACATACCCATTGCTTGTAATCAGCAGCAAAGAACTGAATATATCAAACATCACTGTAAAATTTGAAGATGGGTCTTCTCCTGGAAAAATCTGGTAAAAAATAAATTGAAACTGGATAAGAAAGTTGCACAAAGGCAGTAAAATATCAAAACAGAAATAGTTAACACTTACCTCAACCACATGTTCAACAAATGCTCTTCCATAAAATAACCTTTTGTTTGACATCTGCAGAGCAAAATCTCCATTTCCACCTGAAAATCATTTGAATTTAATAAGTATTGATTGCTGTTTCGCTTAAAACCCCATTGATATTAGTTTTAAACATGTTAGCAGTAAATGAGAACACAATTGGCCTAACCAACAGTGTTCTTCTTCTATAACTGTTATACATGACAGTTAATGTAACAGTATGAAACATACTGCCTCAAAAAAAAAGAAAAGAAAAAAAGAAAAAAAAACACCCAAGAGTTCATACCTGTTATCAAAGACACTATAGTTTCATTGACATTAAGAGCAAAGTCGGAGAGATGTCCTTGTCTCTTCACCTTAAAAACACTCCCTGGAATCAGTTGAAATAAGGATGGAAAAAAAGTTATCAGTAATAATAATAGTAGCATCTGCCTGACTTAAAAGTTTTAGAAGCTACAGTGTGCTGATGATGCAAAATAATTGTTATATTTGCCAATGTTATTTTTGTCAATGACTTCTAGTTAATGATATCAATTATCTAGTAAATAACCTGTTCCATTAAGTCTTCCAAAAGCAAACAATTTCTGACCCCAAGCAATCAAATACTGTGTACTTGGAGGAATAAACGAGAAATGGCTTGGGGGATCTGTTGAAGGAATAATAAAAGAATGATTAATTGAACAAGATTGTCTTAAAATACTCTGAATTGAAGGCAGGTAGATGGAAACATGTTAGTTACTGCAACAGTTACTTTTCATTTGTCATGGAATTAAGCAGGCTCCTTTTAGATATTAGGTGGTAGTTTTTAATAGAATTAGTTTTAATTGGTGTATCCTGTAAGCATACTAAAAGCTTCTTAAATTGATCAAAATTAAAGGAAGAAATTCAAAGTGAGAATTACATTTTTCCTGACAACTGTACCTTGACTAAAACCAGAAAGTGTAAGTAACTCTTGTATCCAGGCATCCTCCATAAAGTCATACTGCATGAACACTGTCTAAAACATGCCAAGAAAACTCTGCTGTCTCTTTTGCTTAAAACACTAAGGTATGCAAATCAAGGGTAATCCAAGCTGGTCAAGAGTAAGTATTAATTTAAAACAAGCATGGGTTGAAGAGAATGAGGTAAAATGACAGAAAAAAATATATTTTAAATGTCCTCGCAATCAAAATTATTGTTAGGACAGTAATATTACCTTTTCCAGGTTTTGATAACTTGTGGTATTTACCAGGAAAGTTGCAACAGGGAAAAAACAATGTAGTTCAACATGCAGCACCTGAAAAACAGAAAGTCAGTAATGAACACATTCAAAGCAACACTTTTTTAACCAACTCAAAGGCAGTTTGGGTCAGGTTTAGTGAATTTTCAGACCAGAGAGTGTAAAGAGCATCACACTAAATTGGAATTATATTGGACTTTGAATGAGAAACTACACAAACCAAGAAATTGTTTTGATATGCTGAGGCTAAAAAGTTCTTAACGTAACGAAAGGAGAACATTTCAGGCCACACCTTCAACATTCTTACAAGTTAAACTTAAAATGTTTAATTTTCATATGTTGTTAACATATAGTGATCTCGTTAAAAGCAATCAAGATACAGACAAAGAGTGCTAGAATGAAATTTACATACAGATATAACAGAGAAACTCTGTGTAGGAAACAGAAGTTGCTGAAAGGAAACCCCACTGTTTTTTGAAAGGTAAATCCTATTGCCACTACTCTGCAAAAGTAACAAAAGTTACAAGTTAAAAGGATTATTCAGAAGCCAAAGTGACTGCATTAAATGTGTTCTAAAATTTTTACATAAACAGTATAATCATGAGACACAAGTAAAAGCACATTTAGGAGACCAACCTCATTTGACCATCCCAAAACCAACTTCTTCATTATCTAAAAAAAGGAAGTAAAGGAAATCAAGTAGATAAAATAATTGTAAAGGGAGGTAAGGGAAAAGATAATGTTGCTGCTGAAATTTGTGCTAATTAAATACAGTTCATATGTGTACAAAGGAAAATTTAGACTGCACTCAGTAATCATGATACTAGATTAATGAAACAATTCTATATAAGAGTACCAAGAAGAAAATGATTTAACTTGTTAACTTGTGATATCTCTTTATCACTTATTTAATACATGCATACTTAGCCTCATAGTTTTTGGAAAGCCCTGATATAAAAACCTTGTAATCCAGTGTTTCCATACCTCACTGTTTGCACCTTCAAAACATATCTTGTGTGATGCCAGACCAGTCAACCCAAAATTTGGTAATCCTGTGGTTTGAACAAAGGGAAAAAGTCAGATGACATAGCATTCTACTGAATACCTAGCCTAATAAATGTCTAGTATTGAGGAAAAAAGCTTGCCATACAATTCTCATTTCCAGGCACTGACATATGACACAATTTGGGCAGGAAGTGTGTCAAGAGTCTTGAGACAGTTAAAGACATAAAACAAATAATTTATAAATACACTGTTTATGGCAAATTGTTGACATTTATTTCTCTAAGGACTTATTAAAGAGTTAAATTCATTTTGAGTTATCCTACCCGATGGATTGCCCCAAGTTTGTCCTGTTCCATTAAATATGAGAAGTTGTCCTGACTCTAAGAGTACCAAAAGGTTATCTGCCGAAAACAGAGCCAGCTTGACAATTGCTTCAGACTGCTAAACACAAGTAAAGTGCAAAGACAATCACACCATAAATATATAAAAAATTTAAAATAAATTCATGAATATATATAGCTACATATATAATGGGGTTCATGTAGACTTTTTGTTGTGTCTTACAATATAGCCACCTACAAATAGTCTGCTAATTGAGGACATTCAAATAAACATGAAGTCAAAAACAGATTTAAGGTAGAGAGATAATATCTTTAGAATCTAAAATGGAAGAATACATGATCATGATTAACAACTAAGAAAAAGCATACCATTAGTAAAGTGGATGGCACCTTCAGTTTGATAGCAGTAGCAAAATTGTCTTGGGTGAGAAGAAATTCTGAGCTGAAATCAGAAAACAATTGGAAAAAAAATCAGACTCAAACTGCCAAGTTATCTAATCACATAACTTAAACATATAAACTTGTGCAATAATCATGACTCTTAATTTCAAATTAAATTGGTGGTTGTGACGCGAGTGTCAAAATAAACTTGGGTAGAACTTAAACAGAACAAATTTTCTCCAGTTCCATGCAGGAATAAGAAGCATAACAGTAGCCATTGGAATACCTGATGCACATTACATTTTCAGATGGCAAGATCAAATTTATCCATTCAATAGCAGTATTCCTGACTGCACCTGTTTTATTTTTTTCTCAAGCTACTTTCCTTTTTTTCATTTCACATGCACTAGTTAAACAAAGCCATTCACCTTATTAGGACGGCAACATGAGGAGCACATGGATCCTACAATAAAGATAAATCTTACCATTAAATGAGAGTAGCATGAAATTTACCTTCAGAAAAATAAACACACAACTTTAGGCAAAACAAAAGTAAAATAAAAGACAAAAGAGAGGATACATGTATTAACACAGTAGACTAAAAATCACCAAAAAATGCAATGTAAGGGTTTTAGTTATAATAAACTGTAATTTTAAAATTACAAGTTATAATCAGTAACAACTATTCATTCAAGATTTTTTAATATAAAAGACAGAGAGTAGCATATTGACAAGCATATCCAAAGTTTTCACCTTCTCAAAACAATTCAGTCAGAGCTGATTTATATAAAATTATATTCAACAAATAATGAAAACTAATTTTCTTGCCTGAACAATGAAAGGCTGTTCAGAACCTTTTCCTCCTTTCAAGACCTCCTGTGAATGAACCATAGTGATGAAGAAATGTCTACAAGAAGTAATCTTTAAGAAAAGTCTCATTTCTTCATTTTTTTACCTCTGCTTGGTTTGGAATGCTACCAGCAGGAAAGTCAAACTTGGTTATCAGCAATTGTACAAAGCTTTTCCTGCAGAGATTTATTAAACATGTGAAATTAAGTCTTGTTATTAAGTATAAAAATCTATAGAACAAACTGTACTGAGCTCCAGTAATAAAAACTATAAAATTGATAAAATCTCAAAATTGGAAAAGTATAGAAAAAATGTCATCACATGTTACAATTACCATCATAATAATTGTGTGTTGCTAAGATTAATTAAATGTTTAAGACTCAAGGCAGTTTTGAATGTGATTTTCAAGTCGGATTTTGACTTTGAATGCAAAGTGCCTGATCTGCTTGTGTCTTACCAGTAGTTGTAAAGTCATTACTGAATGAATATTATTTACCCTTTTACTCCCTTTGACTTAAAGATATATCATCCAACAAATAAGTGATGAAAATTAAGGGAAAATAAAGAAGAATAATGAATAGAGAAGTATAAAGTTAAACATGATTGTGAGATGAATAACAAGATCATGATCTTGAAGGAAAACATGCAACAATTACATGATCTTAAGAGGTTAGCAGTTAAAAGCCAACCTGATAAAGCGATCATGAAGAGCAACTGACTGTCCATCTATCTCGAAACTCATCTGATGATCAATTGCACTGTTTACAGAGAACTTCCAGTAGCTACAACAAATGTAATAAAAAACAGATTCTGAATATTTTGATATGCAGACAAAGATATGACCTAATTCCCCAGTGGTGATTTGAAAAAAACTATTCTTACTAATAAGAACAATGTAATATACACAATTTCTCTCATGCCTGTGAGCTGATTTATAAAAAATTACAGCAGCACCACCTTCAAGCAATCAACATTTACCTCATAATGAACCATTCAGCATAAAGATTACAGTTTAAAGCTGAAGAACAAATTTATAATTGTAATGAGACCTTTTTTCCCAAAAATTTCAGAGAGATAACTGGTTACCTGTTTAACTAACAAGGAATTAAAAAACAAAATAAGTTACTTCAATAGTTTGTATGACAGTATAGCAGTTGTCTTATGGCAATGTTAAGTCAGTGCATGTATAAGGTATTGTGCTGAAAATGATTTACACATGTCTTTAGTGCTATTGATGCTTTACCCATGTGTTGCATTAAATGACTGACGGTCAATCTGTAACTCATCCCAGTCAATAAACCTGTGACCCATTTTCAGTTTCACAGATGGCCTTTGCCCAAGTTGGAAAAAAACTCTTGTAAGCTCCTTTGAATACTGGAAAAAAGAAATAAAACAAATCTAGTTTCAATGACTGTGAAAGTTCCTAAATGCAAATTGGAACACTATTAAGAGTCAGACTAACTTGAGAAGGAAACAAAACTGTTCTGTTCTTCTCAAACTCAGAGGTATGCTTTGGGTCAATAATCCATAGCTTGAACTCTTCTTGACTTCCACTGTTAAGAAAAAAATCAGCCAGCATTTTCAGTTTTTTTCTTGCCCCTGGAAGTGTTTAATTAAGTACAAGAAGTTATCTGGAAATTAATCATTTAGTTCCATTTGGTTTAGTTACACTTTTCTCTATAAATGGTCTAGAATTGAAAACCTGCTCTACCTTGACAATGAGATGTGCCACAGAACTAACTGAAGTTTAATTGTTCTACTTTTCCCTTGCTTTCATTTATTTCTATTTATTTACTTTGAGTTCTCATTTTTTCCTTGTGATGTAGTGGCTGTTTTGATAACTTTTGCTTTGGTCTTGTATCAATCTCTCAATTCAAAAATATGTTAATTACCAATATATCTGATTTTTTTGTCCATTGCACTGTTATAAACCACACACTCTCTTTGAAAACCATACTCACTTTTGCTGTTGTCTGTTGTAACCAAGGTACCACTCATAGTAAAATGGACTGAGTACCACATTGATGTGCCTCACACTCTACACAAACAAACAAACAAACAAAACATCACTTAACACAAAAAAATGTTACAGTCATTTGGAATCAACTTTGCCTAAGTTGTATCTTTTCATTTTTTAATTTTACCTCATTGGTAAGTTTGTCTAATGATGGATCTAGAAGCTTTAATTTGGGC